ATGCAAAATGAAAATTGCTTGCAAACATATCAAAGAAGAATTCAATTGAATCTTTTAAGACATAGTTGATTTTTGACGAAACAAACGCTAAAACACACATCCGTGCTCTTTCTGTTTCACCTTTAGTTGAATCCAACGCAATGATCGGTGCGTGACAAATGATTATTTTGTTAATGAGTGATAGTTTCGATTTGGCAAGACCTTCTGTCGCATCTCTTGCATGTTTACATACTCGTATATAAAATTTAATTCAGTGAACTATTTACCGAAAACTGAATTTCGTAAGAATTTGATTTGCTGATTTTACTCGGTACTCAATATTACATTTATTTGGAAAACATAAAGACGTACATCATCATTTATATACTTACATACGTACATACATGTAAGCAAGATAACCCATTTTACGGTTTCGAATAAAACGTATGCAAATAAAATTCATTTTAAAATATTTTTTAGGAATTTTTTTTTCTTTTTAATAAAATTTGAACCTTGGCATTTTATGTGAAACACTATATCATTCACATGACCGCCTCGCGAATTCGAAATAATTTCCGAGCCTGATTGACACATATTGGACGGTACCTACGCCATAAACAAGTGCTCATGAGTTAAAGGCCCATCCCCATAAACACCAATTAACATCGCCAAGACGAGAGATTATGCGGACGAGCAATTTCTTCGCAAATAGAGAAATAAACATATTCGGGTCACTTACAGAAGCGATATGACGCACAGTTCCTTCAAATTTCTCTAAAATTTTACCAATTACATGAGTAATTCGACCATTATGTGCACCATAATCTGCTCTTAAAGCACGAAATGCGGCGACACTTCAATCGCCATTTTTGTGGTTTTGGCTTTTAAACGATTCATTTTCATAAATATCGAACCTTTAACTAAAACAAAACATGTTTGGTTTGATAGTTAACTTCGGCAGATGTCAAAACAATGCCCTGTATATAGAGTTGTGTTAAAAAAGAGTGTTTAAATTTCGCCTTGTTGAGAGAAATTCATATCGAAATGCGTACACATACATACATATACAATTGTACGTTACATATACACATACAACAATGGACAATTTGTTTGGAGGCATTTTATCTGGCATTGCCATCGAAGGAAGGAACAAATGGTTGGTCACGAAGAATAAATACTTCGTGCTGTTGTTGAGTGTTTCGGAATTAGAAGTGATTTCTGCACTACTGCATATTTCGTACGTATGTACATACTTGTATATGTACATATGTATGTACATACGTCCACGGAAAAAAACTATGCTTACATACATATGTGGGTACACCCTTTCGACAAAAATGGAAAATCCTCAATTTAAAGAGAAATTTTTTTTTTTCGAAATTTCGAAAAAGGCTTTTTCCTTTAACACCGAGGGCCTTGAACAAATAAAGAAGAAACGAAAAATAAATTATGCAAAATTTAATGTTAACCCAACTTAACGGGATCTATAATTGAATTTTTGAAAGCAAAGAAATTATTCACAAGCACAAAATTTTCTTTTCTAATTTTTTTAATATTATATGTACACGTATGTATGTACATATGTATATATGTATGCAAAATATAACATATTATGATAGTTGAAACAAAATCATTTGGTTATGTCTGCGTTTGATAGTAACAAAGCGAAATGGCATCGTTTCGTCAATTGAGCATCTCTGGTTTAAAGGCATTCAACTAATTTTTCTTTTTAGTTGAAAGAAAAACAAAGCATGGAGATTTTTAAATTGGTATTCTACAAAAAAATGCGACAGCTAAAATGGGATTAAAACATGAAAAATAAGCATTTCTTCAGTGTTTTTTTGTTTGTTTTATAATCAACAATATCTTAAGTATGCAGTGGCTCTATATATCTTTTCAGCACCATTAGAAAAACCTTAACTCAGTTTAGACCAGTTTATAGGAAACTATAAAGAAGATTCGTTGACGTAGATCATTTCGCCACGATATATTAAATACGTACAGTGATATGCGGAGTATTTCGAAACAGACTGTCAAGGATTAACCAAACAATTTTCACAAAATCTGAATGCATTATTCTTCTTTATTTTTTAAAATTATTGTTTTTTTTATGTCTTGAATTCTTAAGTATTTCCTACATATTTTGTTTTTATTTAAAATCAAAAAATTAACGAAAAATAGGTTGACAGCGTATTTCGGCCAATTTTTTTTCATATTTTTAATGTCAATAACCATTTTAAGCCTTTTGAGCGTTAAATCGACCAAATTTTTGACTGAATTCTGGAGCAAGATTTGTTAGATATTTCCGTTTGGAGACAGCGTTCAAAATTGGCGGTTGTATAACAAGCAACAACAAGCCGACTTCGAGATTTTCGGCCGAGCCCCTTTATTCCCTTCCTATTTAAAATGTGCGTGTGTTTCGAATTTTCTCCAACAAATGGAAAATACTAGTGTTTAGTCTAAGCCTCCTCCGAACGGCCACTGGAATTATATGAGAAGATTTGCTATTTGCTTGAACTTCTTTGCCGAGCTGCAACCGCATTTGGTGAACATAGTTTTGTACATTGATCTGACCGGGGTTAGTGCTTATGACCCTGTGCGTGATACCAGCAGCGCCAACCAATCGGCTACTGAGGTCTTACAAAGACTTATTAAATGTCAGATCTGCCTTTCAAATTTTGAGAATGCAAAGGATGAATGGATAACAAAATCCAATCCAAGAGTTTTATTGAGGGTTTGGGAATTTGAAATTTTCAAATGAAACAAGGAAAAAAGCGTTTTAATTACTTACAAGGCGGTAAGTTAATAGTCACCAAACGTACAACTTTTATTTTAATTAAATTCGTAGAGAAAAAAGTATATTTTTAACAAACAAGTGGTATACAACAACTATAGCAACTTTTCTTAATTATCTAGGAAAAAATGACCACAGCAGAGTCATCAGAATATCGCGCATGGATTTGGAGTCTATTAAAAGCGAAGTGCGTGGAATATAATAAAAGTGGTTTGGCAAAGTAAAAGTGTTGAAAATACATACATATACATACACGTATATGTATATGTATAAGCGGTCAAATGATGATTCGCGTTGTGGAATGTTGTGTCGGTTCGGACGTCAAGGGTTATGAAACTTGAACGGCCACGCGTATTCTTGGGTTACTAGCACGCTGTTCATGTTGTTATTGCTTGAGAATACACGTAGTTAGCAAGTCTTCGTCCACACACCTTTTGACAGTGTACATTATGTAATTACAAAAGCTAATAGAATACCAGTTGAATATAATTTTTTTTTTTTAAGTGTGTAATTTAAACTGATGACCGCGTCGTCAATAGCTAAGTGGATTGAATGATGGTTTATGTGCATACACACATTCCGACTGGACGAGATATCAATTTCCGGTAAGACAAAATTCGCAAAATTAGTCATTTTGTCTATCAGAGATCGTTCTCCGTCAAGCAATGTGGAAGCTGTGTTCATTTAAAGAGTACATACATCTCATATATAAAATTCTCGTGTCTCCGAAACGTATGGAAATTCTGCGTGTATATCGTGTATCTATGAGAATCGGATAACTTACATTCTTCGCAATGGAAATGGACTAGGGATTGACTTTAAAAAAAAATCTTATTTATCGTTCCAATTTATATGCGTGCGTAAACGGGATCCGTTTCTTTGAAATGTGTGCGCCACTGTCATTTCAAAGAATTATACAAATGCGATCTAGGTCAATGTGAAATCCTTCCCTGCATACCTACGTACGAGTATAAAATAAATAATTGTTGAATGAAATTTATGGTTTCTTTTGAATTGGAAATGGCTGGACCGATTTGGCTATATTTTTTTTTCCAATTATTCGTATTTAATAGAAGATTTTTACAAAAGAAATTTAATTTTACTTCGAGAAATAAGCCAGGCACCGGCTTATTCGAAGAAACCTTTTTTATGATTCGATTTACTTGAAATTTAATGGATTGGTAGGTTGGTTATGGCTCAGATTAACATGCGGAAAATGGTTCTTAAATGGTTCTTTTCGAGTAGTGAACCTGACGCCGATCAAATTAAAAAAAATTGGATTTATGGTTCGGTTTGCTTGAACATTGCTTGAGGACCAACCTCACATAAGAAAATTGAAGAGATGTTCTTGCACCGAAAAACAAATCGGCTTCTACTATACCCCATTCTACTGATTTCGAGTCCATTCATATAATTCCTATTAAGACTTGAACTACTATCTGTTTGAAATGGTGTTATGAAACCGACTTGACATTGCTTTTTTCGAAGATAAGCGAAGCCGATATTCGAATCAGCTGACATTACACTTGTGCAAAGACCCAGCAATTCAATTTAATTTTGAACTTGTGGAAAAATTTGGCGAACCCATCCAGAAAATAAAGCGAAAATTGTAAGGGAAAAGAGCAATCCGCTGGAACTGCCAGAGTCGATGTTAGTTTCAATGCTGTTTCTGTAACATCCCTGAATATAAAGAAATGGGATGTTAAAAAATACCATTGATTATATTGAGCTGACTTCCAAAGCAAACAAAAGGTTCTTTAGCCGCATCGTTTCGTCAACTTTTCTACGAGGGTCTTAAGCCCAGTACACAACATCACTACGGGAGCAGGTGGGTAAACTAGGGCACATTTATATAGCGAGGCGTTTTCCTCAATACCTATGCAAAAATACGCTAGTGAACGCTTATAACGGATATGTCGCAGTGGCTACAGTATAGCTCCCTCTCTTTCAGCATTGATCCAAAGCTCCCCACGCGTTGGCAACCGCATCCCGCACGAGTTTCCTGTGTGTGCGATAAGAACGCATGAGTAGGAATCGGATACAGTTTTGCATCTGTAACTATATATCCAGAAGCAGGAATACACCCCGCTGAGCGGAAAATCGGATATACATAGTTCTGATGGAATTGATTGCAACATTTGGTAATCCGCACATACATATATAATATTGCAATATATTTTGTAAACATTTTAATAATAAAACACGTGTTAGGCGATTATGTGGTGGATTTAAAAATCATTATTTTAAGCAGATTTTTATTTTCTTAATTAAAAACAAAAATTTATATTTATATCATACAAATTAATGGCTAATAGAATATCTAGTACAAGTATTACATAATTCATACACACTTACATATACATACATATAAATCAACTAAAAGTTTTAGGTCTTCTCATTTCGTTTGGTGGTTCAGCTTACACTTTCCCCCGCTTGCATATGTAGGTAAAAAGCAAAGCCGTAAGTAATTCGCACTTAATTAGAGGGCACCTTCCCTTCATCAAAATCTTCACATCGCATTAAAGGTGCTTCCTGAGGATCACAACTAGAGTCAGCATTTGATATAGAAGTCACTTCTCGCTTTTCTGCTTTCGATCGCGTCAAAATTGATGACCCTTGAGATGTTGTTGAGTCATTCTTGCTAATTGGAACCACATCTGCTACGGCTGGAGTTATTTCAGCTGGTCGCAGCTGCTTCTGTTCAATTGTACCAAGAGGGCTTGGTCTTGTCATTGCAGTATGCACGTGTGAGTGCGATATCGCTTCCGTTGTAGTTGTTGGTAAAAGCGATGGATACGGCATTGTTGTGTTCATTATTGCTGCCACTTTTTGGCTATGCTGCAGATTTGATTGGGACTTTCCAAATAAACTTCCATGTGCTTTCGCGGAAGCAGAAGCTCTTCCGTTTAAATTATCAACAGGGAGTGCGACCTCATCTGAATTCTTCGTTATTTTATAATCAACAGCATTCTTACATGTAGTAGATGCAGCTGAACTGACTATATCTAATGTTTCTTCTTTAAGTAATCCTTTATTATTAGTATCTGAACAAGTTTCACTATTTGTGAGTTCTTGAAAACTGTCGTTATTGGTCGGGTTTCCCTTTGTGTTTGCCACATTCGTTTTTTGCTGATGTCCCGGCTGCTCTGTCGAAACGGCACCCTCCCGCGCTTAAATTAAATATTTATATTAGTAGAATTCAAATCTATGTAAAACTCGGCGTTATCAATGCCTCAAAAATTTAACTTCATTAATAAATTTAAATCTAAGGGCGATGATGATGGAGGACCTCTGTCAACCAGCCTACACAGAGGGCGCCTCAAGCATTGAAGTGAATGGGCCATAATGATAGTCCCGAGGTAGTATCGACTTTAGCTAGAGTGAAATTCAACAGATAAACAGCCTACATTAAGCAACCTTCTCTTACTTTTCCAAAGGCTAATACTATTATTCAGCCATTTGGACATTTATTTAAAGGTGCTTTTCCTCAATTCTTTTCATACTCCAAAACGGAAAAATTATATATTATATAATTATTGTTGAAATGTTACCCTAATAGCCGCTAACATATTATGCAACACTATAATGTTCTTCAAATAACATCATTACAATGCAACCCTGCAATCTATAAATTTACCTTGCAACAATACTTTGCACTCTCTGACATTTCGGAACGCTTTTCGCGCAAGACCTCGGCCGTTGTTGCTAAGAATTTATGATAAAATAAAGCATCACAAAACTTAGCGATGCGCAGTTTTCTTTTGTTTGCGCATCATTAACTTTACCGTTGCATGCAAAGTTTGCCCAGTTGCATTTGGGAATGAGCGACAATGTATGGTTGCATTGCAACTGACGTTTTGGAACTCACCCTAACTGACACCGAAAGCATGCTGCCAGTCTTCTTTTCTAACTGTCGAATAAAACACATACACTTATGTATTATACAGAATCAGAACCCAACAATCATATTTCCACTGGATAATAGTGTGAACTGAATGGAACTACCTGAGTGGATTTTTTGGCCAAAAATAAAAAAAAATGATGGAATCAGATTTAAGTATTGGAATTTGGAAGAGGAAGAAGAAAATGTTAATATCTACTGCGATAAAATTGAAATTGAGTTACAGTTCCCTTTTGGCCATTACTCTAGAGCTGCTACCACTTGAGGACATCCTTATCTATCGGTTATTCCATATTTAGAAATTTACTTAAAACTTAACATCAAGTAAGTGTTTTCCCTTTAAATGAAATGGATTATTCATAACGAGGAATTATACTTTTTTGGTAAATATTAAGCAATAAGACTTCAGGGCTGGCCCTAGTGCAAAAGCCTTCTTCATAAGTACTAGAGGTCGGCTAAAATTTCATTTCTATTTTGTGTGTATATCCCGACTATTTTGCAAATGCAAATTAAAATGTCTTATATTAGATAAATTACTCCCGTTCCTAAAGGTATGCATCGGAATTCCGAGTTGCTGGTGATTTTGTAATGCACAAAGCCAATGGAATGCTTAGATTAACTTGTAAGCGTTGTTTATTCACCTGTTGCTGTTGTTGTTGTTGCTGTTGTTAGAGTTTGCGGCTGAGGTTCCACTTCAGCATTCACTATAACTCTTGCTGTCATATCGCCAGCCGCGGTTGAGGACGCACCCGCACTCATATTCGCACTCCCGGTGCGTGCTGCATTAAATGTGGTTCTGGTGCTTGTGGTGGGGCTATTGTTGGTACTAGTGATATTTCCCATCTCACTATTGCCTGGTCCATCTGTGTTTTCCATCTGTGGTGTCGTAATGTTGCCGGTGCTACCTGCGTTAACGCTGCTGTTGGCAGCCCTCGTTGCAGCTGCAGATGCAGCCACCGCCTCTTCGCCTGATACGGCAGCAGCTCCGTTAGTCGCTTCGAGATTCGCCGGATTTATATGTATGGATCGTAAATTGATGCGTTGTAAATTGGCGATTTGGACGCGGACACGTGGCGCTCTCAGCCAGCCACGTTGGCGCAGCGCCCGGCGAAGTGTGTCCATCCACCCGCCCCGCTGTTGCTGTTGCTGTTGCACCTGATTTCGAAGAGCGTTAATAAATTCTTGCTGTTGTTGACGTTGTTGTTGTTGCTGCTGCTGCTGAAGCGGTTGTTGCTGTTGCTGCTCCTGCTGATTCGCGCGACGAAATATGATGGCTGCAGTCCGTCCCTGACCCGGCAACTGCTGTCGCTGCTGCGCGCCATTCCCCGCCACATTCTGATTGTTCGTTATGAATAGTATTTGCGCTTGCCGCATAATAACTGGCAACTCGTAACGATGGAAGAAATAAAACATCGAATGCTAAATGGAGAAGAGTGGAAAAGAGGTGGTTGATGTACAATTGACAGATTGTGGAATAAATTGTTATGTCGGAATGAAGAGAAAAACAAATTAGGTTTACACGTGATAAGAAAATAATCCAAGTGTACTAATAAAGTGTATTTACGTTTAGATTTTGATAAAAAAAAATTATGAAATGAAATGAAAAACTCTTAAAAATCAGATAAAAAAAATTCTGTTGGTCTAGGATTCTACAATACAATAGTCCTGTCGTTTGATATTACTACAATAAAAATCTTTCTTATTTAGACGTTTTTATTGCTTTATCGGAGGTAACCCTGGAAAAACAACAGAGTTTTTATTGATTTTTGATACGTGTGGCTTTCAATGAGGCGATACTTCTTTCAGAGATAGATACCTGTACTGAATTTGCCTCAGCTTGGTTTGCCATTTAAAAATGGAGAGACTTACTCCGTGGTTACATGCTCTAAACGTCACTGTTCAGTGTTCTTAGAGGAATCGTTAGTCCACATTTCCTCTCAACTGAAGATGACCATAACATACAGTCAACAGGGAACGCTACAGAGCCATGATTAATGACTTTTTCGAGCCTGAATTGGAGGATGTTGATGTGGACGACTTTTATTTCCAAAAAGACGGTGCTACATGCCACACAGCCAACCAAAGAACCAATTTATTGAAGGAAACCTTTGGTGAATGTATTAACGCGCATCTAGGGCCTATGGCGTGGCCACCAAAATGGTGCGATTTAACACCGCTGGCCGTTTTTGTTGTTTTTAAGGTCTTATCTTTATAATAAAATTAAGTTTTTGGTCATAACATTAAATTATATGCGTTTTAATTTTTTGTTGAGAACCACATACATATTGTATGTAAAAAAAATCTTTATTTGTCAACATTTATTAGGACACTAACGGCAATTTTTAACAAATTTTATTTTTTTTTAACTGTCGGATGAAAGAGATATATGATCTAATAACGATGAAAGTGAGGGCAACAAAACGAACACTTTCTGGTTCTCGTTAAATTTGCTTCGAGAATACCGTAAAGATCTATTACTACTATCCGGTGTTTGGCGAAAGTAATAGCCAAACTTGGAGCAAAAACCTCTGGTACTGAGTAGATCTGAGTACTCTATCCCAAAGTGCCAAAAAGTGTTCCCAATGTTAAACGACAGTAGAATAGAGGTAACTATGTCGCCGTTGCCGATTTTCGGCCGAGAACCGGTGCCATTTGCAATCGATGTCCTTACTCAGTGAGTCCTTAAACACGTGAAAAATCTGAATAAAATCAATAAATGGCACGTGAATTAACGCATCTGCATCATCATTCTCAGTTACTTCAACTCAACCAAATAGCTCGGCGCGTATACACATAAATTTGCTCATTTGGAGAATGTCAAATGCACGTGTCCTGGACGTAGACATGTAACTACAAGTACATTAACGATATTCACTGTAAGTATACAAGCTGCTCATGACAAACACATTCCGGCTAATAACGTCGAATGAGTGTACATTTTGCCCAAGAAACGGTCAATACATTCGAAAAACTAGGCATGAAAATCAACAATATGATTAAACATTTATAGATTAAAAAAACTATGTTAAATAATGATAAAATTCTTAGAAACCAAAGAACGACAATTCCTTATTATCCGGTTAATTAGTTTCAGATAGGATAAGGGAAATAAGGGTACACCACGTCACTATACACTTCATGCTAAACTTATGCTAATTTCAACAAACCCTGAGCTATAATATAATGGTGAAAGGTCCTTCATAAATTATCCAAAAAATCTTGCATATTTAGAAACAAAACCTTTTGATTTTCTTTTCCTACGCACTTTCCCATAATCAGAGCTGTGATACGGTCACTTGAAGTTACTCACCTGTATAAATAGCCAGGAGGATGCTAAAGCCAAACTGCGGTTCTGTCCACTAAAACGGTAATGATAGGCGTAGAATGCAAAATGATACAAGTAAAAGAATCTGTAAAGGAAAACGATAGTCATATAATAAAAATATATCATTTATATATGGAAATATAAAATGTATTATCTTTGAAGAGTTCATATATAATTCGAGACATATTGCATTTTCAAATGAAAATATAAACGTGCAATGGAATGTTCGCTTTAAAAAAAAGCTTTTGAAGTACGACGTTTGATCAAAGTCGGCTCGTAACCACTTATCAGCGCTTCTGGCCGCTGGTATCTAGAGCTGTCGGTTTTGTGTGAATTTCGGGTATGTGAGGTGAGCTAGTGCAAGTCAGGGGAAATGAGATTTTGTAAAAGCTGAATATTTAAATCGTAGGGTGGGGCCTTGATGGCTAGTGCAACCGAATACGTTAGTAACAGTATGTTAATGTGACGTAGTCTTGCTTCAAGGTATGCAGCACATTTACGAGTCGGCTCCTACACTTTCGCTTTAAAATCTAGTGTTCCCGATACGATTATTCATGCTGTGATATGATCCACCTTCAATCAGATCTAAAAAAAATCAGCAAAGATTGCGAGAATACTTATGCCTGTATGTAGTGCTCTATTCCGGTGTAATAACATTATCTTGGCCTTATGAGTTGTATTACGACAATTTTTTCCAGACAACCTGTTTTGTTGTTGCCATTGGAACCAATTTCACCGTCTCTTCTTCAGTTACATTGAAACTGCACCCGACAACGCTTCACTAAGCAGTGGAACTCCACGGACTGTACTTATGTATGTAGGTATGTACCTTTATCATGCCATCCTTGCGCACTCGTTCGTAAGTATCAACAAGTGAAAAGTTGTTTTCCTACCATTTCCTAACAATCGCTATCCAAATGTGAGTGCGAGTGAATGGAGCCAACACAATTTGCTGAAATGTTTTCATAATAATACCATATTTCAGCCAGCCCCCTCCCCATCTCAGCCAGCCATAGGCTATATGCCACCAATTTTATTTATCCAAATAAAATGGGTCATTCAACAAGTGACAGAAGCCGCAAATGAGTTCTTTTAAGCAACATTAAATGAAAAACAAATATATCCACCCAAATGGTTGCACATATCCACACTTAAATGTGTGTTCGAATTCATATATCTGAGTTGTACATATACATATATAATATATCGTACTTGTGTAGCCATGTATGTGTGTGTAGTGGCAAGTAGCAAGAAGAAAAATGAAAACAATTGAATTACTTACATACTTACACACACGTATTTATAGCCTCCCATTCTCTTCTATACACAAACAAACATATATGTATGTATAGCAAAAAGTGATTCATTATACACTATTGATTAACATACATACATACATTCATAGCCAAACTCACTTACACGCGCCTGTACATTTGTCCGTTAATATCAAAAAAAAAAAAAAAAAAAAAACAAACGCTCCACCTTCACAATGCAAACAATGGGACAACTCTTCAGGTTTAATAATAATATAAATAATTGCCATAGAGAACATTACATGGAAAATGGCAAATTCCACTTTAATCAATATGTACACCCCATATGCCCTATGTACTCATATACAATATAAATATGTATATGCAACTAGTCCTAAACTAGTTGTCAGTTTTGTTGTAGTGGTTCGCAAGGGAGTTCAAGGGAGTTCAAGCGGGAGTTCTATGATCCAGACTGTTTCGAGGGGTTCGGGCCATAGGGAGAGGGCTATCTCATTGCATACAGTACATACGTTGGGTATAACGGGTCAAGGTTGGATAAGTAGGAATTAAGTCGAAAGGTTAACTTTTTTTTTTTTGGAAATATTTAACAGGAAGACACGACAACAAACCTAACTTAATTTGCTTTATACAATTAATAGTGCCGTCAGACAGGACAATTTACAATACAATACAGTCAACCAAATCAAGGACTCGTTGCATTTTTCGCAGGGTTAAAACGGTGGAAAGTGGGCCAGTGTATTTTGTGTATTTGTTGCAGTTTGGAGAGCGTGGCGCTTTGCGTGGCCAAACCATCGCTTTCTGATCATTGTCGGCTTCACAGACGATGACAATATACGACCGACCACAGGGTCGTACGATGAAGTCCTCGAGTGAATTACACATAGTAATATCCTTACCAGCACAGTCAGTCATGAGGCAGTAGCTCTCGTCCCCATTGCATAATTCAAGATTGCATTCAAATTCCCCTTGCATTTACAACAGTGTGCATACAAAATACTGCATTATGTTTGTTGTCAAATAGAAATCTATATTAAGTCGAATATCACAAATTCTTAAGCAATAATCGGAAGCTTAATTTCATGCATCCAAAAATAATCTTTTAATTGCTTTTTAAAAAAAAAACTTACACGTGCGCATTTTCACCAATATTTGTTTTAGTGAAATGGACTATGAAACTCTTTTTGCCTAGGGAAATTAGTGATGGAGGAAAATACTAAATATCTTCTGTCATAACACAAATAGTCAGCGCATTCCCACGTCACTGTTGACAGTCTTAACTTTGATGTCGAAAATTATGTCGTCTATCTGGAGCCAGCATTACCGCCAAGGCCAGGCAACAGCCTGGAAATCCAACGCAGAATCAATCTTCTCAACAGGGGCTACTTTGGACGGAGTAAGCAATTGAAAAGTAAGGAGCTCGACGAACAATGACCAGACCTTACAAACCACTCATTATTGTCGTTTTGCTTTGTGGTGCGCCCTGGACGATGACAACATCTGATGAGCTGAATGAGTCGGTAAGAAGAGAATTTTCGTATTGGCAACGGCGATTACTCCAGACGAAAAATACGCTAACATTGGCATATGGAGTTCAGTGAACAGAGAGTCAGCGGAAAAGTGGAATCCGGACAACTTCTGTATTTAAAATTACAGAATCTTGCGAAAGCTTTTTTTTTTTTTGATGAGGTTTAATCAGACAAGTGTTGGAATCACCAATTATTTGCGGTCAATAGTTGCCAAACTATTGCAGGCTCGATTCCAAATGAATATTATTATAAAAAATATATACTCATAAAATAAGAAAGCCTGATATGAAATCCCCAATGATTTCGCTTCACTAACTTTTCAAAATAGCATTGATCCATTTTTTCGAAGTAGTGTAAGAATTCTGGCTTTATTATAAAATATTTTATTGTATTATTCGCTTAAGGGGTTACGTAGGTCTTGAAATTTCCAAAAATTCATTTTTATGATAATTTCTTGTATAAAAGGACAAAGTGTCAGGAATATCTGCCGTCTTCGTCATGGCTCGACCGATGGCGACACTTTAAACGCCTTTTTCTTAAAACCACTTTATCGAAATCGGCAGTCACAACACTTTCTTTCAAGCATGTTTTTGTAGTCCCTGAACGAAGGATTTATTTTATCTTTGATTTCAACTCATTTCACAAGCCAATTTTACGCAATTTTTAATTTTTTTTAATTTTTCTTCGTTCAAAAAAAAAAAAATTCAAAATTCACCTAATTTAAGAAAAAATTTGGATTTTTGATTTCAAATAAAAATTAGAAAAGTTATCACGACTACAGCGTAAGCACTTTCTTGTGGATAACTACTACTTTCCATTCAAATTTTCGTCAAATGTCGTCCACATATTGTACTTTTATATGTAAATAAAGTAAATTGTATACTTTATTTAGTATCTTTAAAATAAAAAATTAGAAAATTGAAGATTTTTTTTTGGTTTTCAAGACGTAAGTAACCCCTTAAGTCAACTTAAGCCACTCTTTCATATGACCACACTTATGTTCATACATACGTGTACGTATGTAATAAGCTCGGTAATATGTAAAGGTGGTTTTTTAGAGGTGTGGTTTTCAATGAAGCACAACTTTTTTCGGAGTTGTTTTTTCTTTGCAGCTGGGTCAGTCGGGTTTGCCATTTCATAATGAGCAGACTTACTCCGCACCAACGTTTACAAATCGCGCAAATTCATTACCAAAATAGTGGTTTGGTTCGGCGCGATGCACGTTTATCCTTATGGATCTTCAGAGACGCCGTACACTGCGCACTGAAGACGCTACTGCTGCTGTGAAGCAGAGTATCCAAGTAGACCCGAATGAGTCCATCTCCCTAGTGTGTACCATTGGGATCTGGCCCATTTCACTTTATTTAGTGAATGCGCCAAAAATGCTTAAGACCTCTTTTGATTAAATGGGTAAGTTAATAAGCAAAATCCACATTGTTAGGTCGCCGTTACACCCTCAAAAAGTCACTGTTTTGTGCACTCTATAGGCAGAGAGAATCATTTGTCCATATTTTTTTAAAAATGATGCTAGCCGTAATGTTACGGACAATGGGGAACGCTATGGAGCCATGGTTAAAGGTTTTTTCTTTTCTTGGAGGATGTTGATGGAGTCAAAATGACGGATTTTTTGATTGAGTGGCTCCCAAGATCGTGCGATTTAACACCGCTAGACAGTTTTCTATGAGGTTATTGTCTACACAGGGAAGAAACGTTGGGTTTTCGACAAGAATGTGTTCGAGCCGGGGTTCACTTGCCCGAAATCATTTTTAAAACAAAATCGAAAACCCTTCCCTAATGTGCGTTTTTTCCCAACTTGAAAAATACATGTCTAAAACAGATACCCTTTATATATGTCTGTGGTTGCTAGCACAGATTGTTCCGGATGCTACTGTCATCTTCTAAAATGGGAGTAGAAAAAAATGAAAACAGTGAAAATAGTGTTTGTTTCACTCATCTGGAGGTGATTGCAAGCGCCGTCGGACAACCACTCAGCGTTGTTATAGACACGTTTTCCGTAGCATTTTGCAAAATGTGACTTTCCATGTCGATTCCATTCCAACTCATTCGCTTCGTTAATGGAGCACAAAGACGTCAAGCTTTCGTTCCGTATGAAACTGAATTTGTACGAAGAAACCCCATCAAAGTTCATCTATGAAAATGTATAGATTCATACACACATACATAAATATGAGCATACATGCATTCGGATGTGTGTTACGAATGCGCCCCTCTGATGTAATGAAATGACAAAGAAAAAGATTTCAGTAAATGCATGCCTTGCATGGGGCAAATTTAATTTTGAAAATGCGAAGAAGCACACGTAAGTGAGAAAGGTTTTTGACTGTGATTTACCTGAGAGTGGCCAGAAGCTTTAGTCTTAGACCAAGTGCCCTGAGAGTTCTCCTGCAAGCGATGGTTGATGTTCTCGTACGACTAAAGGCTGACACGCAGTCAACCATCAACGTTAATACCAAGCGAGCTTTGACATCCTTCGCCTCAACAACAGATAGATTAGACAAAGAAGCGAAGAGAATGAATCAGTCTTACCGACGGGTCAATTTTGAACTGAGTAGGCAGTTGAAAAGTAAAATTCTCTCTCGACAAGTCGCTCAGCATTCCCGTTCCACTAAAACGTGCAGGGGAGGACTTCTCCTCTGTTAAAAGGGCCAGGTAAAGAGCGACCGAGTTTTTCTTTGTATTTTTGCAAAGTGCTAGGTCTGGGGAGTTAGCTGATTTCATTAGCGTGTTATTTTTAGCTAAAACTTCGCCGGAAGGTTCAACGTGAAGGAGATATTTTATAAAGAATGCCACCCTAGATTTCATGACGTACCACGGCCCTGCAGCCGGGAAAAAATATAAGCGATACCTCACGATAGCCGTGCTTTTTAGATCACTTCCAGAGGACTTTTAGCAAAAGCAACATGCGGAACGAATCTGCAACAAATTTTTATTCGAGCCAAGTGCCAAGGAGGAGACAGGCATGTACGCAAATATATTTATACAGAGCTCTAGAACATTTCGTTTTGAAGGGAAGTTTGCGGGATGTCCTCCTCCTGCATAACTCGATTAGTTGGAATCAACTTAACTTACCATATTTTCATGTATGTATAAATGTATATACATATATCTTCTTATGCCTACGCAGATACATATGCAGATGTATGTACATATATTAATACATCTACTAATTTTCATACAAACGCATGTAGTGCAGAAAAAAAAACAGGCAACGAAACAACATTGAATAATGGGTAACAAACAATAGTCCAGGTGTACTTAGACAATAATGAAGCGATTTTCCAGTTATGTACACCCATCAACTGCACCTTAGAATAAAAGCAAACAACCACGGAGAAAGTTCAAGCAACCAACAATACAGAGAAAAGCAAACAAAATCTACAAAAATGATATAGAAAAGGACTCACTCAACCTCAATTCTACATTTAGAACACAAAACACTTCTCCTTTCCAATCACCCCTGAGCCGCCGCCATCTCGCAGCACTTGGCATTTCACACGACACAACTTAACGCAATTTCGCTTTACGTAACGTGATCTCAATCAACAAAAACACCAAAGGAAACAGTTATAACAGCGCCACACACACAATAGCAAACATCGATGGCAACAAAAGCCATAAAAGCTACATTCAACAAAATGCATACATACATATATGTATATACATATATATTATAATGGTAATAGCCATACAAATGTACATATACATATAAATACGTACGCATCGACACGGGTCGATGGGCTGTGTTGGTGAGTTAGTTTAAGATACGAAATGAAGTGGATGGATACGGGAAGCCTAGCATGACCTCACCTCCGTTCACCCCTTATAGTATGTAGTAAACATATGCTACGCACATACATACTTATTACCGATTTAACCGCCAATTTCACCCACTCGTTCCGACAGTGGCAACAGCAACTATCACCATCGTCACCAACAATCTGTTGCCGCCGACATTAGGGCTTTCGCCGTTTACAAACTTTCATACCTTGCTACTAGTGCATACATCCAGGCATACTAGGTGCGCTCAAAAATTCACGAAAATTTTCATTTTTCGAATCAAATATTTATTTATTAGTCTGGCCCTTAGATCTTTCAGCAAGACGTTTTTCATTTCATCCAAGTCTCTCTTTATTTTGTCAATTACAAAACTATGTCTGGCGAATATATAGGCTAATGTTACTTGCTGACTTAAATGGGGTTAGGAGTCTCGGAGTCATACCACTACCTATTACAGACGAAGAGCTCGAGCTGCATCGAAAATCCCGCTTAATATTGGCCCAACTTGCTATCCTACCCAGACATGACACAGACTTACCCAATGTATGACTTCTCGCCAGCGATGAACTTGTAGGAAATACTGCTTTTTGTACCTTTAAGATGGCGGCAGAAATTTATGATGCACAATGCCATTCAAATCGTAGAACTGTCTTAGCAAACTGGAATAACTCAACTGCGTTGATGATGCAGCCTTAGCTTCAACGTCAGTGCACATTTTGCAGCCACGCATTTAATACTCAAATCGTTAAAAAAAATGCTTGACTTGAACCACATGATTACACCATCATGTACTTCAACGATCGTTCGGGCTGTCACAGACAAGTTCATGCATACCAATATATTAATAAAATGCATGGCTAGATAGATAGACTCTCCAAGACGAAATTTAAAAATTTGTGTTATTTTTTTTCACACTCGTAAACACGTCGCCAGTTCGAATATTCACCGACCACAGAACACGACTACCTAACGCGAGTTATGACTGTCATCGCTGTGCCTGCTACATTGTGTTAGCCGTTTAAGTCTTTATCTCTCAAGGGACGGAAATTATCTCTAATTACCTCTGTTTTCTTCTACATGCAGCTGTTAAAATTTTCCTCATTCAAAAATTTATAAATCGTACTTAGGCGGTTACAACTTGTGAACACAGATATACATACATATATATGTATGAGAGCACATATACTCGTAAATGGACATAAAAATGCATGTACACAAAAGTGTCGGAATTATAGCGACTGTTCAGGAATTCAACAAATATTCAACCGCTTTGCATCCCCTTGTGCATGTTTTCGTCCTTTTCTCGTTGACAAATGGCATCTAACAATATGCCAGCCAACTTATGTCCACTCACCCACGGTAAGGCATGTCAGTAGTGAAGACGGCTAAAATCTAATAATTCCAGCGACTTGGATCTCTACTGCTGTTGGAACGACACGTATTGTTATCACCAAAAACCAATTTAGGGCATATTTCCTCTCGAGTTTGGACTTATTAAAAAATCGCTTAAATTATTAGAAAGCTTCAGTTCGTTAAAATAATTTATGAAACTAACAGTTCTAAATATAATAGATTTCGATTAAATTGTGTTGTACCGTAGGAAAAAAGCCAAAAAGCGAAAATAATAGCTTCGTTCCTAAACTAATGAAAGTATCAAGCAAACATCAAATATCGGCCGTCGCGGAGGATCCGTTCTAATTACTGTTTCGCTCACGCTCCTTTTCCGAGGATTTATTCAAAATCACTTAGGTATGCGTGCCCACTCAAAAAAATTTCACTGAAAACCTTCTTCTCCGTAGATCAAAAAAAGAATTTGTTAGAACATTTGCGGCCCCATGATGAAATAATAACCAGGTGAAGTAACTAAGCAATTGTCTCCCTCCCGCCAGCTGCCTTAGCAAGACTTGTTGCTTTTATAGAATTATATTCCCATGTTTAAATAAAAATCTTGGAAAGAAGCGTGAACTTAAACTTTTTCATCTTTGAAAAGAGTAGACATCACTACAGATGTTTCAATGACTGAATGACTGCTGAAATGTCAATCTGTTACAAATAAAATTGAAATTGTTTTCTTTGAAAAATTATGTTGTCGCAAGATAGATTTTGTAATATAAACATGCAATAAATATATTTATTCTTAGTTCATAATTGGTCAGTGTCGCATCTTTACACAAAGCGGGAATTTAATCGTTGGAGCTGTGCAATGCATGAAAATATTTTGCACACGTAAAAAATATCAGTGAAAATTTCATTACTAAGAGATTATGACAAAAACATGTGAACCCCGCTAGGAAGTGCACCATGCATATATGCGATATTTTCTACAATTCTCTATAAAAAAAAATACGTAATAAATGCTATTTTTTAAATAAATTCTATAACTTTATTTAAATTACTTTATTATAGCCTTCTCACTTATCTGAAAATGTTCCAGAAAAATATTTCTATATTGAAACGATGGACCTTAGGTTAGATTTTAGGAATAATTTAAGGCATAAGGCAAAATAACTCTCAGCTTTCATTTAATGTTCGGTTAAGGACTTCAATGACACATACTTTGCCAATTTAGACCCAGTTGTTTGGAGTCCAGACTTTGAATTGTATAGAAATAAATTGGAATTTGTATAAAAGCAATTCTTACTATCGTGTTAAGTAACTTACACTGGAATGTCAATAAGATTCTTTCTTTTTAAAAAATTAATTTACGTCACATTAATCTGCCTTCACCGTATTGCCGTTAAGCGATTATTGAAGATTATTTTGAACATAATTGATAATTATTGTGTTCGAGCAAAACCAATGTTGGAACAAAGTTTTTAATACTTATTCCACCCGTTTTGATTCCTCTAAGCCTTATTTATGCATCAAGATCTAGATACTTGAAATAAATAAGTAATTTTCTTCTCCTTTTTTTATGTAATATGCGAGGTGTGACAATCAAGTAAAAAAATTAACCTAATCTTTTTGAATTGCGGTCGTCATTTGGCTGTAACATCCTAGAATTGGGTTTCTCTCATGAAACAAAAGCTTCTCATAAAAATTTGTCAGCTTAGAATTAAGTCTAGGCCTCTGTACATCATGAATAGGAGGAGGAGCTCGGCTGGAAACGCTTCAGTATTCTTAAAGCGCCAATTACATATTACACACAACCACAGCCAAGTCTCCAAATTTATTCAGCTGTCGTTTGATTAAAAGAAGGTCAGCCTCCATACAAATGTTGGTCATGGCCATTTGTTTGCATGTTTATATGACCAAATGCACTTCTGTCGGTAGTGGTTTTTGTCAACAGTCAAAGAGTCGTAGGCTCAGAACCAAAGAAAAAACAGAAAAAGTGTAGAATTCCATTATCTACGTCATGAACATATTTACATAAGTTTCTGTTCATACCAGCCATCTTTTCAGCCTCCCTGAAGAATAAGTTTTTTTTACTGAGTCATAACTTTCTATGTTTCATTTTCATACACCATTTAGAATCTAGCAGATTTTTAATGAATACTTCATAGCAATTTGAGATCTTGGCACTTTGCATGACAGAGGATTTTAAATTAAGTTAGGGTGTTAAGGACCAACAGTTCATTCTATCCCGGGTGAGAATTAGAGCCAATTACCTTTCGCATGCGTAACATGTTTGTGTGAAAATAAAAATTAAACAATTATTTCTAAAAAATTGGAAATGTTGAAATGACAATACAATTTACATAAAGTTTCTGCATTTAAAATTTAAGGTTAAGTAGAAGTAAATACCAAACACTGACCTCAAAACTTAGAAAATTTGACATTTGACGTCAATTTGAACTTCGATATCAACATCATAATGGAATCGGAAACAAGGGGGAAACTAATCCACTAGATATTCAGAATGGTTGCTCATTGCGATATTTTTAAAACAACATTTTCAAACTGCTAAGAAACGACTAAATGGATGAAGCCAGTCGCTCCCTAATTATGTGAACTCTCCCAACCGTCCGATAACAAAGGAGGTTTCCGACAATGACTTCTTTAATTTAATGCTGGAGAAAGTAAAATTGCAGAGCTACGTAGGCAATGTCTTCCCAGTAATCATTGAGCACCACAACTGCGTAATTAGTTCTGCTTTTATATTCAGTATAAAGTTTGGGGTCTGCGGAATGGTTAAGTTTACGCTTGAAAAAGGTAAGGAATTATTTAAAACGTACTTCGAAAAGTCTCCAACCGCAACTGCAGAAAATATCATTCGTAATGCGGCCGAAGTAACTCTTCTTTCAGACAGTTTGTGGATCATTTTCTGCAGCGGGTGCATCAAATTGATTCGTTATCAGACAACAAAACTCGCATACGTCGCATATTCAGAAGAAAATATTGCTTCTATAGTAGTGTCATTAACATGAAACCGTGCAGAGGAAGCTCGGTGTGAGCGCTTATAAAGTCGAATTGGTCAAAGAAATGAAATCACATAAATATTCGCTACGATTTTGCATCGTTTCATGGATTGCATACATGCATATATAAAAAAAAAACATGATAAAACGGTTTATGTATAAATAAAGTCAAAGTGAATGGAGTGCTTTTTTGAATGAAACTCACCTCAGCCAATGTCGCTTTGTGATGCTGGTGTGGCAGCAAATTGCATCATATTGATCAGCCACCCAAACAATCAATATGATATAGAACGCTGTTGTTGTGTCATTAAAGAACTCAGACATTATTGATTCCATTCCTTAAATTAAAGTTTACATGTATATTCAATTACAAAATTATTTTTTGTTTGTTATGTAGCATAGTTGCTTACCAACAAGCGCTAGAATTACAGTTAGCAGTGGCGCAATAGGGAACCGAGCAGTGACGTTGAATTCCAACATTTGCAGAAGATCGACTGTAGGTTAAATACATAGTCCGTTAACATGACATGATGTTGAATTGAATAAACTTACCAATGAACACGAAAATTTGGTGATGGGAAAACCGTAAAAGCATTGAAATAGACAATGTCTAGAAATAAAATCAAAGAAAATTGGATTAAATAAAATTGTAATTTACTATCGAAATCAATTGTTCGTTAATATGTATGCAAAAACATATATATCCATGATTTATCCTATTATAAGTACTCATACATATGTATATATATATTATATATTACATACATGTTTTTGATTATATATAGATATACTTACAAAAAGCACCATTACAAAAAACGCAGTTAGGTATGAACTCCATGCAGCCCACCACATTGAAACAAAACGGTAATGCTCACCAGTTATAACATTACGTAAATATCCTTTATTGTCCTCCTTTTCAGCGATTACACGGACCGATGACATTAGTAAATCGTCATATCTAAAAGCAAATAATATATATGAAAATGTATTTCAGATCCACGGCAAAAATACTATTTACCCCAACAGTCGTTTTAGTAAAAATTTGCTAAATTTGTCGCCGAAACATTTGTCAGTCATCGGATCCAATTGCACTACACGAACAGGAATTTTTAGACGTTTTCGTGTTGACGATGACAAACGCAAGTGTCCATATTCTAATGAATATTCCACAATGTATTGTTCATCTGCAAACTTACGTATTACATATTACTTTATATACTCCATGAACAAATCGTTTACCATCATCGTTTTCAGACTTTTCTATCTTTTCGTTGGCTTCAATTTTTGTAGATTGTCCAGTAATGGCTTCTGTTTTGAAATAATAAATTAGGGTTTCATTTGCGTAGGCAAAAGTAGGTCGCAGTTGAAAGCCGCTGCGTTTCAATGTCTTTTCATATTCCTTTAAGTGATAATCATTCGCTTTAGTTTGAGGACCAATGCCATAATGGCTAACAATAAAAGAATATGTTATTTACGTAATTCTGAGAAAATGTTACGTTATCAAATTTAGCATACTAATATTTTTGAAGGTAACGCACTAGCTCTTCGTTTGCTTTAGTTTTTGACAACAAATCACGCTGGGCCTCCAGGTTTGGAATAACTTCAACTCTACAAAAAGACAACGAAATGTTTATCCTCACCATTAGTTTAGTGATGAACCTTACCTAAGAACACCATCCCGAGGCCAATCTTTTACATTTTGCAGACATGTAGCTGGATGTTTAATGAACGTCAAGTGGATGTAAACCAATGCAAAAAAGAATAACAATGCTTTGACGAGTATAAAATATTCCAGAGCTCGTTGAAGGGGTCTTAATAGAAAATTAATAGGAAATGTAATTATGCTTTAACTAAGCTAGCAAAATTAAACTTACTTAGGAAATATTTGCGCATACATAAGAGCAACTTTGAAGTAAATAGCATGAAACAGCCGATCACGCACGTTCATTAAATTATTCTGAAATTAATAATAAGGAGATTAAATTACAAAGCTGGTTAAATAAATTTTTTCAAGAACGAAGAAATTGAAATTTAGAAGTCATTCTTTAATAAGCATTAATAAAAAAAGGCCTGTGTTTTTAAAAATGTAGGTATATAATTTGTTCAAATATATCCCTAAGTCATTATTTAGATTCCTGCATTAACTTTATAAGGGTATATGATCCAATGTCATGTTTAAACCACTACTACATTTTTTCTATATATACATATATCTAACTTATATTTGTATTCTTACTTGTCCCCCGCGATTTCGATTATTGTTAAAATTAAGTGGATTTGCCGTTAAGTCAACATTCCAAACATTGGCAAAATTCGGTACATTCCTATTTATGTTACGATTCGATACACCCGGTTGAGGTTGTTGTTGTTGTTGAGCAGACGAGGGCGGCGGAGCGGGAACATCCTGTGTATTATTTGGAGTGTCGGCCATTGTAAAAAAAACTTACTCCAAAATTCTGTAGAAGTAAATATCTACAGTCGATATTCAGCTTTTTCCGAAAGTAATCAAAGGATGGCCACCCACAAAACTAGTTTAGATTCTATTTTGGTTAAAAGCAATATATAGCAGTCTGAAAAATGTATTGCTAATCAGAGATTACCACCTTAAAATTGGAGTTGAAGCAGCTGATGAGTCTGCACATTAATTAAAACAAATACAACACAGATTCCAACTTTGGTGTCATGTTATAAATAGATTGAAGAAACTTAATTAATTTTGCTGGTTTTATAAAATTTTGCAGTTAGGCAATACAAATCTTTCACTATTTTCTATCTAATCGTTCTTCTTTTCATAGTAGCTATTCACAATGAAACAAAAAACAATCCACGTAGAGTCTGCGCAAGCCAAAATTAAGCGTATAGCAAGTCGCCAGTATGCGAATAAGAATTCTATGTTTTCTATGATGTCTCACGAGCGTTATCTATTTTTTAACAGTATTATGGACTTGGCTAAACTTTTTTAGCGCCACCTATGAGTGAATAGTTACTAAGGAATTCAGAGAACGTAAATCTACCGGAAGTCAGAGATTTACATACATACACAAATGTATACATATAAAACGATTCAATATTAATAATATATAAACAATGAGAATATTTTTTTAAAACTAATTGTGACCAACTCCATACATTCCTCAAATCCTTTGCGCATCAAGTTCACTCAATGTTATTCTTGACATTTTATTATTGCAAATTTGCATTTTTTATTTCAATATAAGACTAATAACTTTCCAAATCATTATAATTGTATTCCCTTACCTTTCGTTAAACAATATTTCAAAGAAAGGTGTGTCTACCAAAAAATTTTGAATATTACAGTCGGGCTCCTCAACTCTGTGCGAGTTTTCGTTGGTGAATACAAAGATTCCCGAAATAAAAATACGCATTGTTTCATTCATCAGAATTTATTTTTTGCTTTTTTCAGTGTATACAATCAATAAATACGCATTTTTGCTAGATTGTTTTGCACATAGTGTTTGTGTTTTGTGAGATATTCGCAAGATAAATCAATTAGAAATATGGACAGTAAAGCTTTTTCGAGTTTCAATCTCAACACAAGTAAACATACATTAGTTTATTATACATAATTTTAATTATTTGTTCTTTTTCGTAACATTTTCATAAGGAATGCTTTCGTCGATATGTATCTCTGAAATTTATTAGTAAAATAAAAAATAGAATAAGCGATTTTTAAATTTTCTTTTTCAAGTGCTTGATAGGGCCACTTACGTGTATCTAAATTTCTTTAAAACACTATAAAATATCGAAAATTATCGGGCAGCTTAATATATATATATATATATTTTCGCTAAAAAGCGTCAGAATCCCATTAACCAAATATTTATTAAATCATTATGTTATTAATCATGCAAACGATTTTCATATTTAAAACATGAAAGAGGATGAGAGATAAAGATAGTAGTAACACCAGTGGGCCGGTATGGGTGGTAAAGGTTGGAGTCCTGCCCAGTACAATATGTACGTATGTATATAACTAAGCTTTTTCTCATTTAAATCTTATTATTCCCTAATCGAACTTCACAAAAGTTTTTTTTTTTTCGCAAAAATCTTGTAGTCACGACTTAGCTTTTAATTTAATTGATTTTGAATATATTATATGTATGTATGTATACATATGCACAGAAAGCTGAACTGAATTAATTGTAAGTTTTACGTTGTTCATCAAGCACTCGGATAACTGGTATACACTTTTTTCCCCTGAATGTAATTAAAAAAGTAAATAGTTTAAATGAGTCATGTTATTGCTACTGATTTGTTAAATGTTTGGTAAATTGTTTATATATATGCATGTATATATGTATGTAAATATTAACTATTTTTGTGGCATTTTACTCTTACTTAGCTTGTGGAATGTACAATAGCTAGTGGCTTTTAGCATATGAGTACGTGACACATCCATATCTAATACATACACAAACATTTATTCACTTAAAGCGTGTAAGTTTTCGCATTACTTGTTGATAATGACATACATACATATGTATGTATGTATGTGTTTGCGTGATAATATACTCTTTGTGTTAATATAATTAAAAAAATTTCAAAATTTCGCTATAAAAAGTGGTTTGCATTTTGCTTAGTCCTTGTTTTTGTTATTTAAATATTAATATATTTTCGTTATATTTCCCATCTTTAAATCGTAAATGATATCTCGTCTTCGCTTGCCATTTCATACATAGTCCTTTGTTATATTTTAAATTTAAATTTAACTTACAACTACCTCTACAACATCAATTAATTATTCGGTTGTTCTGTAGCAGACGTTCATATGTATGTATTTGTGTTTATATATCTATGTATATATCTATGTATGTATGTATGTATGTATGTATGTATGTATGTATATTAATATCTACACTACATTATACTTACAAATATGTAGTTTTTGTCATTACATCTTATGCATGTATGTTTGACGCTTACAACACGTGTCTATGCCTTCTGATCTACATACATACATATGTACATACACGTATGTACGTGTCGCTTTGTCAGAGGTGCAGCTTAAACATCCACTACAACTATGTATTACCTATTCATTATGCTTTATGTGTTTATATTCATTTATTAAGATTTGTTTATTTGTTTTTAATTTTCTATTTTGTAGAAAAATGCGATGCAAATTAGCCTTCTTAAATTTATTATAATCGATACTTTTTTTCTTTGTTTTTTTTTTTGCCAATATATTATATGTATATGTATGCATGCATCTAATTTTAATGTTGTTTTAGAGGTGTTCTCATACATATATTCATCTGTTTTTTGTTTATTTTTTTTTTTAATTGAAATATTGACAGTCACAGGCTTAGTTGAAGCATTGTTTAAACTATATATATGTAAGTATGTATCGGTCTGCGGTATCTAAATGTACGTATGCACATACATTTATGATCCTTCAGTATATATGTATACATATTAGCTACAATCTAATTTCAACTAATTTAGACATTTTTTTTTTATAAAATATTAAACCATTTCTTTGTACAAACGCAATAGTATATTAAACAAATGTTAGGAGTATTGAAGGTTGTTGATACGTATTTGTTACGGCATTTCAAAGCAATCCCGTTTCCACATTGTGTGCCGTCCCCAGCGTGTTAGGATCAAAATTCAATTTCAACTCTCCGGCCAAAACAATCTCCGAAATGCAGCCAACGATGCCATTTAAATATTTTCGTCGTGTAAAATAAATCTCATCCGGTATCCCACCTGTAAATAATTTCAAAATACCATATTCAACCAAATCACGCGTGAAATATGCAATCAAACGTACACGTATGTATGTATGAAAGTTCCTAAAATGAGCACTAGAAATATTATGTACTTTACTTACCAACATATAGTCCTGTATCCGTATTCAACTGTTTCAATTTACCAGGTGCTTTTCGAGTTGATGTTTTTCTGCCGTCAATTTCCAAATAGCCGGTTTGTGAGTCTCTGGAAAAGGCAAAAAGGCAAGTAAATACTACACTGATTGTTAACAACAGGAAAAAATAAATAAAAAAACGCGTTAGAATCTGCACTTTTAAAACATGAAAATTGTTTTACGAAATCGGAAGTGGTGGGATTTCTTTGCGGTAATAATCACAAATACTCGTACAGTGTCGCCCGTTACACCCCGCCAAATTCCAACCATTTCAATCACTATCGCCTTTCGTCAATGTTAAAATCCTCGTTTTCTATTACTAAAACATATGACATTATTGTTGTAATAAGCGTCATCAACTCATTGGATAATTTGGATTGGAATGGAATGGAATGTTAATGACAGTTTGCCAGTATCTAGTTCAACTCGACAAACTCAGGTTTTCCAAAATCAGCTTTCTGATCTTTTTTGGTTTTTGGTTGACGTTTCGGCATTTTCTATAAGTCGCTGTGATTCTTTACTTTTGCCCGAAGATGGTTGGATGGATGGAGATATATCCGCAGACTTTTTCGAATCTAATAATGCGTGGAACACAAATTCAAAACCGCAGCCATTTATTTGCCCGCACTTATTGCCTTGTTTTGATTGCGAAAAATTACCTTATATTTCCGCTGATATTGTTTATCACCATCTTAATGCCATTAAGGACTCATTTACATGCGGACCGGATAATATCCCTACTAGTGTACTTAAATTTTTTGCTGAATTCTTATACATACCATTAAAGGTCATATATTTTACAACAACATAAATTATGGTATCCAAAATTTTCGAAGCTCATTTTTATTTCATTTTAAACTCGATCATTCCTTTCTTAAGCGGATTTCATCGTACAAAGAGTAATTTTTAAATCTTGTACATCCCGGGAAATAGCAGCAACATCTAATGTTCCTCAAGGCATTCACGTTAGCTCCTTACTTTTCCTGATATTCATCAATGACCTTCCAAATATGGTTCCTCATTCAAAAACACTCAAGTGATCTAGGTGCCAAAATGGACTTTTAGCTAGATTTTAGAGATCATATATGTATGTAAATTCCTGTGCAACTAAGGCAAAAGGCGTCGTAGCTTTCATTAAACTTTGGGCTAAGGAGTTCAACTTGAGTTGAAGAGTTGACTTGTTAGGCCCCTTTTGGAATATGGCTCAGCTGTATGGAGTCTGCACTATCTAACAAAAGTGGGATTCGGCTCATTAATTTGCCTACACTCCATGGTCATAAAAAGATGCTTGGAGTTTTATCTTTAACTAAATTGATAAGAGGTGTTATCAATAGTCCTTTCCTACTTAACGAGCTTAATTTTACTGTCCCTTTAAGATCATCTATACACTTTAGGCCCTTCTGCGATGGGTCTCGGGTTCAGGTTAGCCCGGACTGTCACTAGATTGTGGAACATGATATCTAAACAGTATGGAAACTAGAAACTGAATTTATTTTTCTCACTAAATAGTTTTTCCTCAATTTTGAAGCTTCATTAAAGTTTGCGATTTATACAATAAACACAAATGACTACCGACTCACCTAAAAGCACGAACCCTATGCCATAGACCGTCGCTTACTCGGCTTGTGTTAAATTTGATGTCAACTTCTCCGGAACCCAAATCGTAGCGAAAGTGCAGATGACTGAAATTTAAGGTAAACAAAATGAAATGAAAATGTCAATATTTTATTTGCCTGTTTATTAATAAGGCGTATGCCATCCTGAGCCAGTGAGTTTGCTTGACTCTAATACGTACCCATTTTCAATTCCCAAAGATAAGAAATCTGCATTTTCTTCGGTAGCACCCTGGCGACCAGTCCACAGGATAACTCCATTCTCTGAATGGGTTTTGATGCGTAAATTTAAGTCTATATTATAACTAATGACCTGGCTCATAGTTTCGGCGTCGTTGTAATGAAAATAGCTGTCTTTACCGGCAAAGCACGCACCGAAATTCTTTCGCACGCCAACAAGTTCGCTTTTATGGTCTGCTGGTAGCTGCATCTTTTTCAATAGGCTCCAATCTGTTTGTGTATCGAAAACGTTGGATGATTTGTTTTCTTTGATAGACATTACTTTCACATCAGCCGCAGCACTTGTTGGTTCTATAATGTAGTTCCTGTGTTCTCTTAATTCTGAACCAATTTCCATTGGTACAGTCCAGTTTTTTGTCCCTCGACTTTTGCTATTTAGGATGAATTTCGAACCATCTTCTTGGCTACCATCATCATTTTCGTAATCATATTCTTCTACAACTAAGTTTAAGCCCTTCTTAATATGTGTATTCTCCGGTCCATTCGCCAGTATACGCCGCATGTCTTGAACCAACTCTTTTCGGTGGTAATCCTCGTCGCTGTTTTTAGCATCAAATAAAGTGTCATCCACAAGAAACGGTTCGGATTTCGTTTCCTCATTCATAGCGTCGTGTGAATGCCCCCGATCACCACCATACTCATCGTATTTCCAATCGAAATACCTTCTGTGCACATCCTCGTCCAAGTTATCGCCCTCGTTACTTCCTCCATATTTTGCTTCCATGCTTTGCGAATTCTTTTCTTGGTCCTCAGTAATTTCTACTTCAACATTCTCGTCGAATGTCAATATGTCTATCTCTGGGTTAGTTTGGAAACTTTCATAATGTGTTGGTAATTTACTTAATTTAAAGTTAAAAACATCTTTTTGGTAGCGGTCACTCTTATCATAGACCTGGGAATCGTTCGCACTTTTCAGCCACAACAACTTATTTTTCTGAGATCTTGGTACTTTTTTTTGCTCATTTTTCTTTTTATAATTATGCGGCGCCACATTGTTGTAGTAGTTATCATCCAAATGGCGACTATCGGGGTAAATTATATCATCGTCGTCAGTGTCAGTGACACCACTTTTTCGCCTTCTGTCGTGCCCGTTTTGGGCAAGTTGTGAAAGGATTGTACGATCAGTGAAGGGTTTCGTTGTCGTAAATTGTCTTTTTAGTTTTTTGGTGTAATTTTTTTTCCCTGAAATCGTTTTGGAATGATCTCTCTCTTTCGATCTCTTGTGTAATGAATTTTGTCTTCTAACAGTTTTAATGTTTTCTTTATTTGTTTTCTTTGTATGCTTCTCTGGTAACTCTTTGATTGGTACCTCGGCCGCTGTACTGCATTTGCTGGTAAGGGCGTTGCAGCGACATTCGTAACTCTCCATTTGGGGTACGCATTCAGCGAGAGGACCACAGGGCCTTGCAACGCATGCATGCGGACAATTCCCAATGTTGCTACCCCCTAATGCCTCCGAAACAATAGACAATGAGCGGCCATTGATATCGATCTTTTGAATGTAAAAACAAGAGCAAGCCATTATTTAGCCTTAAGTGGTGGTGTTACAAGATTACTGTAAATAAATTGAATTGATTTGAATACCTTCTGAATGCAACCAACGAAGAAGGCTTTCGATTTCAAATCCAATGGAAGTTTATCTTCGTGGTTGACTCCACCCAAGAATACGTTTTCGGGCAAAGATAAATGCCAGAAACCATTCGATGATATAGTCATAACTTCTGGAAGCTTATCAACCTTAATGAAATTCAAAAATTCAAAATAAATTCCGTTACACATGATATGCAGACGTACATAAGATATGAAATGTAAATCTAAAACTAAATTTAATATCATTTTTTACCTTAAGAACTGCCAATCGTGCCGTCCGTGATACTTTTACAGTATGCCATTGGCCAATAGTCAGAGGATACTCGCTCCTATTTGTAAAGAATCGTTATATATTCAAAAGTTATTACAAAAATCTGCATATAGGAGGTAACGGTACTGCATAAATCAGAGATTAATTACCTCACAATCGCGGGCCCGCTGCCAAGATCAAAAGTGAACTCAGCAAAACCTCTACTCAGTGATAAGGCAATGAAATCACCATGTTTCTCGGAACCGGAATATAATATTAAGCCATCGGGTTGTTCCGCCTTCACTATGACCTAATAAATGCCCAATAAGTCGTCAAAATAGGTTGTAACACATTCACTACCGGTTTGTTTCTATTTCATGCCTACCTTCAATTCCAACCAAATGAGCGCACTGTCCCCGAGTGGAGCATAACGAAGGTAGGATGAGCCGTTGAAAGATGGCACCTGAGGAGGGATTTGAATGTTTGTTAATGGTAATGTAATATGCAAGCAACGCAAAGGCGTAATCGAACCTGGAGATCCATTCGTATTTCACAGAGATCACCTACGAATCCAATGGGGCAGAGACAAACGGCACCTTGGTCGGAGGGCAAACATTTGCCACCGTGTTGGCATGGGTATGTGAAGCACTTGTCAGTTACGCAATCCTCTGCAAAGTAACACGTTTAGGACATGGAGGTTATTTATTTAATTTTAACAAAAGCTATATACATATATATGCACATATATATTTACATCTGGATTATACTCACGTATGTCGAAACCTCTTGTCACATCTCCTAAAGGATGATCTTCGAATTTGTACTCATGTTCGTTGGCCACAAACCGTCGTATACATCCAATAAATCCATTACTCACTGGCAAACGATTGGACAATCCAGTGATATTGCCAGTGCCGCCCAGAAACACGGGTTCGCGGAACGTAATACGGGAAAACAGTCCCTATATGTGCATAAATTCACATTTACCTTTATATATACATATAACACATTATAACACAGCTAAGCTTAAATTGAACTTACATTCGAGCGGCCTTGGACTTTGGCTCCATGGTTCAGGACCAACCACGCATCCCACCGATGGCGATAAATTATAACGGAGTTCCATTCATTCAGCAATATTGTTTCTCGAGATCGAACGTTGCCAACGCCAGATCCGCAATCAAACCTTAAACAAAACACAACAAGAGTACATAAATAAATCATGAAATAATCGACCTCAATTAAACTTACCAAAATTCAACGAAACCCTTGTTCAGTAGAAGAGACATGAAATCGCCAGTAAGATCATCCCGCTCTCCGCTCAACAGAATAATGCCATCGAAAGACTCTGGTCTGAATTCCACTCGTATCTAATCAAATGAAATAAAAGTTAAATATTAATTATGTCTATGAGTTTTCACGACCCGACCCTTTATATACGACTATAGTGTTCTCATTTATCCCATCAATTACCTGGACGTGTTTATAAGCACCTCTCAGGGCCGCAAAAGCCAACCACGAGTGGTTCGAAAATTTCGGGGTACGGATTTTGATATCTGAAAAGTTCAAAGTTTCTTTATGGTTATAGCGTTTGAATACCGTTATAACTGCATCATTACACACCTTCCATGCAACCATTACCACTTTTGCCAAAGGGACAAACACATTTGAGGCTGCTATCAACACGCTCACACACCCCTTCTGCTCCACAGTTCAAGTCACAGATATGGCCAATGTCGAAACCGCTAGGAATACAAATTAATTGAATAAATTTCATAATTTTCATATGCATACATACATACATACATACATACATACATAAATACTTACGAAATGCATATATTTTCACTTACTTTGCAGGAGCAGATTTGTTCCATTTCAATGTGCTCAGTTTGCCATCACCAGCCATGACAGACCGTTGTGCACTTTTGCTTTGATTGAGATGTTTATTCTTTATTGGCATTGAATTTGAAGGATTTACTGTATCCAAAGATTTTTCAACTTGATATGTAATTTGTCTTGATGTTTTATAAATCGCCTGGCCTTCGAACACATCATGATCAATGGCATTGCTATGGAAATTCACTACATTCTTTTGAATATCGATCGTTTGCGTTGGTCCAACTTCCGACTTTAAATGAACGCGTATAGATTTCTTGCTCGATAATGATTCTAAGGGGTCGACAGTTGTGGCAGTAACGACAACACGACGCGGTGTCGTCTGTTCTGTCAGTTTTGCTTTTAACTCAGGTACATCTTGGCTAGTATTAGTTAACTCTTGATCATCGCCATTGCTAAAATAGACGTCTTCGGATGATATGTAATAATCGTTTGAATTGACTTTTTCTTGCTGATCGTTGCGTTTTGTCTCATCGTAAAAAAAATTGTCATCTTCTTCCTCTATCGACGACGAGACCGACGACGCTGGTACTGAAGCTTCCATATTCGCCACCTCTTCTGCTATTGATGGCGATGGCGCGTACCCGAGCTTTGCGCTAAATAAAGCGCCTTTTTGATAAAGCACATCCTCGTCAGATTTAGAATGCCCATCCACGTTTGCGGTGGAGTTAATTACTGTGGGAAAGAGAATGTTATAATAATCATTATTGTACTGTAAATAATAATGTAAATAATCAATAGATTCACGAAAAACCTACCCTGGCAGCTATATCCATTTTTATTCAATTCATAACCTTCAATACAATCGCATTCGTACATCCCATCATGGATTTCGTAACATAACTGTTCGCATGGACTTGTGTGTCCACAGCGTCCTAGATAACAAAATAGCAAAGGGAAATATTTATTTATTTATGGCGTTTACCAATAGAGCATAGCAGATTCTATTTAAAACAATTGAGCGAAATCTTCGATTCTCTGAATCGAAACAACGTTTAAACTTTTCGCCCTGAATGAAGTTTTCTTGGTGCCCACTTCCAGGAGGTTTATGATTCGTAGGACAGTTAACGCTCTGACTTCGTGTCAGAACATGCTCGGAAGTATTGAAAAATTACTTGCCGAAGAGCGTGTGCGTTATGAATAAATTTAATATATCTTACTCTGAACACCACGCGAACTCATGTCCCTCCGCAAAGTAGCATGCACTGCTACGCAAACAGTGGCAATGACTGTCGCCCACATTTCGGTTTTTCAAAAATGTAAACCAACTATGAGAGCTTTTAACCCCCAGAATTATGATTTCCAAAAGTATTCAATTTCTATGGAAGCCTGTGTAGTTCTAACCAAGTAGTGAGAACTGAATTAAAGCACCAAGAGTGCAGGTTTGGGTAAATTGATATCGTGTACATACTTACATCCATAGGGGTATGTAAATACTATATATTAACATGTAAGTATGTGTATGTGTATGTGTATGTATACCTTGAAAAGCCGCTTCCATGGTAATTTCCGCCTCAGCACTTTTGGCAGTCGCCAAAATAGTAACCAAAATAAGTCCGTGCATCAGCACCTTTTTATTCTTTGTTCTTCTCATTTTCTTATTTGTGCTTGAATCTTTACAGCTGTAACGAAACAGGGCGAAATTTTATCATTTCCTACGTTCCATATATAATACTTAAATATGTAAATATATACAATAGTTAAAGTATAAAATTATATTATTACCTGTATATTTTACAGCCTTAATATATATATAAATATAAGTATGTAGGTGCAATAACGTTATTACTGGCAATTACAGTCACACTTGTATATATAGCAATCGTTTATTTCCCACGGCTTTTTCATTCTGATGCACATACCATTACACCGAATTAAATGAATTATTTTTAACGCATCACATTTCACGCCTCTTCGCTCCTGTAAGCAAGAGAAGAATACATTTGATTTGTTAACAGAATTATATATATATATACATATGTACATATATACATATACACATGTAATCTTTTAAGCTTGGCGACAGCGATTCCTAAACAATTGAGATCCAGATGCCTTCGCTGTTTGTTTTATTGTAACTTCACGAGTATTATGTAATATGGAAGAAACATGCACAAAAACCTTGACAACAGGTATTTCCAAAACAAAACGACGCATTGCGATAAACGTCTCAAGCTGTCAAACAAATACGTATATTCTGGAAATTCCCTTATTTGAGGTCGAAAAATTCTCTTATCGTTTGAACTCTTTTGGCAGTTGGTGTTGTGTCTTCAGGGGAAAACTATACTCCTCGATAGTGTGCAGATATGTTGTATTTAGCTCATTTGCACTAATGATCTTCTATATATATATATCCATATATATTTGTATATATATTATATATAATTTGCTTTAAAAAATCGTATTGTCTATTGTTTTATCCTCGCTCGCATGAACTCATATTTTTTTACTATGTGCTGAAGTTGCGCCTTCATACATTCATACTTGCTATTTCATTTATATCGATTTTCTATCTTTGTATTTCATTTCTGCTTCATTTCATCCGTCTGTCTGGTCGCAGTCGATTCGCTTCTGGTATGCACACCTTCGTTTCAATTTATTGGTATTTACCCCAATAAAATCGGCTTGTGATGGTATTCTTCCCACTTTGGACTCTCTAATGGCAATACACCATTTGTCAATTTCAGTCTGTCCGCTCGTCCAACCCTGCGGAGGCGTAATTAAACACTAATTTATTTCGTGACTCTTTTTACAACTTATGCCACTTGGCTAAGCCGTGAATGGGGGTCCGAATCGCACTAATTTTTGACTTTATGCGATAGTAAATGCAAGACATTGTGTGCCAGCAGGTGGTGGTGACTATATACACTACCAGGAGGCATATAATGATAGTATTGTCATTCATATGTGCATGCATACATATATATGTATATGTATGTTTATACTCTTGTAACACACCTGCGTGTGAAGTTCTTAGGTTTTTATTTACTGCGGCGTTGTGTGAGTCCTTAAGCCCAAACTCGCTATTTTCAAATACACTTCATTCGGTTTTACTTCAAAGTGTTCCTCAACTCGACAACAATTAAACAATTTCTTTCATATATACTTATGTTTAAAAGTATTTGCTTCTATATCTTTTCTTTACTGCGTGTGGCATTTATTTTCCTTAATTACGCTTTTTATGAATGTATAGATATATATGTGCATATAGCGGTAATTTAATCGATGCAGAGTGTAAACAATACCTTAGTTAGAATATTTATGGAGGAGCTGAGTGTTAGGTAATAGGTCACAATAGCCGAGTGGTTAGCGTGGCGTACTATCATTTGGAGGGCCGGCGTTTGAGTTCTGTTTCGACCAACATTCAAAATAATAGAAAAAATAGTTTTGTAATTGTGGTCGACCCTCGGCAGAGAATGTCAAGTCCTCTGATTGTATTCTGACATGAAAAAAAAAATCCTCCACCGCTCGGAGGTGGCTTAGGCTTAGCATAAACTCCATTTGCTTGAAAAACATGAAAACATGAAAACTTACACCACAAATTGGTGGCGAGGCTCGAAGTCATCTCACCTCAAAACACAATTTGTGGACTTTAGCGAGGTTTATATTTTTTTATGAAGACACTCAGAAGAACAAAAGACACGGCTAAACCAATGTTGGTTTTTATATATGTATATACATACAAAAGTATATGTTTGTACATATGCCCATGGCATGAAATATATTGGGCCTATTAAGTGCTTCTTCATTAGCGTTGGGAGCCGCTCGTGGATATATGTATGTTGTTGTTAGTTAGTTGTTAGTCCATTAACAAATTTCAAATATTTTATTTCTGTTGATTAAAAAAAAGATGTTCAGAACAATGTGGCGTATACTTAACATTTCATATTTCACTTCTCAGTAAATATATTTCATATGTATGCACATATGCCTGTGCGCTTGTTTATGCATTGTATGGAAATCGGTTTTTGATGCATACATACATATATACATACTGGGAAATACGATATAAATGTTGTTGTATTTGATTTGGATAGAATCTCATTAAGTGTCATCTAAATATATAAAGAAATATTCCCAGTACTATTTTATTAGCCGATTTTTATTGGTGAACTCTTTTTGCTCATTTCATTGTACACAACCGAATCCACACGCACTTATGTAAATATGTATATATGTATTTACACACCTGCCATTCAAAAACAAACAATGCACCACCAGCGTTTAGCAGCACGCAAAAACACATTTAGTACAAGCAATACAACTCATACAAAACTTATGTATGTACTAGTATGTATTGTATGTCCATGTACTTGCCGACATATGTATTTGTAACAAATATACATAAGTAGGAGTGTACATATGTACTTATGTCTATATAACAGAAACGCATAAGAGACAAGCATACGGGCTTTTAAAGGATTTGCGAGGTGACGCATCCACTTTTACGGTTGCCCGAGTATTTCTTATAATTTGCATGTAAAACTATTCCTTATTATTAATGTCCTTCAAGGGATTGTCGATGGCCATACTAATTTTTCCTGATTGCACGGATATGCGTGTGTCTATGTGTGGGTGAAATATCTACACTCTCATTCTCACGTACTTTCCACCAATTCCACTCACTCACGGTTATTCCGTTGCTTTCACAAACAAAACTGATAAATTTTTTTTTGATTCAAAAATCTCCATTATAATTTGAAATTCGAATCAAATAGCCTGTGAAAAATTAATCCATTACGTATGCCTTTACACTCGTAGAACTTGAGAGTACACACTAATATATGCACATTTACACGTATATATATGTATGTATATATAATATTATATATGAAGTTTCCCTTTTCCATTTTTCTTTGGTGCACATACATATTTACACACACACACATGTATGCATGAAATGGTTTTTGGGAATTTTCTTCAACTGCATTGCACAGTTTATTTGGATTCGAAAGTATTTTGTTTTAAATCCATCGAAGATTTTTCACTAATTTACCTCATTCACCGAAAATTCAAGCGCTCATAAGCATCTTTCTATCATTGTGTTTGCCAAATGAAAATATATGTATGCATATACGAGTACATATGTATGTAAGTATGTTTATATATTTGAGTATTTCTCTTTTTATTTTGTGGTATCCCGAAAAAGAATTCCTTGCTTTGACAAAAAGCGAGCTGGTTACCGTTACGTTTACTCTAATTGACGGGAGGCTATCGAATCTAAGCCGTTTGTGCGAGCAAGCTCTGTGGTAGCTGAATTCTCAATTGCCTTTCACCATTTGCATTACATCACCGTTCGCGGCTCCCATTTCTAGGCGAGTAATAAGCCATTTTCCGCTCTCCCTTCTTTCGTAAGTGAAATCCTATTTCAAAGAAACACTTCTGACCAGGGCTGCCATTCCGACATTTTTCCAATAACAAACTTAATTCCACATATCTGGAGCGCTGTCATATTTGACGAAGCAGACACATACAAATGCAAAACAAAAAAAAAAACAAAGGGTAATAAAACTTTTTAATTAACGCACAAAAAAAAAGACTAGAAAAAATACAAAAGGACGTGCGATATTAAGTTGAGACGCTACTAAAAAATCACATAGTTTCCTGGAAGCGCCTTCAAGTTTATAACAAACGCACAAATTCACTACGCATGCGCCAATTTGAGCAAAACAAAGAACTTGACAAAACAGAGAGTTGAAAGAGTACTGAAAGAGCCTCGCACGCAATTACCTTATTACCTTCTAAGCAACTTCAGAGATTATAAGCTGTTTGATGAGGTTAGTTTAACTCGCAGATTTTTAGCATTTATTAACGTTTAGCTCTTGAAGCTCCATTAGATAAAGAAGTGTTTGTGTATTCGTCAAACATCTGTACTGACCAAAAACAAACACTGAAGAAAGTCAACATTATACACAGGTGGGAGAAATCTTTGATGTTGATCTAGATGCTCAATTGCAATATTTTTAATAATTTGAAAATGTCTACAAATCCAACACTAAAGCCAACCTTCCCCACACAATATCGATTTGAGTTCTTCCCGGAGTATGAAACGATCCCTCCTCAATAGAGGCAAAAAAAATCTGTATGTCTCAGCGAATTAAAAGAATACTTCACTATAGACCACACGGGAAAAACGACCGCCAACGAAATATAATCCGAAGGCAAACCCTACTCGTTCTATCTCACTCACCTTGCTCTTATTTAACTCGAGGAAAAACAACGAAGTTCCGAGTGGTATTTATATTTTATATTTTACTCATCGAACTCAATTTCCAACCCGATTTGATGTTTTAGATCTTAAAATGGTGCAGGTACAAATAGGTCTTCAATGGTGATATTGAGAAATGTACCGCCAAATGCTCCATCGTAATCGAGATTTCTTCTTTTTTTATTGGCGTTGGCCCCGCTTACGCGATAATAGCCGAATCAATTATAGCGTGCCATTCAAACTTTCTTTTCGCTTTTTGGCAACAGTTGGAAATACCAAGTGAAACCTGGTCGCTCGGCACACGCCAGTAGTTGTACACTCTTGTAAAAGATTATACCAACTCTATTCAGCTCTGCCGCTCTTTAATTTTTTTCTCCAGCAATAAATTAAAGGAATTACACGATAAGGAATTACCCCGTCTGAAACCTCTTTTGATATCAAACGGCTCGGGGATGTCCTTTCCGATCCTGACGGAACTTTTAGTGTTGCTTAAAGGCAGTTTACATAGCCGTATAAGTTTTGCTGGGATACCAAATTCAGACATAGCGGCGTAAAGGCAGCTCCTATTCGTGCTGTCAAAGGCGCATGGTGAATATCTGGTCAATGGTTGATCTACCATATTGATAAGGTCCAATCAATCTGTCGACGGTGGCCTTTAGCCTTTCATACAATATGCTCCATAGGACCTTATATATAATATTGAAGAGGCGGTAATTGGAGCAGACCGTGGGATCGCGAGTTTTGTGGATTTCAACCGATCATATTTTGTAAAGAAGCAGATGCATCCACCTTGTCAACACTTCACCGCCATGTTTGAATAGCTCTGTCGGTAGGACGTCAACTCCAGCCGCTCTGTTATTCTTTAAGCGGGCAGTCGCTATTCGAACCTCGACATAGTCGGGTCTGTAATCGATTGGATTTCGGGTTAACCATGACCAGGTTTTCCATTTTCACCGCCATTCAACAGGCTGGAGAACTGCTTCTCCATAAATTTGGTATACTCTGGTCATACGTCACTAGATCACCCCTCTGGGCCCTATAACCTTCCGTAAGTCGCCGTATCTTTACATAGAGTTTTCGAGTATTACCTTCTCATACTCACACAGGTGTAACAATATCCCTAAAATATAAATCACATTCCACACACACAAGTGTTCCAAAGAGAAAGTATAGTTTTTAGATTCCAATAACATCCACTGACAAAATTTTAAATCAAATATGGGTGTGGAGCGTATATCATAACAAAATTGCCTAGTGCTCCCGCAATATCTTATATCTCTACAATTATCTCATTTCAAAGGAGTTAACAATCTACAACCCAAAGTGAATTATTTTATAATTTCGCCTGGCAATGAACGTTCAACTGCATATCTTAAGGGAATACCTTAGGTCTTTCTATAACAACTTTATATCAATAATAGACCACCATCTAACTTCATTTGTTGGAAAGACATTAAGACGCACAGCACACATTGAGGGAGAATGGAACTTCAATCCTCGCTTTGCATTCTTAAGTTGTTAACGTAGCCCATTCATTAGTAAAGAAAATTACGCAACATATTTATCGTTAGACACTCAGCAGATGAACATGAAATAGTATGTTAACTTTGCCCCGGACTATGTAGGTAGTAGATGCTAAACTGCCGGTGCTCTGTACGATACCCGAAAGTTTGCTTGCAAGACGCTGACCAGCATGGGAAGCGGCTGAAACACGACAGTTCTGAAGTGGTGTAAGCTTAACTCACGACCCTGTCGCCTCTTCTTTTTGAAAAGCGTCGCGCTTAATCAATTCCCGATGCAACAACGAAATGACCTTCGCACACCTCCGGAGCAAAGGCCACTCCGGATCGCGGGGTATGAACCGATTTGTTCAGAGTTATAAATACTTCAATAAAGCATATATGAACATGAAATTTGGTGCTCTTCATTCTTGTACATTGATAATGAAAATCATTGAAATCGGACTACTGTATCTCTCTAAAACTCTGTTATGGTGCAATAGGTAAGGTTTATGGCATGATTCGATTGCTATTACAATAGTGAAAACTTTCTTGTTGACGGCCTTACTGAATGGTTGCGAACTGTATGCCATCGCCAGATACGTACGTATATAGTGTAAACCGTCGTGAGCACATAAGTACGTTTGCATTAAAATTATTATCCATAAAATTCGACAATTTACTGAAGTTAAAGTGCCTAATGTTACATCACAAAGTCATTAACTCTCAGGAGCCCAAATATCTTTTCGAACGAGTTCAATTCACTAGATCTACGTGATCAATTTACTTAGCATGAAACACAGTTGCCACGTATCGGAAAATTTATTAGAAACGAACTCCTACATCACTTTGCATAATCATTTAATTGCCTATCTGCACGCTTACGCTCATATCTCAAATATTGAAAATAATACTTTTTCTTTAATAAAATCCCCAACCCTTAACGTTATTAACAGCTTTAATGTTTTAATTAAGATGTTATTATTATGTTTTATTTTAAGTTATTAGAATTAATCAAAGCATTGTAAAGTAACTTACGGTTGTGTGTTTGATCAAATAAATAAATAAATAAATAAATATCATCTTGCTCCCATACAACCGATTTGTTCAGATATTAGGTTTAAGTTAAATACGTAAATATTTATGCAATACTATAAGTTGTATATACATACATACATACATATGTATTCATCAGAGGTATAAAGACTTCGGCATGGCTGTGTCTTCAGCTTCTTTTTTTATTGTTTTCAATTGCGTTTGAATGAAACATCGTTAGTCATAGACATTTACGATTAAGCATGTGAAACATTTTTATGCATAATTTATAATATAGTAAAGATTTTGTATCTATGAAGCGTGATGCGTATTGTAGGTATAAACACACATACCAAGTAATTAGTGCGTTCTCAGTTAAGAAACAACATAGCATTTACATATAGTAGCAAGGCAACACTGTGGAAATGGTCGGCACATTTGCAGATGTCACCTTCGTCTGAAGCCTGAAAAGCAGTTATTTCACGGACACAGTTGCAAACACCGAACTTGTCCCAGGAAACAATTTTCCGAATTTCTGCCATGTTAAGGAACTCCTTGAAACCAAAAAGACCACACAGCGCACCTAAAATTGAACAATTTAAAAATCAAGTCGTCGCTTAAGAACGATTTAGTATTCGTATGCCAAACAAAGTACTCAATGTACTGGAATTATTTTATTATTTGACTCAATTCACATTTGTACTCACTTTGTTCTGTATACAAATCTCGGCGACCTTGAGATAAGGACCTAGCCAAAATCCTATGCTCGCGATAAACTTCTGAACAATGTTGGGTTGAAAGAATTTCATACACGATCGGGGATCCGAAATGTGGAGCACATGTGTGATGCATCAATATATAAAGTATAAGAATTCTACAAAAGATTAAACTCAGAAATGTACAATATGTACTATATTTATTTGTATAAGCACATAAGTGCGTATGTATGGACATACTGATGCATCCGGTAATAGCCATATGTCGGCTCGTTGGAGGTAATCATCTTAATGCACTCTTCTTTAATTGCCTCACACTTATCTAATGCGGTGATATGAAACAGACAAAGATCTGTGGACAAAATTTAAGCCAACGAACTTTATGCTTTCTACATCGCAATTAGCCTCACCTGAAAATGTTGAGTTCGGGTATCCACTGTTTAGGAGACTTTCATAATTTCGCTCCAACGATCTATACTCCAACTCGGTATTTATCTGATGTTCAACAAGTTTAGGTTTCGAAACAACTACATTCTTCTGCAAAACATTACTCAGTCTTCCAATTCCGTTCTTACTCGTAATTCTAGCTCGGAATGCAGCGATTTTTTTCAATATTTGTTCATATAATTGGCTTTCGTAGCGTGTCGGCTCATAAAAACGGACCTTCTCTAGAATAAAACGTAAATAATGTGTGGTGGTTATCATGCTATATACATACATACACATTACTTACGCTTGATTATAAAGTCTGAGAAGATAAGTGCGAAATGTAAGTTTTCATCCCAAACTGCGCTCCTCTCCATATTTGTTAATAAGTTCCTTACAAGAACACCCATATTTAAATTCGACTCAGCCTCTGCAACTGCACATATCACTAGCAAAGTAAGGAATAGAGTGACAGTTTTTCTCTCCGAGCACAACATTTTTGAACGGCTCTTACAAATGTTTTGATTCGTTTTAGTAACTGTTTGGAAAAATTACAATCGCCATGAGCAAAGTCGTCCAAAACAAAGTGCATTCATTATAAACCGGCTGAACTATACGCGCAAAATCGCACAAACATTTGTATACAAACGTACAATAAACAATTTATCACAATTTGTTCTGTTCAAGTCTCATGCACTGCAAAAAAAAAAATGTTTAGTTTTGTATTCATTTTCTTCTTTATCTCAAGCCATTTTCCATTTCTGTTTCCATTTTGTTTAAATGTAACAAATTTACCAGCGATTGTCCATAAACCAACTGATCACACTTTAGGTCTATAGAACCCTCCCGTCCCTTTTCGAGCCAATCACGGTCTGTTTCGTGGCCGGATTGAACGTGGTTTTGTTTTAACCTTACTTTCGACTTCTTCTTCATGTTTCTTCGAACAAATATTTAATTTTAATCGGACAGTATATGATAACATACAAATATATCTGCTTGTTAAGTAATTTACTTGTATATCGTAAGACTTGATAAAAATTTAATAACCGTTGGAAACTAATAAATGATGAGTGTATCTACTAACTTGCAATAAATATTTGTTTCATCTGAGGAAAGCTTGGTGGCTTTGCTCTCATCTCTTTCCTCCGGTTACGTGGCTCTTGTGCAGCATTTCAACCAACCTATTCGCCGAGCTACGAGTCATATGATGTAATGGGGGTTTCAATAAAAGCTGTTATCACTTTTGATCTACGCCAGTATTAAAAATCGTTCTTCACGCTTCAAATTACATCGAAAACACCCAATATTTATTGTTGACTGTTTGGTGGGGTTCTTGGTCCGGCGGAGTTATTGGACCTCACTTTTGCGAAAATGAATGCATTGCGCTGCCGAGAGGTGATTAATGATTTTTTATGAGCGGAACTGGATGGTATTGATCTGGGCAATAAACATATATATTTACTTTTAACAAGACGGCGCTACGTGCCACACAAGCAATGATACCGTCAATCTTTTAAGGAAAAGGAGGGATGGATCACCGGAAAAGTCTCGTTTGTTAACATGAACAGTAGCTGAGTTATTTTTTACATACATGCTCTCGGTCCTTCATCCACTTCTTGGATTTGTTTCGTATTCTTCTTGTTTGGCCAGAGACCAATTCAAATTGGTGCGTATCATCAAAATTGGTCCAGACGTTGATTAGTTGAAAGCGTTGTAACTAACATCCCTTCCTTTTAAATATATATAATATATATATATATATTTATTTATTTACTATAAATATAATAATTATTTTACAGACTATCTGCCAGGGCTTCCGGCTCAATATTATATATTTTACACTTTTTATACATTCATATGAACATATATTTCTTGCAGTGTAGTCAGTAAATCCAAAGAAATGTTCTTCATTTTTCTTAATACAAATAAATTGATGGCAGGTGCTTTTTTGGTAAGCCAAGGGGGGCACATATACACATATACATATATTTACCTACATATGCAACACAAACACATTTTTATGTATGTATGTCTTTATTTAAAAGGCAGTAGTACTTTATTTAAATTTCGAAATGAGATCATTACATAAGAGTATGCACATACATAAATACGTGTAAGTAGGCATTTCGCCTCACCGAACGCGATACTGCCCATCAGCTCACCAAATATGTTCGTAAAAGCCTTCAACTGAATTTATTCCGAAAAAACTTTTGCTTCCACCTGTTAACTGATAAAACTATTTAAAATTGATAACAAATTAAGATATACGAAATTTTAAAATGTCTTTCATACAAAAAAAAATATAGTCGCACAGAAATCTATAGATAAAATGTGAACATTTTAGAAAATGAGTACACAATCGCCCATTTCGGTAAAAATGAAGCAGCGGCTGTTAGACCCCACCCTTCAGAATGTTAGTACTCAATAGTTCCGTTCGATCAATTGACGGTCAGTAACAATTGTCACCGATCGAGTAGAATTTTAACAGAGCTAATGCTAACCACTCTGCTAAAGTGGCCGTCTAATTTTATTTTTTCCCGAATTAAATTTTCCTGAAATTAAAAAATGTACTCATATTTCCAGCATTTATTGTTTGTTCAAGAGGAAGACTAGAGTTTTACATATTTTCTTATATACATACTCGTATCTACATACATATATACGAGTGCAAACAATTGTTTTAGCTAAACTGCTAAGCTGCTAATATTAAAATTATGTCTTAAATTAGGAAAAGCATGGCGTTAGTAAAGAGAATCAACAAATTGCTGTGCTTTCGATCTGTACAACGGCAAAGATCCGGTGTAGGCTCGGCTACATAAAGCGATTTTATGCAGTTGCATGCCGAAGTACTTTCCAAATCTATAATCCGCGTCAATTCAGTGTAGTCTAGAAACTCTTCGAAACCAAAAAGTCCACAAATAGAACCTATAAATATACGTGTATGTATGCATATACATAAGTATTATATAATATTATTTGTGTTGTTGCATCAAACTTAAGTAATCATACATATATAGTATGTACATACGTGCATACATATGGATGCATACATTTATAGAGAATATTTGGTGTCGAAAGGACTCACTCTGTTCCACATATAGTTCATACCAACGTCTGGGACCGAGGGCAGCGATTATTTGATGTTCACGATATACCTGCGAACAGTGTTCAGTGGCGATTATTTCAAAGGACAGACGGTTCCCATAAAAACGCGCACAGGTATGATGCATTAGAAAATATAAAAGCAGAGCTCTACCGTTAAAAGAAAGAAAGTGAAATATGAATCAACTCAATGCTCGTATTGTGATTGGTGCCACCTACTGATATGTGCGCCGGTAACCATATGTCGGTGGGCTAATTTTGATTTCGGGAAGGCAGTTGCGGCGCAGCTTATCGCATAATTCCAAACCTTGCATGTGCAGCAAACAAATACCTATTAATGAAAGGTATTAACGCAATGATTTACTGTTCACATGTATATATATATATGTATGGATGTATGTACATGCAGCTTATTTAGTAAGGAGGACTTAAGGTTAAATAACTAATTCAAAATGCGATCAGAGAACTGATTGATAAAATTATTACAATTGAGATATTTTTGACTGCAACCAGACCGATCCCAGTCTGCTCAAATTTTGGTTGCGAGCAGAGGGGGCTTGCTTTTCACTTGGTATGATAAAAAAGATTCATGCTGAATTTTATTGCTTTGATATTTCAAATTGGACTCAAATTTGAAAAAAAAAATGTAAAATATTAAATGGTTGCAATAAAAGCACGGTTGTTACCTGTGAATGTATTACTTGGAAAGCCTGTTCCAGGCGTTGATGAGTAGTTCCGTACCATCGATTTGAATTCTATGTTTTTATCGATTTGATTCGTTCTCATTTCGAAACTTGTTATCATTAGATTATCTTGAAATAATGACTGCAAATTGTGAACGCCAAAACTCTGAATAACTCCCGACCGTATGGAACTAATTTTTTCAAGAATATCCAGGTATAAACTGCCAAGGCCTGTATCCAAAACAGTAGTCTTTTGTTGTTGCATTTTTTCTAATGGAAAATAATTTTAATAATACTTAAAAAAAGCAATTTTCGTTCTCTAAAGATACTTTATACATATGTATATATATATTTATATATATGACTTTACGTTTCACTAAGAACTCCGCAAACAGCAATCCCGAAGCAATGTTTTCATTCCAATGGCCATCTTTCTCAATATTATTCAGAAGACTCTTAACGATTTCAGATAGACGAAGCGGCATTGTGGAGCCGATACTTCCTGACCAAACATGCGAAATGTTAACGGTGATCGCTAAAAAAGATGTCAATATAAATATGGTAGATCTTCCTCCCGTGCACAACATTGTTGTTTGAATTTCTTTAATGCTTGAAGTCAATTGATAGTCTGCAGGTGTTGGCTACTCTAACGATGAGTGCATCTACCTATGTATTTTTGAATCAAAGTATATACATACATATGTACATACAAAGTCTGACTCTCTACAGTAAACACTTGTGAAATGTGTGATCGCATTGATCCAAAGGCTTTGGCTAAAATATTTCCAAAGCATTTGTATAAATATTATATAATGTATGTATATACATACATATGAGTATGTAGTATAATACATAAGCCATCTTTTGCATATGAGCACTTGTACTGCAAGTACATACAACCATGTGCATTATACAATACATGTATGTATATATGTACCTGATGTATGTAAAAATATTGGAATAAGGACTGAATCATAATGATTTTTGTATATTGGTACACACATACAATTGGCGCTTTGTAACCGCTGAAGCGATTTTCCGCCGAGTTCGCTCTTCCTCCAATTTGTGGTTCTGCGTCTTGATGGTTTTCAACAAATGGAAGGACCTATAGTTTATACTAAGCCGCCTCAGAACGGCTGATGGTTTTTTTATGAGGAGCTTTGATTTCATGTCAGAAATAAACTCGAATGGGATGACATTCTCTGCCCAGGGGCGACCTCGATTGGGAAATTTAAATTAATTTTAAATAAATTTTCTATAACTTTTCTGGATGTTAGGACGACACCGGGATTTGAACCCAAGCCTTCCGAGTGGCAGTACGCAATGCTAACGACTCAGCTACTACGGCTGTCAAATAACATAACTCACTAATATACATATTTATGAACGAGACGCCGCCCCCTGCGGGTAAGGGTTTCAAGAATTTACCCGCGGCGACTAAAATCCAATAGTTCCCGCGACAGTCGGATCTTTATACCGGAAGGACCCGGATTTTTATCCGGCCAAGTACTGTCACTCCCGCAACATTCCCCAAAAAGGTTACAACAAAAACAATAACAACGCCCGACCGCTTGAAAATTAAATTATAAATAAAAACGAAGGAAATTTTTACCTTATTAAACTTCTTCTAACTCATACTTTTCAAAATTGGGCGTGTAACAAGGATCTACTGTATAATAGCTCCTAAAATGATGTTTCCATATGCAATAACGGGCTGATGGTAATATCATAAACAAATACTACATTTCGTGAACAGTTTCTTGCAAAATTAATAAAAAAAAAAACCAGCAACTTCCTCTTCCATTGTTTTATTTAATGCGATAATTATTATAAGGAAATAAATAGATTGTCTTGACTTTTGGGAACCTGCTAAATGTCAGAACTCAATATTGATACCTTTTCGTCACACAAATGACTTAGCAAAAGGTTCAGACATTTCGAACTCTCGATTACACAAACCAAATATATTGAACGAATTTCGGTTTTGACACTTCTATCTAATGATTTAAAAAAAAAAAAATAAATAGGCTTTTTGATTTTGTAATCTTGCTTCTACCGTGTGTGAATTTGCCTTGAGCAAAACATGAATATATCAATGCAAACAGAGAACGTTATACGGTTATACGTTATACGTTCTCTGTCTGATGCAAATGACTGTCAAAAAATTTATATTCATAGCAACCTACTTCAACAAACAAACAAAATGATGCCATTTAATTCACATTTGATTGTAGCCATGAGAAAAGCATTTAGGTAGCAATAAAATATTTGGTTCCAATGCCTTCTAAGTTTTAATCTGGAATTGTCTCTTAGTATCAAAAACTTTAAAATATTAAGCAAATGAACTGTTGAGACAATTAAATGTTTTTTGGAAGATTAAATACGTGACAGAGAACTGTTTTTGCCGTCTTCTGATGATAATTGGCGTTTTTAGAATCACAGTTTTCTGAAACTGTGCACTTATCGATTTTTTTTAACATAAAACACCACTTAAGTTTTCAAAAAAATAATTTTTATTCTCAAAAATAAAATTCTTGAAAACGAGTGCTAACTACCGCAATTATAGAAATATGGCATCACTTAAACGAATGATACGGCAACTCTACGATGGGCATTTTTCCATAAAAAGGGAAAACTTAACCAACAACACTTAATAAGTCAAGCGAGTGTTCATCTGCACAGAAGTTTTCTGTGCATTTTTTATTATTACTCAGAAAGAAAATACAATTTTCATTGTTAATCTACGCTTAATCATTGTTCGGCGTGTTGGTGCCGCGTGTAAATAAATAGTCTTTTCAGGATAAGCGATATATAGAAGAATATTCCAGGATTTTACTCAAAAGCAACAAAGATATAGACTATAACAAATAACAAATGTCGGAGAACAAAGACGAGATTTTATCAACTTTTCAGGTATGCAAAAATATTTATTTTATATTTAAGAAGAGATTTGCGTTTAAAAGAGTTTATATAATAAGTGAAACATTCATCTCAGTGAAAATATAAATTAGTGAATGTATATAACATTTTGTGCACATGAGGGCATGTACTGCAAAAGCAAGGATATATATATATATATATATATGTATGATATGGAATCCGTGATCGTGTCGGGATCAACATAGAAGCGATCAATAACCTACCTTATCTTCAGTAATATACAACCTTATTGGGCATATTTAATGCTGCTGTAGGAAATAAGATATCATAGAAACCACGTTTTTAAGTTTTAACGCATCTCCATAGGTTAAAACCAGAGAACAGCAAAGCTATAATTGTAACAAGAAACAGTTAAAATCAATTTTCATGTTATTATTAACAACTGTAACTAGAGTTTCGTATGTATTTTATTTTTTTATTTTTTTTTTCAATATATTCTTTTTTAGAGCATTACTGGAATAGATGACATTGGAGAAGCCTTTTCGCATTTGGAAGAGACGAACTGGGATCTTATGGTTAGTTGATTGATTTGTTTACCTCTTGTCACACTTCTTAATATTCATATTTTTAGACTGCCATACAGCGTGTCATACCCCAGGAGGACGCGCCTTCACTGGAAAGGAATTCAGTTGGTTTGTTTAGAGAAGATTCATCGGGATTTTCAAACACAACAGCCCTTAATGATCTATCCACACGAGCGGGTCCATCCACCTGCCGCCAATGGAATAATGTTGCTAATTCCAACATTAGCTTAGCAGGTAAAGTTTCTAAAGTTGAAATTTCATTAGAAAATTCGAAAAATTAAAACATCTACGAACACATTACAGCAAAATAAGATAGTAATTTTTTTCTCAACTAATATACTAAACATTCTCTACGACTTTGATACAATAAAAATTATATTTAAGAAAGAGGTAAATAGCATTCATGAAATTATTTTAGCTTCAACTTCTGCAGATGCGGAAATAATTGATCTCACATCTGACATGGACTTGGATCCGGCAAAACACAATGATGTTAAGACTTTGATACTAAACATACACTACAATGAAGCAGTTTACACGATTCGACTGCCATCGATTGCTACAATTGGTAAGAAAATATTTATAACTTATATCGAGCCACATTTTCTTTCGATATTGCTGTGCCTTGAGTAGTGAGAACAATTTACTTAATATTTAATAATTTAGAGCAATTAAAACGGAGAATAGCAGAGGAGACAAACGTACCTGTTTGTCGACAAGCAATTAGAGGTTGGCCCCCGGCAAAGCTGCAAGATGCTAGAAAAATAACTACTCAGCTTGCTCATTTAGATCTTGGACCGGAAAACGATTTGATTTTGCATAATTTAACAGAAGAAGGCTACATAGATACAGAAAAGTAAACATTTATTTAACTTAAAACTTATAAATTACGTTAATGTGTGTTTCATTTTACAGCGAGGACGTGGCACAAAGACTACGTGACACATTCAAATTGACTATCGTAGAACACCCCAACGGCAAAACAATAACATTACCGTTTTTAGGTAGTAATACAATTTTAGAAGTGAAGACAAAGGTATACTATGTCAGTAACATAAATGTTCGAAACCAAGAATGGGAAGGCTGGCCCTCCAACTGTGATGACAACATGACTTTAGCCGTAAGTAAGAACAGAGAAATAGAAATTTATTGGGTATTTGTTAGAATGGAAATGAAATGAAATGAATGTAAATTTTGTGAAAGATTATCAGCTTTTTAAAAAATTTTAAATAATTATTATTATATTTAGTATGAATGTTTAATGTTTTATATATATATTTTTTTTTTAGCAATCTGGCATTGGTCTGTCTCATAATTTTACGCTTCGGAACAAATGTGAAATGCCTGTGGATAACAGTGGAGTTTCTAACAGCATAAATGCAAATGCGTAAGTTTTTAGTTTGCAAGAAATATCTGAGAGTATAAATATTTTTCATTTCAGTAATGCCATTGAGACTGACGACGACAACAGTTTAGACGATGAAGACGGCTATGATCCCCTACAAGATGAGCAGCCCGTCCCACCGCGCAGCAGACACTTAAGTAAGTATTAGTACCCTGTGAGTTAGAAATTTTCAATTCTCATCTTATTGTAATATTTACAGTTCCAAATAATATTGGAAATGAGTGCGCAGGTTCAATAGAGTTTTTCGACAACTATCGGGAACGGTTTGGTGAGCCACATCCAGTCTTCTATGTGGGCAGTTTGGAAGATGCAATCAAAGAAGCTTGTCATAAGCCAGCGCGAGAGGTAGAAGGACTCCAAAAATTCTGAAATCAAATCTAACGAACAACCTCTTATTTTAACATTAATTATAGAGAAAGCTGCTTGCATTATATTTGCATCATGGTGACAGCATTCTGACAAATGTATTCTGTGATCAAGTAATGAAAAATGAAAGAATCATTGAAGCATTTGCACAAAATTTCATACTGTATGGATGGGACTTGACTTTTGAAAGCAACAGAAATATGTATGTTAATGGATTATATATGAATATTGAAATGATTCTAATTTGGTGATTTACATAAAATATTTAAGGTTTCTGTCTTCGGTCACTGCCTGCGTTAGCAATACAGCATCCATCACAATAAGTACAAAACCTGTGGATAAACTACCTTCAATACTAATTATTGGTAAGAGTCGGCTTTCGGGGAGATCATCATGTGAAGTGCTTTCAGTTGTAGACGGTAAAATAAGCTAAATGGATTTATTTCCCACCATATTCTCTATAAATTCTGTGTTTACAGGTAATTCCGATTTAAACTCTTTTTTGTCTCGCCTTATGGATGCAGTGGAAATGTACAAATTACAGTTAAGGGACGAAATCCGTGAGGAAGATGAACGCGCTGAACGTGATCTAGTTAAGGCTGAACAGGATTTGGCGTATCGTGAAACATTAGAGGCTGATATGGCTAAAGAAGCTGCTAAACGTCAAAAAGAAGCAGCGATTGCCGCGGAACGTAAGCGCATAGAGTCGGAAAAGGCAGAAGAAGAAGCGAAACGGGAATCGATCCGATTGGTGGTTAGTCCCTTAATATTAACTGAAACCGAGAATGTTTTCTCGTCGTTCGCCATTATATTTGTCTATTAATATTACGTCTACAATTTAATTTTCTATCTAGGCTCAACAATCTTTACCGAAAGAGCCTTCTGAATCTGAAACAAATGTGTCCACAATACGTATTCAAAATCCCTCTGGCGAGTTCTTAGAGAGGAGGTTCTACAGGCACAATACGCTGCAGGTGATATATTTTAAGAGTTTACTTATCATAGTGATATCGTATAATAAAATTGGTTGGACTTATTTGTTTCAGGACATCTTAAACTTCGTAGCAGCAAACAATTATCTAATCGAGGAAAATAAGTTAATTTTAATATCTAGTTGGCCGCGTAGCGACTTAACAGCCATTGATCCAAACAAAACGCTTGAAGAACTTAAACTATATCCTCAAGCAAAAGCCGTGCTGGAAGAACGATGATTTTTATTTGTAACAGAAGCAAACTAATTTATACATCATACAATGTAATAATACATTTATAATAAAAACTAATGGTTCACTAAAAATGGACCATTTTAAAACTAATTTTAATCTTGGTATGTAAATGTGTATACATAGTTCGATTTGGTGGATTAATCTGCTCACTGAGAGAAAGGGATCCTCTTCCTGAAATATGGTCCATACAACAAATAATCACTCAAGAACTAAATAAAAATATATTATGTATATTTATATATTATGGAATAAATTATTTTAACAATGTAAAAGAAATTTTTTGAAAACAACAATAATATTGCAATTTCAATATATAAATGTACATAGTCGTGGTAAAACCTTACACTAAAAATGCATTGAGGTACAAGTACACTGAATTGTAAAGAAACAGCTGGAATTTCATCCCAGGATCTCGTATATATAATACAAAGCACTTATACATATATTTTGTAAACTTGAGCGAATTCCTTGGTATTGATAATTTCAGGTTTTGCGATTGAAGTGAGTGATGTTCTCCATATACGGTTCAATTGCTTTTCAGTTTATTGAAGGTATCTTCGATTGGAGCTAGAACCACTATTAACACCAGGACAACAACGAAGAGTATCAAAATAATAGTGTAGGCAGCAAGAAGACCCTTCCGAAATCTAGAATACTGAAAAAAAAAGAAACAAATACAAGTTATTCGATATTCGATGTATATGGCGATTTTTCTTTGTGCATACGAACCGGTGCGTCAGTATTGCGTTCCATTCTGTGGCCATTTCGCATACCGTGATGCCCCATGTCGCTCATTTGAAAGGCAGTAACTTGCTGTGCCTGCTGACGGTCAGAAGAGAATCCGGCGATCTGCATGCACAAAAAAATCTTTAAATGAAATAAAGGGTGCAAAAATATTCGCGTATTTGTTTCTAGTCAAATTATGTATGTATCAGGTGGAATGGTTTGAAAAGTTTAAACATACATACATACAATGTATGTATATATGCATGTTAAATGGAAGAAATGTTCGATCAACTTACCGAATAAATTAAATGTACAATTACATGTACCACAACAAAACCAACCAGGATCCAATCCATCCATTCTGGCAGCTCCGCCTTGGTTAATTTCACAGCAAAGAAAATCGTGACAACTGTTGATGAATATATGTGTGTACAATGTAACAGAAATAAAGATGCAATAGTAGAAAAATATTGGAATAATTACTTGAAAGTATGTGCGCCAAATTTCCTCCCAACCAATGCAACCAATTGAAAATTGGACGACTTTTGGCGTTTGGTGCCGGACGGAATAGGGCACCGATTGGTTGAATAAAGCAAATTATGGTCGTTATAGTACCCAGAATGGCGTGTGGATTGCGTTCTGATGACCAATCTCCGATTTCAACGAATATAATAATAAACGCAACGATTGTCAATGACCATGTGGTAACCATACACGCACGGTGCCACTAAGAAAGGAAGTTATTATTTATTGAAATATTTATAAAAGCCATTATTCCTACTTCTCCATTCTGAAAATAGACTCTTAATGCATTGAACTCACCACAAACCATTGGTCCTTTCCACAAATCTGTTTACCGACCCAAGTCTGTTTGAAGTATCGAGCCAAAATTATACCTAACGATGTTGTACCAATCCATGCTATCACCATGAAAGCCCCGTGCAAGCGCAAAAGTAGGGTAGACGACCCAGATAGGTCTTGGACCACAGCCAAATTTATGGGGGCAGCAGATGGCAAACGACCGATATCGTGATATCCGACACTATTTTCTGTTAGACGGAAAAAAAGCTCACAGAATAAAAAAAACCATTTAGTTAGATTCTTTGAGTTAAATAATGAACCTTTTAGTCCTGTTCCAGACGCTATTAGAAGGTGATATCTGTTATTGAGTAAATCGAAAGTTTTACTTGACACCTGAGTAATCACCTCCCGTTGAATCTTGCAGTAGATGACACCATCTATGACCGAAGATTCGATTAAACGAGCTTTATTTTGCGGCTAAATAAGGAGTAGACAATCGTCGGAGTAATATTTTGTTTCATATTGAAGTTAAATTTTCTTACAACATTCGCTCTGGTGGCGGCATAATTTGGAGCACCCGAAGTGTAAGAGGAATATAGACTGACTCTACCGTTCTGCGGTACACACTCCGTCACGAGATCGTCACCCATCTTGGCATCCTCCGAAAGCCCTAACGCTATATAAGCAGCACCACCTATAAATGTGATGGAGGTTTTTTATTCAAATCAATTAAACCTGACCGTATATTTATGTAATCCAAATGTACGTGTATGGCCCAACTTCATATACTGTACTCCCTATACACTTGTAAATATGTATAACTATTGAAAACATAATTTACTTACTGCTTAACGATTTCATTTCAAATTCGTAGACATCACCGCGTACCATTACCGCAGATATAGATTTACAGGACTTTGTTTCGATGCAACCATCCGGAAAACCGAAACAAGTTTTGCTACGACCGCAGTCGGTATAGAAAGGATCGTCTTGTGGTTGTGTAGTCATTGGAGACTCTGTTTGTGGGGTGTAAGGTCCACGTGGTGGTGGCGTAACATAAGGTAGACGAGTGGTCTGAGGGTATGAACCCACAGTATCTCGTCGTACAACCTGTACGGTGTTTGATGGTATGCCAACCCAAAAAGAATCGTAAGCTTGTGCCACAGTAGCGCTAAATAAAAACATAAGTACGTGTACATACATATAAAATTGTTTTTAATTTTGCTTGAAAAACTTACTTGAAAAGAACTTCTCCCAAAAAATCCACAGGAGGCTGCCACTCCAAGCTCACAGATTGTTTTGGACTAGTATTTGAGTGTGTTACAGAGTTTCCAACAGAACTTTCACAGTTCATCTGCTTAACGCGACTATCCGACGATGGATTAAACTGTCCAATCTATAAAGAATTGGATTATGATTGCTTTTTTATTGAATTCCAATTTGTATGTATACATATGGATAATTATCCAGTAATGAATTTGGTTACCACTGCCATCGTCTTTAATTATTGACTGACATTGCAGCCCTGTACGCTCCTATCAAAAACTCATAAGAGACAATGCCCTGATTTTGATAGATAATAAAAGTCGAGGCGCTTTGAATGACATCAACGACCACTGCATGACACTGTCATGTAAATGTCTTCATCAGAAACTATACGAAGCCCTTGAAAAGTTGATGGTTACAAAGAAGGATGCGTATTTTTCAGTAGATATTTTTCTATTCAAATATTGTTTTTGCGCACTTTAGTTAATTATCTGTTTCAGTCCACCAACCACATAAGGGAAGCATGCAAAGGTCAGAATAGGTTAGGTTGCAGCGGCTACCGATCTATCTAGTCGGATTCACCTAGGCCTGACTAAGACCCATTGCGTTACCACAAAAACTTAAACCATCAGATTTCATCATCCGACCATTTTTATTCTTTAATGAACCTCATTAGATCCATGACTTCGACGTGAGCTATCTTCGATACACCACCCAACAGCAGGGTCCCAAAATTACGAGACCTCGCCGTACTCAAAGCAGGACAGTTTAATAAGAGATGGGTGATCGTTTTCTCCTCTTCATCCTCATTGCAGATTCTACAGCAACTTCTGTGGGGAGCCTATAGTCTTTCCGCGTGTCATCCTATCAGAAAGTCACCTCTCTTTGAAGAAGATAGGCATACCAATGCGTTCTTTACCGCGAAGAATCTGCTTGGACGTACCTCCCTTAGTAAGTTCATCCGCCTTACAGTTTCCCTCCATGTCCCTGTGACCAGGGATCCACGTGGGAACCAGTCTGTTCTGTTTGGCCAACTCCTGTAGAGATTGGCGACAGGTCAGCACTAATTTGGAGTTTAGCGTAAGCGAGCCCAGTGCTTTTATCATTAAAGCTGACTCCAAATTGCTTTGCAGCCTGCATGATAGCAGATATCTCCCGCTAGAAACACTTCAATGGTCAAGGAGCCTGAACGAGAGTTTCAGCGGAGGGTGTTCTGAGAATACACCTCCGCCAACTTTTCCCTCAAGCTTTGACCCATCTGTGTATATTTCCAGGGAGTGTGGTAAATATCTACACATTCCCTACGAGTCCCAGGTATAAAGTCATATTTATCCAGTATTGTCAAGTGTCCATTTGCCTGGCTAGTCGACTGATTTGACTTTCTTCGACATTGTTGCCGACTGACATACCACCAAGTCTAATGGCAAAATATTAAGTATCACATTTAGAGCTTCACTAGGCGTACTCCTTAATGTACCACCGATACACATTAACGCACTTCTTTGCGCCATATCTGTGAATATAGCATTTGAAGCTTTATTTATGCTGACCACCACACGATCGCACCGTAACGGAGCGTTGGTATTACCACTGAGATATAGATCCTTTGCAAAGCTTGGCAAGATGTTATTGATAGCTCCCTTTTTATCCGACGATGGCAACAGCACAAATGTCAACTGAAAATGTTTGTGAAATTATGCATTTGCGTTTCAATAGTAAAAACCTTTATTTACAACTTCTGACAACCAATTTTTTATATATTTATTTTTATACCGAAGATGTCTTCCGACTTAATGACAGCAATTAACCGCTCTTGTAGAGCAATTTATCAAAATAAATTTATTACATTTATTACATACATATATGTATATACCCACATATGTATACGTATGTATGTAATTACAGTTTTTAGTCATTTACCGTATAAGGTTTCAGTCGAAAACATTGAGAATAATAACAGGCCCTCCCCGGTACATTCGTAATGAAAATATCTATATAGATCTAAACATACGCACAATCAAGGAAGAGATTAATAGTACAAAGCAAAACTGCACCATCAACCGAACCCTTTGGCTTGGCTATCCCCTTGGCCTCCGCACCAAGTCAAACGAGCATGAGGAGAAGTGACCTACTACCCCCATTCCTAGCTAATGGGCTATTCTGTTTTAATTTAGTATTTAAGATCTGACAACTTATTGTGAGGATCCTGATAAAGAAGAAGCAGATTCAATAAATGAACACAAATGTTAAAAAAAATGAAAAAAATGTATGAATTCAGAGGTTAATAACAAATACACTAAAATGTATATATGAGTACTTGTTAATATTTTACTTAATTATGCAAGTGTCTTTATAAATGTGTTAACGGTTGTGTTGTTGAGAAAAAAATTTTGAAATAAGCTCGTATTTGGAATGCATGCCTTCATGGAGTAACGAACGCAGAAATATGCATGTGTACACACACAGCGCGTAGAAATAAGTACTACAATAAATACAAATGCCTCTTTATATGTACGTGTACATATGTATATAAATAAAAAAATATATATGTAACTAAGCCGTAAAATATTAAAAGCCGTACATCAAGAATTTTTCTTAAACAAATTTTCTTTACTTTAACGAGGACGTAGTGGCGATGTCATTCGTGATCCAATTGGCTACCGGTCTTATTTATTTATTTAAATGTATGTGCATACACAACTGTGTATATGTACGTAAATACTTACACATAATTAATAACTTACAATTTGATGTGGCGAGTTTCGGTTGCGTGCCTGCAACATAAATCCCCCGAAGCTCAAACCAGGTGGAACGCCAACGATGTCCACACGCATCGTTTGCCCTTGGCCAACAACTGACGACGACGTTTCTATTCGAAAAGGTGGCAAAGAAGTTGAAGGCGGTATGCCACCGCCATGAAAGGGTAGCATTGTGTCGCATACTGTCTCCGGAGCACCTTGCGGTAGACTCATTATTGGTGTCCATGATATCGTTTGTATGGCGATTAGCACCGCACCTAGCACCAAGGTTCTCGTATTATTTTTAAACATCTTTTAGAAACTAAGGTTGTATGTAGATCTTCAAATGAGTATTTTATCTCAGTCTGTAACAAAGCAAATTAGAAACAGGCAAATTATTAATATTTATACATATTTAAGCGTGCGCACATACATATGTATGTACACATGTACTATGTACTCATCAAACACCCATTTCAAATGTATTGAAGCACACCCGCAAATATTCCAAAATTAACCGTTTCAGTAAACTAAAACGCCGTAGCAGCACGTCTAATTATTTGCTTATCATTTACTGTTATCATCAACTAAAAAAATTACGGTATTACTGTTGCACTTCACTCATTTGCATTGCATGTAAAGCATTAACAGTATCTTGACTGGTATCACAATTTTTTAAATTCTTGCACTTTTGAAGTGGGTGCAAATGTGTACATACATACATGTGTATCCATACGTACATACATTTGTACGAGTACGAGTATGTACGCATATACAAAAGTAACTTAATGAAAGTTTGAGTCCTCGTCGACATCTGCTAGAGTGTCCCAAGCACATTCGACATATCATATTGAAGTTATATATAAACGAGTACAAACATACATATGTATATACGAGTGTTGTATATGAATTTTGTATCACATTCGTGACATATTTTTAAGTTTATATTTTAGAAATAGAAAGTGACTATTTACTCATAGTTCTATGTGTTTTTTATTATAAAAATTTGAAATATATTTTGGCGCATTTTGCCTTAGTTATAAAGCCTCATACCTACATATGTACATATGTATGTATGTTTACGTACAGTTTGCTGTGCTTATATGGCAAATATAATACATTAAAAAAATCAAATTCACATCTCAGTAAAATGTTAAACTTCAAGTATTGAGATCGTGATCTAATCGTAAGATTTTACCTTGAAGGTTTTTGTGCTGAGACAGTGAGTTTTATTCAATCCAGTGTAAAGCACTTTACTTGCATTTATGTGTAAGCACACACTTATGTACATACTATGTATGGGTGTATATGTATATGGCAAATTGTATTGTATTTATGTTTGCCTGTAGGTTCATTTGAATTAAGAAAAAACTGACACTGATGAAAATTATTTGAGCCTCGAAATTGTTTTTGTTTTATTAAAATACATTTGATAGTTTCACTTCAAAATTTTTGACACTAAACGTGTTTGCTTACGTATGAATCTTATACGGCTGTGTAAGCTGACCTTGAGCAACCCAAAAAGCTCCGTCAGGATCGGGAAGGACCTCCCCGAGCCGTTCGATACCAAACAAGGTTATGAAGGCAAGACGAAATATCTCCTGTCATCAAACAAACAGTCATCGCATTCGCGTCTTGGCTCCCACGTCACTGTTGACAGTCATAATTTTGAAGTCGTAGATAACTCCAACAACAATGTCAGCCTGGAAATCCAACGCAGAATCTCGCCAACAGGTGCTACTTTGGACTGAGTAGGCAATTGAAAAGTAAAGACCTCTCCCGACGAACGAAAACTTAACTCTACAAGTCACTCATTGTTCTCGTCCTGCTATATGGTGCGGAAGCATGGACGATGACAACATCTGATGAGTTGGCGTTAGGATTTTTCGAGAAAAAGGTTTTGCGTAAGATTTATGGTCCTTTGCTCGTTGGCAACGGCGAATATCGCAGACGATGGAACAACGACCAGTACGAGCTATTGGGCGACATTGATTTAGCTCAGCGAATCAAGAAACAGCGGCTACGCTGGCTAGGTCATGCGGCCCGGATGGATGCGAATACTCCTGCTTTGAAAGTTTTCGATGCAGAGGAAGAGGAAGGCCTCTTCCGTTGGAAAGACCAGCTAGAGAAGGGCCTGGCTGTACTTGGGCGCCAAACAGTAAACGGAAGAAACGAATGGCGCAATGTTGTTTACTCGGCTACAATCGCGTAAGCAATGTCTACGCCAGTGAATTAAGTAAGTTTCAGCAGTCATAACCCTGATAAACTCTGCATATGATGTAGACATACCTCTTTCCTATGCTAAATATTTGTTAAGTCTAGCCTTCATCAGAAGAGCAAACAGCAGGTGACGGAATGAAACCATGTGCAATTTATGGAAATGAACAGAACTAACTGGCGTATTAACCCGAAACTATGTTGTCGGCGGCCGCGGTAGCCGAGTGGTTAGCATTGCGTACTGACATTCGGTAGGCTCGTTTTCATATCCCGGTGCCGCCAACATCCAAAAATTATGGAAAAATCGCTTCAGCGGTTACAAAGCACCAATTATACATATATGTTGTGGGCACTCACGATTTAACTAACTAACTGACTAAATTTCTAAATATGAATATATTTCGCGGTTAGATTGAATTCAAGAGTTTGGAAATTTAATCAACTTCAAGGGCTACGTTTAAATTATTGTATCATGATATTGTCATCAATATGAAGAGAACCGAAAAGCCGTCTTAGATCTTCACTCAATCCATATTTATACTCGGTTTATTTCAAGCGGTACCTTCTCCCAACTCCAAGTAAAATTCATATACATATATATATATTTATATACAAATATATATATATATATATATATATATGTGTGTGTGCTTTTTTTTATGTAATTGTTGCTTTGAAACCTCTGAAGCGACGTTCTTGGCGTCCTCCTCCAATTTATGATGTATGTCTTGGTTTTTAAGCCGCGTCCGAATGGCTGATGGTTTTCTAGAGGAGCGTTTAGTTCATGCCGAGGGACGTTCGGAAAAATTATCTTAATTTTTCTGCTAAACTAATTCTCTATAACTTTTGAGTGTTGGTCGGACAAGAACTTGAACCCTGATCTTTCCCACGTATACACACTGCTAACCACTATGCTACTGCGGGTGCCATGTAAGTACATATATGAGTAGACTGGTGGAAAACATAGTGAAACAGTAATATTTTTTGTTTATTAGCTGGACACTTTTGGAGCAGCCCCTGTGCTTTTAAATATTTTACTTTCGCTTTTAAGTTCGGGTTATTTAACTTTTCGTTAGTCACCAATATGACTTTGGCTCAATAATTTCATCGATTAATACAATCCATTTAATACTGGTTACATAGCTGGCGTAATTGCGCATACATACATATGTACATACATAAAGGCACGCTAACATAACTATGTACATATTACATACATAGACAGATACGCATATCTACGTATAAAGTTATTGATGAAAATGTACGTACAAAGAAATGTATATCAAACGAATATGGGATAAAAATTTGTATAGGTCTACTTCCAAGAGATAGAAATGAAAAAACGTAAAATTTGGGGTTGGCCGAAGTAATGAAAAATAAAGGGCTCCGTTCCGTTGAAAATGGAAAGTAGAGCTGGATCTTCCCTAACTTAATTAGTAGCGAGTAATTTTTAACGCGAGTAGAATCGGATAATCGGTGCCTATGTCAATTTAGAAGGACGATGTACATATCTAATACATAAACTATTTAATTAGTTTGCCGCTTTTTTGTTTGACTTCTTAGAACTTCGAAATACTGTCATCATATTACGAATTCGGCTTAGAACATCACCACCAACTAAGCAATAGTTATTCGCACATGCCGATTTTCCGAACCGTGACCTACTCAAGCCGTCTTCGGTCCCAATCAATATATATACATACATACATACATAGATATACTATATGTATATATATATACATACTTTTTTTTTTTGCTGGCAAAAAGTAAGTTGAACACCTGCAGCTCTACTACGACCGGGTCGTGATTCAATACTCATCTGATTTGATGAAAAATTGCTGCTCTCGTGTTTTCTGAAAAGCTGTACCCTCATTCGCAGAACAAAACTGACGCATACATATGAACATACAAGTATTTATACCTATGTATGCACATAAATAAACACACTTCTATTTAACAATATAAAGGACGCGTTTGGAGCCAAACAAAAAAATTTATATTTGACACAAATCAATAATAAGAGAATTTATGTATTAATAAGTATAAGTTAATGCAAGTATCGAGTCGTTCTTAAACTCAGCTTTCTGTTGAGTTATTTGTGAGAATTTTTGTATTTTGCTGTTGCCGCTAAATGGCGAATTAGCGCACATAAGATTGGTTAGCAAAGTCTTCAAACACATTTGTATTTGTATATACGTACATACACAGTCAGGCGCAGTGATCGCTCAATAAAATGAACAATAGTTTTGTTCGTTGAGAAAACTTGATCCAGTACAAACTAGCAAGTACGAATAACAGCTGATTTGTGATCATATGATTGAAAACAAAATTGAATTATATGCCAACAAAATAAGTGGTCAAATGTAATGTTGTTTAATTTAACTAAACAATATAAATATTTCCAGCGATGGTAAAAGCACTCGTTAAACGAAAATGTGATGGCAGGGGATGGGATCATCGACCGCACACTACCCAGCTTCCGTTGAAAATTAGAAGTTAGGAAGGCATAGAATAAGAATAAATTATTATTTCTAGTACAACGGTTGATTTTGGATTTCTAAGTTTACCAGATAGCAGTGTCGACCAAAGGAGCCGGATAACAAATTTGAGGCAAAGTTGCTGCTACGGCCAGAATGAAATATTAGTGGTATTTAGAAGGAAAAAGAAAGCTCTTGCTTGGTTTTTATTCAAACAGAATCGAATAAACTTTATAATAATGTTGATTTCATAAGGCCGGCTCACATGGAACAAGAATTTCAAACTATTTTTCATATTTAAGTCATCCTTACTGAAAATTTGAAGGAAGTTCTACAGCAATCCTCGTCCTTTTAGAGGGCTTTTTGGTTAAAACATATTGATATCTTTATCGTCTGGCGGCTATAAAGCATATAAACTTTCATCACTTTTAAAATATATTAACTTTTGAATACAATTAATAACTTCGAAATGTAAGAAAATTGCCAATTTTATTAAAACACTTTGGAAAATAATTAAAACCAGAAATAAAAAACTGTATAAATGAACGGAATCAAATTTAACCGCCAAAATAAACAGCTGTAGTGCAACTTGCTGGCTAATTTTTACTGGATCCTGTTCGTTGAAAACTCAATAAATTTCTCTTTTTCGGAGAGTAAAACATCTTACTTTCTCAATTTCTTACTTTTATTTCTCTAATGCCTAATTGAAATATAATAAAATTTTATAAAAATTTATTGAAACCGATCTTTTAGACAAGCTTGTGATAACAAAGGAGACTTAAGTCGAAAGACCATTTTTAGTTGTCATATTTAAAACATTCACTTGTTTCTTCGAAAAGTTTCGAATTTAAGAATAGATCGTAGACGGGGAAAGCCGAGCGATTCTGTTTCGCAAGTTCTTAGGTCCTCCTTACAAACATATGTACATATATGGACATACTATTTAGTTTTTGTTATTTCGAAAAATTTTACACTTGTATAAATATCCAGGCAGTCGCCGGTCAACTTTATCTCTACAAGTAGTCTATGTACCTCGCGTTGAATGAAGCTTTCTAATACGGTACTGGGTCTTCAGGTATTCACAAATGTAGACTTGTTGCTCTGGTCGATCACTGTACACCTGTAGTTATGTATGAACATAAGTACAGATAGCGAGAGTAGAAAACTCTCAGACAAGCCGAGATCAACCAACGTTGTCACAATGTTGTTGATATACATATGTATTGTATGTACATATGTATATATGTCTGCATATACAAGTCCGCTTACAAAAGTGAGAAACATTCAAAACCAGTTTGTCAATGTTTTTTTTATCTTTTTGTAAATAATTAGCGCAAGTGATTTTAACTTTTTTTATTTAATGTCTTGTTTTTTAATACTCATTAATATCAGTTTCTTATGACTAATTTAACTTCAATTCGAATCAATTTCTGGGATTACCACTTGAATGTAAAACAATTGTGATGTCACTGTTCTCATACGATGTATTTATGTTTTCATATGTGTGTATGTATGGAAACTTATTACAACAATCACTATTTGCTTTTGACCCTATTAAACGTTTTGCATATCCAAACACTATGGGTGTGGTAAAGTGGCAACATTTTTGTCCAAATATTTAGAAAAATAATATTTTTTGTACATATGTACATACATACGTACTTGCAAAAAGTAATCTCATGTATTTTATATTTAGTTTGTAAAAAGTATTTTTTTCACTAAAACTTAGAAGAGTTTCATAAAATTAAGTAAAGGCAATGTTTTCATTGGTTTAATGTAAAAAATAATAATTAAATAAAACGATACAATACGAAACGATATAAACTTCACGAATTCGTCAAATTTTGTGTGTAGACATATGTGCACTTAAGGTTGTCACTTCTTTTTAACTGTCTCAACCACTCGCGATGCCAAACTACCTTAAACTAAAGCCAAGACCGAGTTGCTCGAGCCGCTCTAACTGACGATATGACCGCAAATTGAACCAGCTAGTGAATGTGAATGTCGTTGTTATGCTTTAACATTGAAGTATGTACTATGCATTCGAACACACATACTCTTCGATTATTGTACGTTTACTAACCAGAATCAGGCACGAATAAAATAATTTATACATACATATGTGCATATGTACATATGTATGCACGTACATGGATACATTCCTAATAAAAAAACTTAGTCGGCTATACTTTTAAAGTCTTTTAATTACCTTGCTCATACGCACATCCATACATACATAAGCATGCTAATGGGGAAACATGTTTGTAGGTAAAAATATCCTTAAAAAACTGATTTCTACGTAGGGGGTATACTTCCACTTTACTTTTACTTATGAAATCATAACTTTTGTTGGTGAGCTGATGGGTGAGGTCGGAACGCTCTTTCATAAAAATGTTTGGATTTTATGCAAAAATTATGCAAGAAATTCAAAACTATGTTCTGCTAATATTGCCGGGTTACATATATTTCAATATGCGGGTATGTTGAATCACAAATATTTCTTACATTAATTTAAATAAATAAAGATGCCAAAAAATTACGAATTTTATTAAAGTACTTTTCAAATTACGAAAAATCAAAAAATATTAAATTGTATAAATGATTGGATTTAAAAGTAACAGCAAAAATACACAGCTGTTATACAACTTAATAGTTCTGTTCGGAGAATTGATGGCAGTAACAATTGTTACTGAAAGTTACTGAATCGCGTTCGGTTCCATTAAAATTTACATCGGGAAAGCTTAATTTCTACTGTACCGTGGAAACCTAGTAAATGTCTTCCTTTAGGAGAACTACTTCTTACTGGTATTTCCGGTATTCCTTTGTTGCTCATAAGTTTATTTGAAATTTTCGAGATCTTTCGTATCCATTTTGAGCAATTTTATTTGTCAGAAATTCTTAGTATTTCCATGTTTTAAACACTTTGCAAAATGAATTGGAAATTCCAATTAGTTATACTGAAATGTTCGGATTGATTAAAAATGTGCAAACGTTTGTTAACGAATTCCGCTCCTATAAGGCAAATATATATAATATGTTTAGCATCAGAAGACAATACCAGCATAAATATGGTCCCACCGATGATTATTTTGCGGATGAGAAGTACCAAACAATCGGCAGTTGTTTCGTAAGAGGCGACTAAAGTCAGTCTGGTTTTTATACATGAAAAGTTGAGTTTGGGTACCTTGAGTTTGTTTGTTTCTTTATCCATTTGAAAGAAGCCTTAACAAAACTATCGATTTTCACACGTCCATCGAGGTATCGAGTTTCCTGCGATGCAATCACTACTATTAAAAATCACTTTTCATTCAATAATTTTTCGAAAAGTGTTACTTTTGTCATTAAGACTTGATTAAAAGTTTAAAATAAGTCAAAATATCCCGTAAACAGTTGTTATTTATCTTGCAAAATGTTTGTGCAAAGCCTAATATGGTTTTTTCTAATATTGATGATTAATCATAATAAAGCTGAATTAGTAATTGGACAAGAGGAATCGGCAGAGGATATTCTCGGACTGTTTACTATAGAAGGAAAAGTATTTTCACCAGAATCTCAAATGAAAGTACAATCAGAAACTTCGTTATCTATAAATAGTGGAGAGTACAAAGGATTCTTGCGAGATGACGGAACATTTATCATAAGTAACGTACCTTCCGGTAGTTATGTCTTAGAAGTACATAATCCCGACTATTACTATGAGCCGATACGGGTAGAGATTAATCCCAAAGGCAAGTTTCGGGCTCGAAAAGTGAATTATGTGCAGCCTTCGCAAATTGTGCAAGTGCCGTACCCGTTAAAGATGAAAGCGTTTACACGTTTCAAATATTTCCAAACACGCGAGCAATGGAAGGTAAGGATCATATGATACATGTATTTCAAATGACATTTTGCTGATTGTTTTATTTTGCAGATAACAGATTTCTTGTTCAGTCCTATGGTATTAATGATGGTGCTACCACTCTTAGTTATGCTTGTTCTACCTAAAATGATAAATGATCCCGAGACTAAAAAAGAAATTGAGAACATTCAGTTTCCTAAAGTAAGTTATGCTACTTTTGCAGAGATATAAACGATCGTAATAATTATTATCTTAATATTAGGTGAGCAACGAGATGCCAGAGATTAGTGAAATGATTACATCATTTTTCTCTGGAGCCAAACCACCAGAAAAGGAGAAAAAACCTATCTCTTCAAAACAAAACAAGAAACGTAATTAATTTACAATTAATTAACAAGTTATGTATGTAAATTCCAATAACCAACGATCACACATAAAGCGTAAATAAGTAATGCTAATAAATTTTAATAAATCGGTGTCCTTGGTATTTATTTGAAATTTTATTTAAGAAAACCTACAATATTTCGACGTTTTGATCCAATGCGCTCTTCCTCGAGTTTCAAAGCTTTCACCAATTCGTTGTTTAAGCTTTCCGCCGCAGATAAGCCCAATAATACGCAATTATGCATTGTATCCTTATGTAATGACCCTTCTCCGATTGTGTGTACGTTTGACGTATAACCTATATAAAAAAAAAAAGTGTAATAAATATACACAGCATTTGAATAACTCAACTTTTTCCTTTTCTCTTTGAGACCCCCACAACAACACTGGCAATGCTACATTCTTCTTCTTCCGCAGATGGATCTACAACACACGAATCCCCTATTTTGCACACGGTTACCAATATAGGCAAATTTCCAATTGGTATTCGTGTGCAATCATAAGGATCATCGGAAATTAATAATTCTGCTTCTCCTGCATCCATAAGCGCCGCTGTTACACGTGGTATTTTTGTATTGAACAAAGCTGCTTTCGCTGCTAAAGATACTGCATCAAATAAATTTCCTCCACATTCTAAAATCTGTATAAAGAAAATTTTACAACTTTTGAATAAAAATTATTAATTTCAATTTACCAAAATATCAACAAAAAGTTTCCAGCATTGTTGACCAGGCAGAATACAAAGTAGTTTTAAGTCGAAGGCTTTTGGGGATTCATATGCGTTTGTTAAGGTATCTGCCAATTCTAATGCCAGTTCTTCTCCACCTCGCCCTTCAAATTCAGGAGCTGCATTTGCCGAACTTAAAATTTTAATTAAACCTCAATTAAAAAGTGAATCGAATTTTTTATTACAAGTAATCTCACCAATCAACGAAAAATTCTATTTTGCCTTGATCAGGAGTTAGGTAGTTCGGTTTATCAATCTCTGTCTTTATTCCTACTAAAACGTCTGTGTTTGCTAATCGCAATCTAGCTGAACCACTGGCATTACTAACCAAATCAGTTTCTAACTCCATAGGTCTATAGTCACGACGCGATCGTCCATCACAACGGAAATCTTCCTGCAAAATTCAAAACTATTATCACTTTCAGAAGTATTTTCAAAATGTTTACCTCTACGCCGTGAAGTATAAATGTTTTCTCTGCTTCACTTAACGAAATATTTGCCATAATTAATGAACAATTTAGAAAGTTTTTAATTTTGCATAGCAGAATCAAAATCTTTAACAAACTGCGTGGTCGAGCTAATATTATACAAATATCGATTGCATTCGAACTTATCGATTATTGATGTCCTCAAATCTCGTTAACCAATAAATAGTCGAATAACAATTGGAAATAATTTAGATAATTTCACTACAACAGTAAATTTAATATAATTGGATGTTACAAAAATAAAAATAGCTGCAAAATCATCCAGCTTTAATATTCTGTCCCATTAGAAGTTTCAATTTTTATTTAAAATAATGACAGACGAGCTAAATATTTATTTTGACAATTAATGAAAAACCTTAAAATCGTTACGCTGTTGAATTCGCCTATTGCAAAGTCTCTCGAGATCTTTCATCGGTCTTTCATCGCAAGCGCCTAATCTGGCAGCACTAAGTTCATTATGAGACAACATTGATGATGACGCATTATACGTCAAACCGAAAAATATTTTTTATTTAGCAACAAAACATTTAATTGCAATCTAAGTGAACAAAAAATATCACTGTTGGAATATTTTTTTAATTTTAAGTGTGTAAAACTGCAGTCGCAAAATGAGCTTCTTTGGAAAAATGTTCGGTGGCAAAAAGGATGTGGCGCCTACAACTGGCGAGGCTATACAGAAACTTCGTGAAACGGAAAATATGCTTATTAAAAAACAAGAGTTTCTGGAGTCTAAAATCGAAGAAGAATTAAATATTGCTAGGAAAAATGCATCGAAAAACAAAAGAGGTGAGCATTAATACGTAATAACTTTATGTATTCCAATTAAAACAACATTGGCGGCTTAATTTAATAAAAATGTGTTGTGCGTATTTAACTTCTGTAAATTGTCAACTGAAAAGCTAAAATGAGTCATTGTTGACTATTAAACATTCTTTCTGTATTCTTATTCTCCATTTTCTTACTATACTGCTACAACTGCGGGTATAATTTCATCTCATTCCGGAATTCATCCTTTGCTACTCATGATTAGAACGTAATGTTAAAAACAATAATCTATTTTATTTTTCATTTGTTTGCACAGTATGTATTTAATATATGTAATTACATTCGCAAAATAACCAATAATCTGACAGACTTTGGTGACACTTAATTCTGGTAGACTATATCTGCTGGCTCCTGATTCAGTAAGCTTACAAAAGAATTGAAAAGCCCCACCATGATATTAAATATTTTTTCACAAATATAAACAGAGAAAAGTTACCAAAATGTTTAAACAAAAATATTGTATCACGATTTCGAATATTAAAATATTTTATTTAGCAAAGGCTCCTTATGTGCACTTATCAGTTTGTGCCACACGATTCTTACATTTGCTCGTGGCTGAATAGTAGAAAATTTATGGAAAGGAGTTTTTCAGTTAAGTAATTCAGAAAACATGTTTTAATTTTACCTCCGAAATTTTTGTATAATTTTTAATTTCAAGTAGTCTTTCTTCTTGTTGAAGTATGAGTTTATGCAACTTTAAAATCATATGTACGTATTATTCAAAACCAATCAAACCAATTGTTACCCGGATACCTAGATATTTAGTAAGAAAAAAACAAATTCCTTAAAAAGATTTGCGTGGAATTTTCTATTAGTTTTCATTATCTTTGTTAAAAATAGTACCTTCAAAAAACTTTACCTCTTTGCTAAATATGATTTACAAAATTACATATTTTTAGTGGCGTTGCAAGCGCTTAAAAAAAAGAAGCGTTTGGAGAAGCAGTTACAGCAAATAGATGGAACGTTGTCTACAATTGAGATGCAGCGTGAGGCTCTGGAAAGCGCCAATACAAATACCGCAGTTTTGACCACGATGAAAAATGCGGCTGATGCACTGAAGGCCGCACATAAAAATATGTTCGTTGAAAAATATATTTATTTACCAAAGGCAGTTATAAACTCGTTTTTTTTTTTTTGTAATTTTAGGGATGTGGATAATGTGCATGATATGATGGATGACATTGCCGAGCAACAAGATGTGGCGCGTGAAATTTCTGACGCTATATCAAACCCCGTCGCGTTTGGTGAGCATAAATATAAAATATCATTGCTTAAGCTTGACTTTATTATTGTAAATTAAAAATGCAGGTGCTGACCTAGATGATGAGGACCTAGAGCGTGAATTAGATGAATTGGAGCAAGAAGAATTCGATAAGAAAGTTATTGGTATTCCTGAGCCAAACGTTACATTGCCTGAAGTACCGGCGGATGAGATGCCAGAGAAAATCCCAGAGAAAAAGAAAGCTCCGGCTCCTGCCACCTTGACTGCAGAAGAGGGTAATAGAAAAGCTGTGTAATTTTCCAAAAATTGAATTCAATATTGAACTTTCTTACAGAAAATGATCCTGACATGAAGCAATTGCTTTCTTGGGCTAACTAATGCTTTGATGGATATTAAACTCAAAACACGATCATATATTAGTCGTTTCGAATTAGAATTTAAAAAACGTATGAGCACTGTAGGCGACAGAGAATGGAAAAGTAAAATATATACAAATCTTCTATAAGAAGCTTTTATTACATGTCAGTAATATAAACCAGGGTTTGACATTCCTATTGCCGTGCAACTGCTTAAGGGAACAATTTTTTGGGTTTGGCCAAGGTTCGAGCGTTATTTTTAAATATATCTTTAGGCTGAAAATATTTTTAAATAATAAGAAACTGTTCAGAAAAAACATATTTACACCATTAAGACCATAATCAAACGCTTAGTTTTACCTGAGGAAATAATATCATAAATTGTCGGTAGGAAGTATTTTATATGAATATTTGCTTAAAAAAAATTTAAAACCATCTTACCCGGAAAGATCTCAAAATTAACAGCGTTTTCTGTCGAAGAATTTCAAATTCAAATTGGTTTCGAATTAAGTTTGATTGATTTATTTCACTTTTAACGTTTCTAAGAGACTTAATTTTATTGATTGTTCTAAATGCGACGATAAGCGAATATCGCCATTAATTCCAATCCATACATTTTCGATTCTTCAATAAAATAATTTCATAAACAACTTACTTTCTCGGCTTTACTAATCCTAAATTCCCTACCCTAAACCTTTATTCCATTCATCACAATAGCGAATAATTGATAGCAAATACCTTGAATTTAATGTAGAGTAATGGAATTCTTCCCAAACATTTGACCATTTCTTTGGGAAACAGAAATGAGAAAGTATTATAGATAAACTACTCTCACAACTGCCGACTCTCCTTACCGGAGTTTAGATGCATTTCCAGCCAAGGTCTGACACTTTTCGGCGGCCTTACTTCGCTTAGGTCGTAAAGTACATTTAATTTATGTACGTGAATGGAGTAACACCTCGCGGTAGGGTTTGTCCGCCGGAATATTTCTGCTGCGTGTGCCATAGATGACTAAAACATTCTTCCATTTCTAGCATAATGGCTAGAGTCATCTTAAGGCTTGCCCACGAAATACGTTGTCTTATTCTACCTTCTATGAACGGCATCGTTAGTTCTGCTCTCTCCAGGCTTGATAAAGGGCGAAGCGAACGGGTCTGGTAGTGAACGAGGACAAGACGAAATATCTCCTGTCATCAAACAAACAGTCATCGCACTCGTGACTTGGCTCCCACGTCACGGTTGACTGTCGTGACTTTGAAGTCGTAGATAATTTTGTCTATCTAGGAACCATTATTAACACCAACGATAACATCAGCCTTGAAATCCAGTGCAGAACCACTCTTGCCAACAGGAATGAACAGGAATGAGTAATGAGAATGAAAAGTAAAGTCCTCTTCCAACGAACGAAAACTTAACTCTACAAGTCACTCATCGTTCCCGTCCTGCTATATGGTGCGGAAGCATGGACGATGACAACATCTGTCGAGGTTAGGAGTTTTCGAGAGAAAAGTTTTGCGTAAGTTCTATGGTCGACGGTGGAGCGATGAGCGAGTTATACGGCGACATTAATACAGTTCAGCGAATCAAGAAACAGCGGCTACGCTGGCTAAGTCATGTGGCCGGGATGGATGCGACTACTCCTGCTTTGAAAGTTTTCGATGCAGTACCCGCCGGCGGAGGAGAGGAAAGAGGAAGACCTCATCCGTTGGAAAGACCAGCTAGAGAAGGGCCTGGCTGTACTTGGTATTTCCAATTGGCGCTAAACAGTAAACGGAAGAAACGAATGGCGCATTGTTGTTAAATCGGCCAAAATCGCGTAGCGGTGTCTACGCCAAAGTAAGTAAGTAAGCATTATAAAGGGTACACTCATTTTCAAATTTGATACGTGCGGTGGGATTCCCGCTAAGTGCAAAAAATTCAAAATTTTTTCGGATAATTTACTGCCTTATCTGTATCCACAACGCTCCAATAAGAATGTCTCAAAATAAGCCAAATTAAGCCTGCAGCCGTACAATAATAAAAACACGAAGCGAACATGTGTACATACATGCGCACGATCTATGCTTGTCCAAATCATACTAATTTTTGTCAAGCTTTCGTTGATCCCTTTCCCGTAAAGAGCAAATCCAATATGTGTCCATGTCTTTGGCCCATTTCGAATAAGTTCACGCCTGGTCCACTTCCCAGAACGAAGAGTAGTATTCCAGCTAATCGAATCATAAATAAATGAATTTGAATAGGTCAGCCCCCGAACCACTTCCCCGGGAAAAGAGAAGTCCGATTTTTTGGTCCACTTTCCGGAGAGAAGAATAGTCTTCCTATTAATCTAAATAAAAAAAACACTTTGAGATTTTTGGAGATTGCCTCATCTTTTTAAACGGACATTAGATATATATATACTATGTTCTATTACAAGTTTACGTTCCAGAGGCTGGTTGAACTACTTGAAGGGATGTTGAAATCCCGAAAAGTCTAAAATATGACTATGTAGGTGGCTTAGGGCAAGCCATATGACAACCGCTGAAAATGTACACACATTACATGTTCTCTGGACACACCGTGAGAAATTAAAATATCGATAAATGAAATCTAAACAGCTATCGATTTGTTTTTCTCTCAAATCAAAACAAAATAAATATTCATAAGTTAATAATGCACTAGTGCCCAACGTATTAAGAAAACTATGGCGAATCGCACTGTAAAAGAAGCAAAAAATATTCATGGAACAAATCCACAATATCTTGTAGAGAAAATAATACGTTCACGTATTTATGATTCGAAGTATTGGAAGGAGCAATGTTTTGCTCTCACAGCGGAGCTCTTGGTAGATAAAGCAATGGAATTGCGCTTCATTGGCGGTGTTTACGGTGGGAATATAAAACCGACCCAGTTTCTCTGCCTTACGCTTAAAATGCTACAAATTCAACCTGAAAAGGATATTGTGGTAGAATTTATCAAGAATGAAGAGTTCAAATATGTGCGTGCACTGGGAGCCTTTTATTTACGGTTGGTTAAATTAACTCCAAAAATTTTAATTAATGATATCTAAAATGGTTTCTTTGTTTACGCTAAAGTCTTACAGGCAGTGCACTAGATTGTTACAAGTACTTGGAACCTTTGTATAACGACAATCGTAAACTTCGCCGTCAGAATAGAGCTGGACAATATGAAATTGTACATATGGACGATTTTATTGATGAGTTGCTTCGAAGTGATCGAGTGTGTGATATAATTCTTCCTCGTATACAAAAACGTACAGTGCTTGAGGAAAATAATGAGTTGGAACCGAAAATATCTTCTTTGGATGAAGATTTGGACGATGACGTTGTCAGCGATGAAGAAGCTGGCGCTGATCGAAATGAAGAAACCAAGAAGCCTTCGTTGTTATCTAAGAAACGATCTCGCCGAGGTCATTCTCGCTCCCGTTCCCGTAGTCCAATAGGTTCAGGCTTACGCGAGCAAAGGACTGGTCGTACTCGTGATTATGATACCCAGCTAGAAGACTACAGTCGGCAACGTGACCGTGATCGTGAAAGGGATCGTTTCGGAGTGAGTTCATCATCAACTAGTAATCGTCACTGGGAGGACCGTGGCGGATCCGGTACTAATTATCGAAGAGATGAATACAGGGATGATTATAGACGGGAGGACTATAAAGATCGTCGATATGATAACCGCGATTCGCGAAATGAACGGGACAGGAGACGTCATTAGTTAATAGGAAAACTTAATAAACTATAACTGAAAAAATACTTTTATTAAATTTTTATTTTATAACATCTATCTATTTCTTTTTTTCCTTATTAAACTCTTTAATCAATATATACATATGTAAGTAGGAGTACATTTATTCACAACACTTTCCGAAAACATACATTTAAACATTTTTATTGCACGTTTTGCTTTGATTAATAATCTTAGCGAGGGACATTATGCACTACGCGATTGGAAATACCAAGTACAGCGAGGTCCTCGCCAACGTGGTCTTTCCATAAGAGTGAAAGTCTTTCTTTGCTTCTACCGGCGGGTGCTGCATCGAAAACTCTCAATGTGCCTTATGGACGGGAGCCGAGTTGCGAATGCGATGATTGTCTATTTGATGGCAGCAGAAATTTTCATCTTGCCCTCGTTCACAACCAGACCCATATCCTTCGCTTCCTCATCAAGTCTGGAGAAAGCAGAACTCACGGCGCGTTTGTGCGTTGTCGGCGTACGCCAGGAGCTGTACACTCTTATAGAAGATTGTACATTCTCTATGCAGCTCTGGTATTCACTGCTATGTAACCTACAAGAGTCTGCTCTGATCTTAAAACCTTCTGTGAGTCACCGTATCATTTTGTGGAATTTTCGGGCAGCATTCTTATTGGACAGCTTCTCAAGCTTCTCATACTCACGCACCTTTCTTTTTTTGTCTGCACATGCCTCTTTGTTTCCTTTTCATTTCTTGGTAACTGTCCCATCCCGCACTTGTAATGGTCGATCGCAACGACACCGCAGTCATCAGCGTATCCTGTTCTTTCGACTTCCCGAAATCCAATAGTTTCATTTGAAAGTGTACGTAGGCAGCTTGAAATGTCATTCCACAGTCCTATTACACCGAGTTGCTGATCAGTGCACTCAGAGAGCAGGAGTGCAAATCGGGTAGAAAACTATTAGGTTGCCTGTTATAATTTGCAGATTTTCGACGTCGAGCCTCAACCCATTAGGGAATGTTTCGCTGTGGAGGATGATTTTTCCGACAGTTGTGTCGAAGATACCTTCTTTGCCCGCCTTGGCGTTAATATCAGGTGAATATCAGCACTCGGCGATAGAGACTCTCTCCCACCACGAATCCAAAACCAAATTTACGCTCCTTTATATGTCCGCTGAAGCAAATGTGACAAGGACTTTCTCGCTTCCGTCCTTGCCCCGCCCATCGCTTTTCTTGGACGGCGGAGATGTCAGCCTTTATTCCACCCAGTATATCAACCACATGGGCAACGACACCTTCTCTCAAATCTTGATCCTTGATTTGCTCCCGCAAACGAATTAAGGATCAAGATTTGAGGGAAGGTGTCGCTGCCCATGTTGGTTATAGATGATCAATATTTAAGCCTATCTGAACTAGGTGAGATAGCATACTACATTTGAAACGGATAACGGTTTTTGGGATTTATATACGTACATATGTTTGCTATCTTATTTAAATTAAAAATGTTTTTCAAAGGAAAGGAATTCAAGATGTCAGTTATATAATTTTTTTCATTTGATTAAATTAAATCTAAAATATAAAATATCTTTAACGTCTTAAAATTGCTCACGATTTGGGAAAATCAATATGACTCTATTGCTCTGACTTATGCTGTACAAAACACCATTACGATAAATGTACATATACAAATCAACTATCATATTTCAACACTTATAATAAAGTTTTAAAAGTTCTAACAATAATTTCAGTATGTATGTATGTTTCATTTTTTTTTTAAATTTATTTTACTAGTTTCGCCTTATTTGGCTTCGTTGAGGCAGTCCCGTTTTTTGTATTAGTTTCTCCTTGACTTTTGAAATGCAACTCGAACATAGCGCGTATATCGGCTAAAGCTTTACATATATTTTCTCCAAACCGATGGACGTCCTAAAATAATAAAAGAATAAATATTGTAGATATTACAAAAAGATTACAATATATGTAGGTTTCGGAAAAAACGATCGTTGAAGCTTACCGTTTGCTTGCAGTTTAATTTAGCCGATATGTGGAAGAATATTAAGTTTTCACCCGCAATAATATATGATACACCATAGCCATCGTCAGCAACGGGTCCAAACCCTCCGCCTGAGCTTATGCAATTTGGATGCTTTTTTAAATCCATTTTCGGCGTTTGGCCATGCGGTGTTTGACTAGTGGATAAACGCCACGGCTCGCTTAATACCTCATTGAGGAAAGGCGAGTCCACCTCTAAGTATTTTGAAACCACGTAAAGGCAGAACAGATGCCGATCAATACCTCGCCCGCACATAGCGTCTTGATATCCAAGCTGGTGGCGATCACATGCTTTCTGTAGAAGCTTGACACGCTCCTCGTTCTTGAAAATATATAATTAGAGCAAAATTGATTTTTGTAAATATGATGATTATTTCTTCAAAAAATTGTTCGATGCTTAGGATTTATAGCAAAAAATATTTAAATGGGATGTATTTAATCAGTCTGGGCGGTGTATGCTTTAATTTCGAGTAATTACAAAAAACCGTTAGATCGCCTAAACTTGATACCGAAACTTCAATTTTTTTCTTATTTCGAAACAAAGGCACAATAATTCAAAAAATATAAACTCACTGTTGTGTTATCGTCTTCCATTGCCTTCACCCATGCTGCTGATTCAATGGTACAAGGCCGAACGGTTTCGGTTCGACCTTCCCGGAAGAGACGAGTCATGGATGCTTCGTATGTTAATGAAAAACGACCAGCATCACGATAGTAAGCCAATTGAAGAGCCATTTGGATATATGCATCAGGGGACAGTCGGCACTTTTTCATGAAACCTTTTCCATACTGATTGTGCACAAGGATTCGCAGGTCCACGTCCTAAATGTGAGTATACAATGATTAATCTTCTCGAAAGCTGCGTAATGCGCCGTAAACATGGTACTTACATTTATAAGCTTAGAAGCATCTAAAGTCGCTTCCTCAATTTGTGGCTGTAATACAGTGAGATCCCAACTTAGTCGTGTGGGTGACGGTGGCTGAAATTCAGGAATACCTTTTGCAATTCCGGACTCATCATATCTGATATTTAATGAAAATTTAAATTAAAATTTATGCGAATGGATTGTATGGAAACACACATACGTGTACATACATATGCATTTAAGCTAGTTACATAAGCCAACAAATTAATTACAAAAGCATGCATGGAATTTGTTAATAAAAAAATGATTATTTTGTTTAATTTATCATCAGATTAGACCAATTTTGACCAACTAAAATACTTAAACAAATTAATTGTTCCCATTTCGCTCAATTAAGTTGCTTGATTCACATTCCAAAACATATTTAGGAAAGATACATTTGTATAAGGGCAATATCCGACTAAAAGTTTTCGACAAGATTATTTATGTATGTATGCACATACATAGGTACATATGCTTATATGTGGACTCAAGTGTCGGAGCATTTGCCAAGTGGTCAGCTGTGCGTTGATCCCTGACCCCTGGATATTAGTCCTGGCAACACCAACATTCAGAATTATGGTAAATGAACTTACGCACTTTGACAGGGAATGTCAACCCCTCCAAGGATAGCGGCTAGCCCCCTTATTTGTTGGAAAAACATTAACAGGCCCATTCTCACTGTTACCGGTAAAGAAAATTTTGTTCCTCTTTTTCAACATCCGAAATTGAATTTGGTATTCTGGCGAACTGGTTACGATGTTTGGAAAAACTTTTTCAGCACTGCTTTTTCGTCCTTGTCAAATTACATTTGCTAGCTGGTAAAGTAAAAAGGAAGAATATTTCCATCGAAACGGAAGACGGAAGAAGTATGCCTACCCACATTGGTTTTTATTTAATTCATATTTAATTCATATTTTCAATCATGTTTAAAACACTGTACTCGTCTGTAGTGAGTTTTGGCAAAAGATTTATAGATCGTTTCTTCCTTAGTAACATACTTAGGATTTCCATAAATATGTACGTGTACTTCCAAGTTAGTAATTTTTTTTAATTATAATAAACTCTTAGGCGGAAAGGTATGTTTTGTATCTACTATGTACATATGTACATATGTGTGCCTGTATGTACACGCATAAGTACTCTGCAAGGGAAAATGCTATTTACTATTGTAAATAGAATCTTACATAGTTTATGTTTTTACACTAGCTAGTTCAACCACTATCTTTTTCCCCATTAGCGTTTTCATATGGACTGCCAATTGTCCGTTTGTGCATCAGCATCATACTAGTTAAATACTAGTTAATGCTGCAAGATTCAAACTGTGAACAGACAGGACAGTCACAAGCAATAAGCACTCGAATTGCGATCTGGTACAATTTAACTTTCAACATTTCAATACTTAACTGTAATTTTGGCGTACTAGTATGTATTTTTCCGACAGTGTAATTTTCTTAGAGCATTTTGCATTTTGTTAGTATGCGAGCAGGTAAAGTAAGCAATACAACTGCATATACAATATAAATCTACCTTGTTAGTACATGGAAATGATAAAGAAAATACATGTATTGTAATAATATGAACTATTAACGTACATATATATGTATGTATGTATGCATGTATGTACATACACGTACATGTATGCAATGAAAAAAATACTAAAACTACAATGAATCTGATCGGTATTAGCAAGAAAAGCGTTTATGTTTAATGTCATCCGATGATTAAACGAATGCAGAAAATGAATTTTAATTATGTAATAGATTGACGGTAGGATTTCTGCAGACGTTTCATCAAAAGTTATTCGCTGAGCGAGTTTTCTTATGGATATGCCAAATGTATGTACATATGTATATGTCTAGATCATGCTGTTTTATAGGTGGCAAATCATACCCATAAATATCATCACCCAACAAATATTCCCAAAGATGACCCATCACCGGTGCATCTGCCCTAAAATATTTTAAAATAAATTTTATTAAGTATTTTATTAAGTATAAGTCGATTTCGTCGATTCGAAATGGAATTCATGATGCGAATAGCTGTGGGCATTTATGCTGGTATATCATATTATACCAACAAAACAAAACAAAACAAAACAAAAAAAAATCTGTTTTTATCATTGTTCATTTGCTAACTTGTACATGTGGTCCATACAGAGAAGAGAAAAACTACCTCGATGGGAGTATTCAAGGAAATATACATACATACATATGTATGTGCAGAGAGATTTTTGCTGGTTGCTAATATTTTCCTTTTGAAGTAACTTGAGAATCACTTGTTTTTCTTTTTTGTTTGTATAAAAAAAAATCAAAATATACCGCATAAATAGAATAAAGAAGAAGAAAAGGGCTTAGTAATCAAAGTTGCACTACATTGGTTATTAATAATTCTACTTATGTATGTATATCAAAATCTCAAATCAAGTTCATATTTTGCATTCATCTACGAGTAAATAAATCAGTTGCTATTATTATTTATAATAAATCAGTCAGTGTAAAGGAAATGCAGAAACAGACCACCACCATTTATGTTTTAGCTACATACATACATATGTATTTATTTTACAACTGACAAGCTACACCACATTCGGCCGGAACAGCCTAATGGGTTTTGCATAAATGATGTGTATATCTTCTTTACCCATTCGTGGTCGCGTCGTCCATAACGAGATTCTCCCACACGTGAGCCATTACAGCTGCATCGGCCCTTTTAAAATATTATCGTTTTAACAGAATGCAATGAAATATGTATTTGCATAGAAACTATTTCAAAAAATCTTACTTGTTGTTAGTAATAAAAAATGCTTACCAAGTATGCTCTGCATTAAAGCCCACACGTCCGTTTGTACCAACGCACACAGTGAAGCTTTTGTCAAACCAACGGTTATAGCCATTGCCATGCAGCAGTGTTTTACCAAATTTATCAAGCAATTCTGGCCGCGCTAAATCAAATTCAAAAGGCTCGTCATCTAACGAGAGCACAAACGCGGATGATTCTATCAGATTAAGTGAAACTCGATTTACGCCTCGAGCAAAATGAGCATTACGAATTTCTGCCCACTTGGAGCGATTCATTGTCGTCAACGCTGCCAAACGTTCTTCTCCCGGCAGTGGTGTGGCTTTGGAGTTTAATATTTCTTCCATTTGTACTTGAATCTCACAGGGCCTCAGTATGCGGCCTTTAAAATAGATAGTTACCTTATAGTAACATCCCTTATGCAGCACAACAATGTGATTCGAGTCGCGATAGTGAACTATACGATCTGTTTCTAATCCGGGTACACGTACAGTGTTGAAGGTACGTTCGTATTGCCATGAACAAAGCGGTATCATTCCCTGCACCATTATCTGCGTATCACGAAAGAAAAGTTGTTTACTTCGATATACATACTCGTACACGTGTACATGTGTATATGTAAAAAATATATATGCTTATAGTCTATGTACATTTGTATATTTATTAGTTTTCTTACCGGCTGTAACTCCTGGCGTTCAATCAAACGTCTGAATCCTAACAACAAGTAAACCACATTGGCCGCACGAGCCGCTTGATTATTAGTTAAATTCATGAAAATCGCATCGGTGCCATAAAAGTTGCTGTTGATCATCAGAGGGCTGCGTCCCCGTAGATATACATACTCCTCCCACCAATCGGAAACATAATTGGTAGCCCACCAACTTTTCAAGGTTAAATACCATTGCAGTTTCTTTCCGATTGTGCTTTCAAATTCGTTCGCCAAACCCTCCATACGAGCATAATTTTCATCATCCAACAAAGGACGAACCGAGCGCAAATATCGTTGCATTGTATCATGTAATGCTGGCACAGGAAGCCTAGGTAACGAGCCTTGGAAACTGTAAAGACCCGGTGTGTTCCAGCTGGAGAGTATTTTGACGAAAGCTGCCCAAACTTTTGTTCTTAAGGATACTTTACTGCCTGGCGCTCTGGATTCATACATCCATCCTTTATACATAAGCAGTAATTTTAGTGTGTAACGCATAGTGAAACATATGGAAAGCCAGACAATCAGCGCTGCACCGAAGCAAGCAGTCACTTGCCAATTGATTGTGTTGGCGGGAAGATGCACTAAAATTTTATGAACCAGATCAAATGGTACTGCGAATCCTGAAAAGTGTAGGCCGATGGCGATAGCCGTGATCAACCATAGGCTTTGTATATGAGCTGGATAGACGCCATTACGAACACCGTTCTGAAAAGTAAAACAACTTCTTAAAACTCCTGATCTTCAAAATTAGTAATTTCGTATTGCGCTTACCCGTGCACGTGCTAGGCGTTTTTTCCACGACCGTACTCCGGAATTCCACACAAGGTTTAAAACTTCTTGATCGTAATTGATATCGAATCCTTCGTGAGTGATGGCGAAGGAAAATGCCACGGCAGAATGGGCTTCAGCCATTATAAAGGCAGCTTTTTTCCCTAACGCAAATTAATTCAAACCTAACGATTAAAGGAATGAATACAGTTAAACATGCACCAACTAATTGATTTATGAATAACAAGTTTTTGATATAATCAATAATAAAATCAACCAGAAAACCCAAATTCCAAATATAAAACTTTAATTTTCTTTCCTTTTTGCTTTGGTAGATACCAGATACCAGATACCGCTCCGGATATTGGTTGCGCTCATACGTCTTGCTTATATGGAAAGAGAAAATCAGCCGTTTGGAGGCGGCTTAGTACAAAATGTAGGTCCCTCCATTTGTTGGAAAAATAAAAAAAGCAAAACCACAAATCGGAGGAGGAGCTCGGCTAGTGCTCACCATCAATTCAGAGTCGGAGTTTTTTTCATTTTAATTTTAAATGTAATATAATTATATCAAATTTGGTATAGAATCGAAGCTATATCCCTTTATACATAATTACGATTGTTACGAAAATACATACTTTTAATGTGTCTAGTTCGAGGCGGTCATGCCCCACGGGCAGATCAGCAAGCGGTTAGTTCGCATGCTTTTGGCACATTTTTGTGAACGAAAATTCATTTGGAGAGTGTTGGTGTTGGTAACGGCACCGCCATAGTTCCGAAGCATAATTGTCCTTAGGTACAATTAGAATTCATTACAACATTCGGAAGTGGGTTCGAGTCGAGTTCGAGTGCTGGTCCGACCAACAACCAAAACTATAGAAAATGAATAAATCGTTTTTTAGCTTTAAATTAATATTGTATGGGACACTCTATTTCATGTATTTTGCACGCAAGTTTTCCTTTGGGAATTTTCTGCATCATAATTTTGTAAAAGCATATACATACATATGCATATGTATATACATACATATGTATTTGTACTCGTATTTATAGTTGTGTAACAAAAATATTATAATTGATAACCACAATAGAATTAACCGCGTGCTCTTCTTTTCCAGATTGTTTACAAATTCAAATATATTTCCATTATATACTTTTGCATCAAAACAATACATGTGTATGTATGCAGTACAAACATGCATACACACATATGTACATACATATGTGAACAGAAACAAGCCCCTTATTACATTCATATGTACATATATACGTATACACGTATATAAGTATGTATATATATGTATGTATATATATATATTTATATATACGTGTATCTCTATCTATCCTATTTGAATTATTCACAGAAGACATGTATAAATGAATAGTATATTTGTGTTAAATAAAGCTCTCAAAACATATGTAAATACATATGTATGTACATATACATAGCTAAAATCTATCTACAATTACTACGCTTAATTCACCGTCCAAAGTCCAAATTCGTTTTTTGTTTTTGATTTGGATTCAACTGTGTTTCGTTTTGGAGCATTTGTTTTTCTATACATACACGTACATACGTACATATGTATGTATTCATAAATACATTACCATGGTAGCAGACTCATATACATATGTATGTATTTATGGATACATGTGTACGTGCATCTGCGCTGTTTTGTGTATATTTTTATGTACGTGAATGCTTGTATAATTACTTCGTCCCTGTAGGAATTGCAGCACTCACACTTGTGCAGGTCAGCAGACACACAAACAACAGTTAGAAGCTGCTTCATTAAAAATTCAGTTATGTTGGCTACACAAATCACCTTCAATTAACGTTGTAGATTAACGGTTTATTTCCAGATACCAGTTAAATCTCAATATGAACAAATATAATTTGGAAGTAGTCAGACATGTTCGGCGTATCACTTTCGAGTGAAAGTAGAATGGAAACACTTCAATTTGACATTTTGGTGTTCTGCATTCTGCGCTATTCATTTTAACTTCATTTTGTTTTCGAACCTTTAATTCCCATGCTAATCATCATTCATTCATTCAATGGATTTAGCGAAAGAGTGCGTAATTCGCTAAGAGCAATGACAATTTTTTTTTATAAATGTGGAATGTCCATTAATATTGGGTAAATGCCTTCAGAAGCTTCCAGCTAAACTATGGGAGCTGGAGAAAGCAATTATGGAGAAACTAGAAGAACTTTTGTGTGTACATATGTTCGCCCTTGAAGCCGACACATCTAACACCAAGTTCCCTACAGTTTATGTATCGCAATAGATCATCATTTATTGTATTTCCTTATTTCAGCTATGTATATAGATGATCTCGATGAAGTTGATGATTAGCTTTACATGCTTAGTAAATAATGTGTGGAAAACTGATGCAATAACAACTAAAAAACGCTACGTGTGTATATACATATGTATGTATGTATGTGTTTAATTTTGCTCATTAAAATCAAATCTTTCCTTGTATTTTTTCTTCAAATTAAGAAAATTTTTTCATCTGACTGATTGTGATCATTTCGATCATTTTATTTTAACTGCACAAAAATTCTTAATTCTCTTCACAGTCATTATCAGGTGAATGCTTTAGATTTGCATATATGTATGTAGATCATTTTTATTGCAAATACATATAAAGCACAATGATTGTGTTTTCGTTTCCAACAATTATCACAAGAATTTGCTGGTGGCATAGGGTAGGAAGCAATTTTGCTTTTTGAAAATGCAAATTTTCAAAGAAAAACGAAAACATCGTCAGAATTGAAAAAAAAAAATGTTTGTCTGCACTGTTGGGACATATATGTATGTATTTAAACCAAACACTCCCCCCATTTTAAATATTATAAACAAATTCAAAAGTCTCGCTGCCACTACCACAACAGCAAACCGGTTTTTTTGATTTTTAATAAATAACAAAACTACGCAGGCAATCCGATCAAAACATTTTAACCGATAACAATGTTGTTGTACATAACACAATAAACAGCATACATACACGTACATATATGCATGTATATGTATATATGTATGTACTTATGCAAATGCATTTGGTGTTTAAATGTGATTAAATATTTATTTAGTTTTGTATTTATATACATACACACATACATACATACATACATACATACATAATTAAATGTTTATGTTTATTACGCAATTCTGCAATGCTTTCATACTTTTAAATATTAAATGGATTTGAAATTAAGTTTTATTTATTGTTGTTCACCTATAGATAATGCCACGGTGTAAATTACATACATATATACATGAATACGTACACATGCGCATACAAATGTATATGTGTGTATGTTGACAACCGAATACACAAAATCAGGTTTACATGCGGTATGTAAGCATTTACTACATATGTATGTACATACATATATATATATGTATGCATTAGTATGTGCAAAGAAATACATTGCCATACACATATACATATATATGCATATATATATATGTATGTATGTATGTAGGTATGTATGCATATGATGTGTTTAAATCTAAACTTGGCTGAATAACATGTGAGACTTAGAAACTCGGTCAAGTATGTTTAAATAATATACACATACGCTATGTGTGTATGCAAACACGTACACATGTACGTATGTATGTATACATGTAAATATTTTAATATGCATTTTCATTATTATTTTTATTATTATTATTATTATTATTAAATATTAAGAAGAAAATGTCCGCTTCATTCACTTAAACACTTTTAATTAAGGCTAACGTCTGTAGAAGCCCCCAATATCTTTGGTCGTAATTTCATCGGCTGAAATAATCTGGTTTTGCTTTTAACCGTTCTTTCACACTTACGTTTTTACAACTTGTTCAACTTTGAATATGTGAAAATTTTGTTTTATTTTGGTACATTCATATATGTGTGTATGAATGTGGGCTTATACACACATATGTAGCTATGTATGTGCTTGTGTATTATTTAATTTTTCCGTATTTGTCCGCCTCTACTTGAGGAAACCAACTTGATCGTTTGGCTGCTAAAGGCTTACTATCAGCCAGTTGAAAACTCTTGGGTCTTTAGATCTTAATGCCGTTTACATTGGTATAAACGTTTGTACATATGTATGCATGTTTATGCATATAAAAGTGCCAATGTATTTTTGTATATGCTCATAGTTATCTCAAATGTGCATACACATGAATGTAAGTATTCGAGAGTGTAGGACTGAGCACATCCCTGTAGCGAATTTCATACAGTAGTCGCTTAAGAGTCTGGTGCGGAAATTTTCCTATCTAACGACCATGGACACCGTTGTTGCCTTTATTGCGGCTCAAAATCTATTTTTTTTGTACATTTGTGACGATATTTAAACGACCGTGAGCTTTTGAAAATTGCTGCTACAAGACATTCGCTGCCATGCCCCATTGGTGCCTGATGGGAGTATACCTGCAGACATTGTCAGCTGCAAGTCGTTTTTGGTTAAAATGAAAATAAATCTTCACTGGCGACTTCAGCGGTAACCAACTTCACTACTGGGATGGCAGTCCATTTGATTACCTGAGGTAGATATTCAGATAGTCAAAGGAAACGAAAATGTAGTTCTTTCTACACTACCCTCGTTGAAGTGTCTTTAAGCTTGCGAGAGTTTGATAGTACGAAGAATTTGCAATTGTTGAGTGTTAAAGAAAATGAATATATGTATGTATACTACATAAACATACATAGCTAGATAAATGCATATTTATGTACATGCATATATATTTAAATAAACATATATATGTATCGTAACTATATATATGGTCAATTGTAATTATTCAAACTATTTTGGGCTTACATACATACATAAGATCGACAGAACAGTTGAAATTAAATAGTATCAGCACAATTGTAGTTGCAAAAAATAAATGTATCAATTGCAAATTTTAAGTTTTTAATGAAATATAAAAGTAAATAACAAAGCTGTTTTGTGCAATGACACAGTTAGAGGTTCATATGACTACGATTTACTAAGTGGTTTCCTTAGTTTATTGTTTTTAGCTATTTTTGTACTTAACATACATACATAAATATGGCTGTGTGTGTGAGAGTTTACAAATTCGCTCTGTGAGAAACGCACTTTTGAGGTTTTCGCGCACTTGTTGCCAGAAAGCTAAACAATTGAGATTCAGATACAAACACCCATTCAAATGGACGAGCGTATAAATACATATGTATGTATGTATATTTCTACTTATTTATATGCCTTATGTACATATGTATATACTTGATAATTGAACTTTGAACTCTGACAAGTAATATTTTTGTTGACAAAATAAAAATAAATAAATAAATAATAAATATTTAAAAGTCTTAATAAAAAGCATCGCACAATGTACATATGAAGACACGTTTGCATATTTTTTAATGAGTTTTTGCCTGAAAATGCGTAAATCTTGGAAAAAAGGAACAAAAATGTAATACGATTGCGCCTGGACATAATGATTTGATAATCCGGAATTGGCTTCTAAATACACAGTAAACCAAAATCAAACATGCAATGTTTCACATATATCTCCGCGATAAGCTATTAGCCAATGCTATCGACATTTGAGATCAATGATCGAATAGCATTGACGCTTTGCTAACTGCGTACCAACTCTGTTCTTTCGCAACCTGTTATGTCCGTTAACATTTTACTACAATGCACATTGAGTTTTATCTATGAAATCAAGCTAATCGTTCATAAACGAAGTATCGCGTTAAGGCTGCAACTACCCAACGAGCGTACCAGCCGTCCATAGTAACCTATCTTATGAGAGCGCTATGTAAACACAAAGTTGTCACCGATTTACCATAGCGTTGCTGACGTTTGTGTCGCAGAAACCAACGAAGTTTTGATTTTTCCGTAAAACCGGCTCGGCTCATTTTTCGTTGCTATACAAGGTTGCCAGTATAGCCTTTCTTAAAGTAACATTAAATAATCGAAGATAATGCGTAGTTTTGTTCAAAAGAAATGAAAACTAAATGCGTAAATAATTATTTGTTACTATATAGATCATGTATATTTGCCTTGTGTTTATGTTAAAGCAAATAAATTATGAAATTCGTTGACGAAAATTATGAATTTGTTCAAAAGTGTGCAAACACACAGGCAGCTGGCTCTCAGCGGCGTCGATAGCTCGTGTATGTATTTCACTACTAACGTCGTCAGTTATGGACGGCTGGTGAGTGAGTTGGGTAGTTGCAGCCTAAGAATAGCTGTGTTCGTTGAGAAATGTCAACAAGAATTACCTAGTAATGGAATTGAGAGAGTAAGATGTTTTACTCTCCCAAAGGGAGACGTTTACTGAGTTTTCACGCAACCGGATTCGGTAAAAATTAGCCAGCAATGTATATAACAGAAGCTTATTTCATATCATATTTGAATCCGAACATTTATACCGTTTGTTCTGTTCTGCTTAAGTTTTTGAATCAAATGAGCAATGCTGGGTATACGTTGGGTATGTTGGGGTCGAGTCTGGATAGGGAGAAGTTTAACTTGCTACAGTATTCAGACCTAAGGAAGAGAGCCTTTAAAGGTATTGATTGACAACTGGCGAATGACGCTTGTCTGTACGCTGTCCTGTTCAGCGGTTGTTGCACATGTTGCTAGATAGTGTGCTTTAAATCTAGTACTTCCTTTCTGATGTGCTTCAGTGGAGGTTCAGTTTCTATTAGGTGCTTATTGGGGTGGTTACTATGTTTTCACAAGCCTGTAACTTCCTCAGATCGGTATAGCATAGTTACGACCGGCCGGCCAGTTGCTTTGTAGATTGCCAGCAAGGCTTCTTCGTCTTTACCGCAGGTGCTGTCGGGAAGGGCTTTAAAGATTTTGTTGGCTCTGGAGTTTTGCGGCAATCGCAGTCATATGCGGAGTCCAGCGTGACTCCCAATATCTTTGGGCTATTTATGGCCGGAATTTTTACTTCATCGACCTCCACATGATAGCAGTTCACTTTTGAACGTAGGAATATCCTGGCCAAAAACTTTCAAGACAGTCGGCTCTACGCGCCGGACTTAACCCCTCTAAGAACAGTCACCTTTTCGGCTACCTAACCCCTTTTAGGTCAACAGGTAAGGTATCGTTCTTGCTAATATTCGCTAGCTGAAATTTACCCAACACAAGCCAAGGAAGATTTACTAAATAAAAAAACTAATACAAATCGACCGAAATAATACCATTTTGCAAATGTTTTCATAGAGGTTTTCTGTTTATTTCTCATTTGATGATACTGCATTTTCTTCATTTACTTGTTTGCAATTGTTTCGTAACCCACGTAGACTAATATCATAAACAACTTCTTCTATTTTCTTTACATCATATTTTAAGGCATCAAACCGCTTCCTTAGGCCATCATTTTTTAAATTAAGTAAGCGAAAGCCAGAGTTTAAATTTGCCATGAAATGTGAAATATTTAACGGGCGGTCATAGTCTCCCATCGTTACTGAGTTTGTAGCGAATCGAGATAGCTCAGAAGCCATTTGCAGAATTCCCATTAAATAGTCCTCTATGTCGAGATGAAAACCTTCGGTATGACTAGTTTTCACTATAAATATTGTAAAATTTGATTTTTATAATGTGTAATGTGAATAGGTATTAATATTTGTACTCACAACCCAACATTTCTGCTACAGTCTCGCGGTTTACTAAAAATCCTGCTTCCAAATATATGACCATTGCTATTAGGAAGACTAGACGTTGCGTTATATATGTCCAATGGTCAGAGTATCTGAAAAAATTTTGTGTATAAATTAACACCTGTATAATGATTTAGATGTGTAATTAGATAAGTGGTTATGTTATTCTACTAATATGAATCCATCTTAAATACCTTACATTCTAAATTATCGCAACGAAGGAAATTTGTTTACCTATAATATTGTCCAACGGGAATCAGTTCTGCCAGTTGATGGTACACATTAGAACATGCAGAAATCTGTTTGCGAGCTTCAAGGCAAGCGTATTCAACTGAAAAGATATGTTTAAAAATAAGGAAATACTCTAAGATCTTCTGAAATTTGTACTTACTTTTTGATAGGTCGGAATGAATAATTTGAAGCTGTATTGTTGCTTCTTTTGCTAAGTGTTCTATTTCCCGCACCTTTATTCTAATGTTCTAGAAATGAGAATAAATGAAAAAGTTATTTTTCTATGTCCCATGTTCCATGTTCTAATATTCTCGAGCAAAATTTATGAACTGGCTTTCTCGCCAGTAACTTATTAATTAACTTATTATAGTTATTATTAATTCCAAAAATGCGGATTTCCGTATCCATATATATGTACGTATATGCATTTCAAATAATAAACTAACCTCACGGATTTCCTGCTCATTGTCAATGTACTTCTGGTAGTTAGCAAAAACTTGTAAGTTTGCGAAATTTGCCATATTTAAAGTAGATATACTTCACAGATTTTGTTTATATTTTGAGAAATAGAGAGATATATATTAATAAAGCTATGGATGGCATAAAAAGTTTTACGATACCGTTGAGGGTCGATAACAAATGGAATTCACAATGATTGGACAAACTTAAAATCAAAGATCGAACGCAAAGAACATATTTGAATTGATTTGTTTGTTTGTTTCTTTTCCCTTCGAATTGATACATGATCATTGGCGGAACACACCTACTTCTTGCTTTCTTCTACCTTAACGATTATCCAAAAATTCCTTAATTGAAATCCACATTTAGTTTTTATTTCAAATCGGTTGTAAATAAGTTTATTACAAAGACTGCTACATCTGGTCACTTTATTTAACAATTCCAACAATCGAGCCTCGAAGGCAGAATAGTGTTTAATTGCTCATTCCTATAAGATATCTATGAATATCTTCCACGAAAACTTCTATAAACAATTACATTGTCTAATTTACCTGTTTTAATAAATACTAATAAGATTGCGATATGTCCTACAGTGTAAGCATACCTCGATTACTTAGTGATACGAAAATAATCTTATGTGTTAATATATTTTATAGGGAGGTCAACCTGGTGGGTACAATCCCTATACACCACCGCCTGGTGCCTTTCCACCACAAAACGCCCAAGTCTCTCCCCAGGCTCAGCAGTGGTTTAACATGGTCGATCGCGATCGTTCAGGAAAAATAAATTCCAATGAACTAAAAGCAGCTTTAGTAAATGGTCGTGGAGAAAACTTTTCAGATAGTGCCTGCAAGTTAATGATTAGTAAGTGAAATAAATTGGTATGAACAATATTAACATTCTTTAATAATAAGAAATCGTAGTTAATTGTAGAAAGGCAACTTTATTATTGTTATTATTATTATTTTGTAATGCTTAGAGAATCTGATTTTCATCACTCTAGGTATGTTCGATAAAGATGCGAGCGGTACTATTGATATATACGAATTCGAAAAACTTTATGAATACATAAATCAGTGGCTGATGGTATTTAAAACTTACGATAGGGACGGAAGCGGCCACATTGATGAGAACGAATTAACCCAAGGTAAAGAATTTTAATGATGGATACTTCTTTAGAAGGTTTTTATATATAAAAATTTATTTAAAAACAGCCTTTACCCAAATGGGATTCCGTTTCACACCAGAATTTATAAACTTTCTGGTTAAAAAGAGTGATCCAAGAGAGCATAAGGAAGTTTCCGTGGATCAATTTATCGTCCTTTGTGTGCAAATTCAGCGCTTTACTGAGGCTTTTCGACAGCGCGACTCGCAGCAAAACGGTATTATAACGATTGGTTTTGAAGATTTCCTTAGTATCGCTATTGGATGCTCATATTGATTTTAAACAAGTACAAATCCTGTAAAACGTTTAATGCATATTCCGGAAATATTTGTCATTCCGTTTATTAAATGTGCCCTTCATCAAATGAAAAGTAAAAATGTATTTATGTGTAACAAAGAAAATTGTAAATGTTTTTAAATCAATCATTTTTAATATATGTATACTTGCAAATGATGATGCGCTTAAATTGAAAATTTGGACTATCTTTTCTACTACTTTTAAGTTAATGTACAACGGTACTTTAAGGGTGGACAAGTGGGCACAACTTTCCTTCTCAACATTTGCCAGATAACAAAACTCGAAAACCCCTCTGATAAATGGAAGAAATATCCTGTGTTTTCTCTTTGACGGGGCTCATCTCCAACTCCATATGAAATAAGTGTTTCAGTGAGTTTCAAGCTCTCTTTGTATTGCGCGAAAAATGGGATTTTACAAGGTGATAATACACATATACATAAATCTCCTTGGTTGGTAACTTTAAAAGCAAAATTATTTCACATATAAATAATTTTAATTTTGTAACTGCTATCCGCTAGCAAGGTGAAACGATGAAAAAAACTTAATTCTTTGGAGCACCTAAACTTTTATTTTCTCTCTTCTGGAGGGTTATCAGCGAATATGTTTACAAAGGCATTAGGTAATTAAGGTACATTTTATTTATTAGCAGAAAATATACATACATATATCTAATAAAATGAACGTTTTTAATAATATTTATTTGCGGTATTAAATAAGCGATGTTTACATATTTGGTTGAATTTTTAATGCATGTATGGACACACTCGGTTTTTTATTCAAATTTTGCCACAGAATGTTTAACTTAATGAAAACAACATTTGCATGTATGTATATCGTTATTTGCTTTTTGCCAACATAAAAATGTATGTGCCTGTGTATGAATACATATAAGATATAAATGCATTTTCTTGTGCCTAAATTCACAATTCAGTCTTGGCTCTTAATAAATGTAATATTAAAATTCAGTCAAAACTTTTACGAAGAGATCACTTAAAGATAAATTATGTATATTTGTATTAATGTTATATACACACATGTACATGTATTTATCATTTATATGTAGCTCAAACGACAGCCTAACAAATAATAGGCATACAAATAGACAATTCGTTGGCAATTCTTAGTCCCAGCCCATATCGAAAGAAATATCTATTTCTTGATTATTTCGTTATGAATGAGGACATGCTGTTTTTCTAAACGTCGATGGTCGTAATTGATCGACTATTTTTTCAGCAAATCTCCTTTTTTTCTGTGTACTCGTATGAAGTGCCAAACAAAAATTTAAACGAAAAGCCACATTGACGTGACGGTCATTAAACGAATAAAAAACTAAAAAAAACATCAGACACAGTTAGTTTTTTGTTTTTGATTACATATTTGCCCATTTTGACTGGCTCTAAATTTTCTTGTTAATACTAAATACAGCCTTTCTTAAATTTCTTCGATTTCCACCTTGAATCGTCAGCACGTTCAAAAGTAATGATATTTTAAATTTCGTATTGGTATTATATGGTGAATACATAATGGAGTTCAAAAATCATTGTGTAAGATTTCTGCTCAATTTTACAATCATAGAAATTATCTCACGTAATCAGAGAATAAAGTACCATTTAACGGAAGTCATATTAATTATGAATAACAAAGGCACATAGTTAGCTACTCGAAAAGTTAAAGGGACCTTCTCTTTCTTTCTCTAAATCTGAATTCAATGAACGATTGACGATATGCACTTAACCTACTTTCGCATCATATGTATGTATGCGCATTACAACTGATGCGAATATGTTTTAATCTTAATTTATAAATAATATCTTCGTATTTGTATGTATGTATGTATGTATATAACATCAGTCAATTTTTGTTACTTTAAACAGTCTTATGATTTTTATAATAGATATGTAATTATTTGCGGATAAGTATAAGTATTGCAGTTTCAAATTACGACGATACAAACAAATTCACATGCACCTCCTAACGAAACGTCCTTAATTATTTAGAGCAATCAATGACTAATTTACTAGACGAGTCATCGGAAGCATTTGCACTTATGTTACCACTTTCTAACTTATTCGAGTATTTGGAGCGTCGCTTACTGGTTAATTGTGGCAAGTCTGAATGGTGTTTACGAACGTGAACGCCCAAATTGCCACGCTGTTTTGACTTATATGGGCAATAGGGGCATTGATGGGAGGGCTCCTTGCCACCGCACTCAACGCTCTCGTGTCGCCGGAGTGTGGATTTCCAACGGTATTTTTTACCGCAATGCCGGCACTCGTAGTTGGGCTCAGTACTTTCATTTCCACTACCTTGAGTACTGTTGTCATTGTTGCCTATCATACCAAATGTGCTGTGACCGATATCTGCAAGGGAATACTCTAAGTGGCGTAAAGCTTGCGCTTGCGCTGCCATCATAAACTTTTGAGAGTCATCGGACATATAATCTGCACTCGTGGCATTCAACTTTGGAGAGGAGGAAGATATGGCAGCCGATTGGAAAAGACCTGGCATTGAACAGTTATAATTTGGCTTTGAATTCTCGACCAAATGAATATCGTCGAAATCATTATAGCGAGAATCATCCTCGTCATCGCCATCCATTGTATCCGCATCAGCGGTATTTTCTTGCACATTATCCGACTTCAAGCGACGTTGGCGCAACAAGTTTTCAAGCAACTTCGACGATATAGTATTCACGGTGCTATTGTCGCCGGTATTTGTATTAAGTATGTCCTCTTGTACATTTCCTACCTTAGCCAATTCTTGCGTACGCAATTGCTGTTGAAAATTATTGTATCCGTCGCGAAACAAGGCTGCGGCAATGACCGCTGCTGGAGGTAAAACATCAACGTCCGATTGATTGATTACACCACTGCTATTAGCAGTTCTATTATTTTGGTCTGAAATTGTGTTAGCTCTATCAATGGCTGAGCTCAAAGGTACTAATGATGGAATTTTACTATCGGAAATCGGAACGATGGTTTTAATTACTGAAGATCCTCCACCACAGCTTGTGCTCGGAAATGCTGAAATAATCTCTCCAGTTGTTGGATTAATAATGGGTTTAACATCGACTTGATCCGCGATTTGGGGCGATACTACCACAGATGTAGGAATAGCGCTGAGGGCAGGTAGAGTTTTGGTAACAACTAATGAGCTGCTACTCGTTGTTGCAACATTAATTGAATTTGCACCCTCAGAGGTATGATGAAACGCTAGGTTTTCGGCGGCAACAACTTTCTTCGCCATGCTATCGGAAGCTTTTTGCAGACCAGCTGTTTCTGCCATTACGTTTTGGTCCAAATTATTTGACTTAATTACTGCAGAGGCACTTTTGGTGGCGATGACCGCAATACTCGATGGTTCATTCCCTTCTGCAGAAGCGGGAGACGTTTGGCTAAACGTACCCACAGCAGACTGCGGGTTCTTTGGCGCATTAGCTACATTTGCCTTATTGTAAAAATCCATTAGCATTTCCGACACATCCGACATGGACATATTTCTTCGACTTATGTGAGATGGAAGGATTCTCCTTTTCAAAGGTAAATGTGTGAGTGACTGTGAGGTTAGTTCCGTCATTGCTACAGCTGGAGGTTCGGGTGGCGTTACAGTCGATGCAGAAGCATTTAGAAAGGTCAACCGCTTTGTACCGTGCGTGTTGAGGATAGAACGCTGGCAGGATTTCTGTATGATGGCGCGCTGAGGCGAGGTGTTTTCCTTGAGCAATTGCGACTGTTTCTTACTGAAATCTGAAAATTCAAATCACACATTAGTATGTAGCGTTATAAGTATAAGGATAGTTTTTATAAAACAGTTACATATGTATGTATGTATAAAGCTAATTATAAAACTGAAACGGAATATGAATATGGAGATGATATTTATAAGAGTTCAAATGTAATAACTAATATAAAAAGCATGCAGGGTACTCAACAGGAACAACAAAAACAAATCATGAACAATGTAAAAATCGTGCACATAATAGATAAAATAAATAAAAGAAAAATACAAGAGCAAACATAAACATACATATTTAACAATACAAAATTAAGTATTTCAAAATGTGTGTATATAATTAAATGAAAAACAATTTGATGGATTTTGTAATGTTATATTTTATATTGTACAACAAAGCGATCGATGTGAATTATGATGTGCGTAAAAATCAATAAATGATAACATAAGATATCGTAAAAGGTGCATATGTATTTATGCACATATATGTATGTAAGTATCTATGTAAAATGTAAATGTATTCGTGGTGGACGCAATCGACTGGATCGCCATTTATTTTATTACAAACTTACAGTCGCTAGCATTCATACTCATACATATACACGTATATGTGTACAGATATATGTAGATATGTGCATACATATTTATAATTCATCATATAGTACTTGTTGAAGAGTGTCAGCATTTTCGCATTAAAATTCCTGTGAAAAGAAAAACAGAAAAGAAAATAGGTTAGTCTGGTGAATGCAATAACCGGTTTTAGAACGACGAAACTTTCGTTGCAACGAAAACAAAATCTTGACCTAGAAAAAATGTAGAAAAGAGAAGAAAATTGATTAGAACAGTGCCATATAAAAAACATATGTATGATGTACGTATATGTACGGATTAGAGCTAAAGTTAGGATGCGAGCACTGAAACACGCTGGCTTTTTGTATTTGTGTGTAGCTGTGTAGACACTGATTTTCGTTTTCCTCCATTTAATTTCATCATCTCAATAACTAAAATAAATAAATATTTTTCTAAACAGTTTTAATTTTTTAACGTTGTTTGGGGTTTTCAAACTTTTCCACAAAAATTTCACCCAGAACTGATTCAATGGAATTTGAAATTTCACTGTTTGCTTCAAAGGTTTTAAAGTCCGTAGAAACACTTTGATTTTGGCAAGCGAATTTGTGGTGTATGAAATTTTGGATTTAATTTTTTTTTCACATGAAAATCAACTATTAATTTGAATTGCTTTGGAAAACTGATGTAACTATTTTGTTTTTTTCAACACCAAAGTTAAATGACTACAAAATATCCTGATGCATTTTTGCTTCATGCCTTATGAACATCCGCACTTACAGACATATGCACATATGAGCCAGGATATTTTCAAAACACCTAAGCAAAAAAAGGAAACCTGCCATAGCTCTGATTAACAAATTGTTTTTTTTTTTTTTTTAAGTTTCACAAGCTACACACAAATAATACGACGCGTCCCTACCGCACCACTCGTGTTTCAGTACTGCGCTTACATTACCAAATTTAACTTAAATTTCCAAGCGTTACTTCGATTTTCCTAGAATCACAGGCATTGTAATTGCCACGTACATGTACATTTATGGATATTTAGGTATCTGTAAAAGCGTGCATATGCCATGTACATACATATACAAATGTACAAGTATAAATATACTATCAGTTAAAGACTGGCAAAATGGGAATGTATCGAGCACAGAAGCTATCTCAATCCTGCCAAAAGAGGATACACACAAAATAGACCCGTCCGCTCAAGCGCATTCAAACGTTAGCACATTCATATGTACGTGTATATACATATGTGTATGTATGTATATGCATGCATGTATGTATATACATATAGAAATGCGCAAATCTCAAACGCTTGTGCAGGCGGCATTCATACACCGCTGCACTATTCCAGTAATGCTCACAGCTGTTGCATTGGTGTTGTTGCCTTTGCCTTTGCCTTCGCCTTTGCGTTTCTAAGTTCTAAGTTATCCTTGACAGCTCAACGCGGAAGAAAGAGAGAAAGTTTCAACATGCATTATGTACATACATACATACATATGTATGTATTTATATCTTGAAATACCATAAAATACAAGCATACATACATATCTACGTTTATAAGTCCATGCTTGGATATGTACATACATACATATGTACATATATATATGTATATGCGATAGAAGCAAAGAGTAACGCTTTACAAAAATGTTGCAAGTGCCCAAGCTGCCGGATCAGTAAGGTGAGGAAAGAATTCGAAAATGCTTGTTCATCTATTCGCTTGCACACATAAACATACATATGTGTAATAGAAATAATATGTGCATGTGATTGTAGCTATGTATGCAGGTATGATGTAGACAGTCATGTACTTGTTTGTGCATAGAAATGCAAGCACAGGACAAATGCGTATACAGAACAGTTTACATACATACACAAATGTATGTCCCATAATATTTGGAAAACATTTGAACCTATTTTTGAAAACCTAATCTTTTTCATGCCGTTTTTTTATATATATACATACATACATAGATACATACATGTGAACATAAATACACAGATTCATTCGGTTTAGAAAAAGTTAAGGAGTTGAATGTACATACATATGTACATATGTACATACGTATGTATAAGCACTTAAATGCATAAACGTAGCCAAGTTTAAAATGCAAATAGAATTTACAAACATACTCATGTATATTCTAGCCTTATGCATGTACCTAAACGTACATACTTACATATACATATATTATATATGTATATACACATATATACATACATGAACATATAAGTTGGGAATTGAGGTTTTACATCTCGATTTGAGCGACTTCTTGAAAGAAATCGGAAATCTGCATTAATTATTCGATTTTACATATAGTACAATGTAAATTCCTATGTAAATGTCGAACCAACCATCTACATACATATATACAAATCTTTTCAATTCCATATTTTATTTTTAAAATAAAAAATCTAATAAATCCTTAGTTATAACAAATTTTTATAGGTCATTGAAATTACAGTTAAATGTTGATAAGTAAAAAAAAATATATATTTTGTTTGCAGGGCTTTGTTCTTTTCAGCTTATCTTTGCGCATACCCATTATGTAGATACATACATACATATACACGTATACTTATGTATGTATGCACATACTGATGGAAATTTTGACTTTTTTTGCCACACATTTTTCTGCAAGTGTCTATACGTGCATATGTATGTATTGTATTTATACATACATACATACACATACATATGCTTTTACAGCTTGTTCAGTATGCAAATAAATATTAGTCCTAACTCAACTTTGTAAAAAATTATGTTTTTCCTCAATCTGTTCACAGATCACCCATACAACGTTAACTGTACTGCATTTATCAATATTTTCACTCACAATTCACATTTATTGAGTTATGAACTCTTCTAATTTAGTGCGCGATACGTAAGTTGATGAAATGTAGAAAGGCCCCAACTGAAAATGTAGTTAAATGTTTTTATTTTTCTCTTGCATCTTCAAGAAGCTTATTTCAATGCTCAAATAAATAAAAATTTAAATTTTAAAACCATATTTTCTAAATCAGCATTGCAGTATCACCTAAAAACTCCGTCTATTCGGGTAAAAATTTTTGTAAGCATAAGTTAAGTTCCTAATTGTAGTATACGAGTATACATAAATTTTTCAATACTGTTTTGTCTCAACGGAAAACCTCTCTCCTCAGTTCTCTCTTCCTATATTTCATCAAACTTTCCATACATATACGGCTATTTGTTATTGTATTTATATTCAGTTCGGTTTCAATACAAAAATGCTATAAAATTTTATTAAAAATAGTTTTCAATGGCTTAATTAAAGCTCTGAGGGTGCTCTAGGCAAGTATAATTGTATGTATGTACGGATGTATGTAGTTGCTTCAAATTCTTATATCAAAACTGAGTGCTCCTTGCGCATGTGCTCGTTGAGAAAAGCTTGTGAACGATAAACGCGCGAACAGAGAGGGCATCGATTGGTTTCGAATTGTGACAAACGTTTCGAGCTCTGCCGTGGTAATTTCCCCGATCGGTTAGCATACAAATTATCGGTGTTTACAAGCAAATTTTTACGAAGTGTTGGCATTATGCGCTCCAACGATTGCACCGAAGAAATGGATGCCAATTGTTGAAGTGCGATCATAGCACTTGGATTATTTGTAATTGTTGGTGTAGTTGTGTCATCGCAAGTACCGGATATTGGGGCTGCAGAGGTACAAAAATTTCGCTGTGGGCATATTGTAGCACAACTGATATCCGGACTTGGGCATTGGTTGGTTTCCTCCTCTGCAACATTGCTATTAGAAAATGAAGCGCTTAATAGATCAGAAGAGTCCCGCCGTGTTTGTCGTCGCAAATTGTATTTAGGCTGTGACGGTGTGACGGTAATGCTATCTGATGAAGTGGAATCTGGAAGAGATAAAATGTGCAAAGCCTTTTAAACAAAAAAAAAAGTCTCTTTATAATAGATAAAAAAAAACACTTAATGCGAGCTAAATGTCAATAATAATAGTATAAACATTAAAATTTCAAATATTATTACAATTTTAAAATATATGCTCACATATACTATACTTTTGTATGTATGCGTGAATAGTTGCAAAAAGCTGTTTAAGCATAGAGCGCAACGAAAACTGAGGATGTAGCAAATATGTAAAATAATTGAGCACAATTATATTTTGTTATTTACACACATACATATGTAACTATATATTATATATAGTATATATATATATATATATATATATAAATAGTTTTCAATGGCTAATATATATATATATATATATATATCTATTTCTCATGACACATACGACTAATGAGCTTCCCTATAGAGCATAGTAAATAATAAGAACGTACATACACACAAATATAAATGTTTCGGATCATAGTCCATGAATATCGCGTTAATTCAATATACACATTCCAATTGCATTATTTTAATATATTTATTATAAGTTTAGGCTAATTTTAGTCCTAACTCGTAGGTTTATACGGATATCAGATACAAATAATACATACATATCAATTCAAACTTATATAAAGATTTGTTGGACCACTTTTCAGAGTAATTATGCTATATTCATCGCATACACATACACATACATACATTTTATAATTCTTCAATACACTTGGACGAAGCAAGACGAAATGCTTTTTTTTTCCAAAAATAACTAAAGACCAGCATAACAAGTACTATATAACTGTTTATTTAAGTAATTAAAATTATGCTTTGAAGCAGGTTCTCACTTTAATGCACCAAGTGAAGTGCGACTAGGAGCGGGTGCATCGTTTTGTTTGAAGGCGCAAAGCGCGGTGGCCAGCCTTGATTGTATTGCGACCTAAAAAAGAGAAAAATATTAGAATTGAGGTCAAACAGGTTTTCGGTTTTCATATTCGAATTCGGTTTGTAAATTACCGTGGGTGAGTAGGATTGCACGCCCCATTAAATGAAAGGAATTTTTTAATTTCACATACACAATTTTCATTTTTATTCTATTAAATTGATGAACTTTACTTTATGTAACTCTAAATTATTTAATTTTTAAGTATTTTCAACTCGAGAAGAATTCTATTTTATTTACATTTTGCATTTTTAACTTTTTGGCTTTCGATTGGTATAGTTATATGCCGACAAGCATACGCATGTACGCATGTATGTATGTGAATACCTTTGAGTGATTGGCTGATCTTCGGAGGCACCCATTATTTGCATAGCAGAGGCCCATTAATTCACTTACGCGCCAACATTCAACATTATTTTCTTGCATTACAAACTTGATTATTTTGCTTAAGTCGACTTAGACTATGTATCGTATCGTATGTATATGTGTTAGTTTGAAAACTTATTACTAGATAGATTAATTTCAAAATTATTTGATCTATTGGAGAAGGAAGTTACATGAGTTCGACTTATCAAACATAGATACAATATATAATAATGATAATTAATTAATAAAATTAATAACACAATTTGTATGTATGCAGGAGAATGAAGCAGTTTTCCACTTTGGCAATTTTATTGTATATGTATCTCTCCTCAACTTGATATTTATATGTATATAAAAAAACATAACACAGTGCAGCTGTGATCTGATGTTTGTAAGAACGGTAAGGCATAGGCCCACCGAAACCTACTCTGATATGACCTGGAAACTAGTAGAACAAGGTAGGGATCTTAACCCACATTTGGGTGATTCTGGTCCATAAACTAGGCGGGAGTTAGCAAATATTAATATATTACATAGGTATGCGTTGTTTTCTACGTACTTGTGATACGTGGCGTCGCTGGAGATTCAAAACTGATAAGCTTGAAAGAATTACCGGACAGGAAAGGTGTGACCACATGTAGTCCTCGTCGAGACGAATGGACTCACATTTGTTTGGCAAATTCGTGTGGATCGTAGCAGCATGCACTCGTTTTGACATGGCTTCCATTTGTGAATCGATTGAAACACACGTAACAAGTCTGCAAAACCTCTCTAACTATTTAAACTGTGCTGATCACGAGGGTGCGGGTGTAAAAAGTGTTGTTGCGTAGTTATTGTTCGTAAAGAACATAATTACTTCACTTTTGAATTTACTTGGTGAATAAATAAAATTAGTTCTAAAGCAGTCTTACATTAGCTTCCAACAACAGCAAATTACCCAAATGAGCTCCGACAAGCAACCACGGGATTGCCTAAACAGTTATAAAAAAAAGCTTCTCTATGTTATGAAAAATTATTGTAAAAATTATTTAATGCGTAAATGACTAGACAAATTACTGAAGAGCTGCCGTCAAAGCTGAATGTGTGTTGATGGCGCCAGCTTAATTCATTCGAGATCAGATTCGTTATGTACAGGAATTTCACAGAACAAGAAGGAAAATAAATGAATAGGCTACAATATTTCACTTAACATAAAAGTTTTGAAAATGTTTTTGTCTGTTTTATTGCCTGGAATAAGCTTCGAGCACATCGTTACCACCAGGCTTGGCTGGCTTAGTTCGACAAACTATCAACATTTAAAATACGTCGAAGTTCCTAGATATATGTGTACATATGTATACATAAAATCATCATCACACATCATTATATTGTAGCATCGTGAAGTGAAGACATTGAGAGCCGCACTCTTTGAAAATTCATACATATGCCCATTGTTTGTCTGCATTAAGACCAGACTTATTGATTTGTCAATCAGTGATCCATTAAATGCTCTTCGCTATTTTGACCCGAATGCTTTTGGGTGACATGTTTGCGCAGATCTGACTTGTACTTGCATTTGTGTGGGCAAAAGTTGCAAGCCACCGTTGGTGCCACTCCGCATTCATAGCGTTTGTGTCGCTTTAAAGACCCCTTGATTTTATAGGACTTGCCACATAAATTGCACACATATTGCAACTGTATGCCACTTTCCGCTGCCGTCGCCGTTACGATCTTTGTTGGGCACCGCATAAGCGAAACAAGTTTATCATCCATATCACTATTATGCGACTTGTCGTCCCCGTCGCGCTCCTGTATCTGTTGATCAAAAGCATCGAGAACCGTTCCACTCACTGCCTGAATGGTTGCCTTATCGAGCAATTCAATTTGTCGTGTGTTGCGCAACACTTCCGCATGTGAAGGCTGAATCTGTAGATGATGATGTTGTTGTTTCTCGTTACCAACCATCGCATCAATAACTTGAGATGTATCAGATGGCAATACGTCCATAGATGATGAAGCAACTGCCACGGAATCATATTGTATAACATTACGTAGCATCATTTTATCTTGGATTGATTCGATTTTAATAAATTCAGTTTGCTGCTGAGCGGACTGTTGTCTTTCTGTATGACTCTGCTGTACCACAACGCCACCACTCAGACAATCATTCAGTGTAAAATGTTGCTGAGAATGTTGTTGTGTGCTTGACTGCCGATTGGGATGCTCGACATTGCACCTCGCCATAGTTGATTGCTGCGAAACAGTCATAGTGGGATTCAATCTCATGTCCTTTACAATGTGAATCCTTTGTTTCGAGCTAGAAGCGCCCATCCGCTGCGGACTCTCCGTTGTATGAATGAGTTGATGTTCTGATTCTGGGATCGTGTACTTAATAGCGCTCCCCATTGACTCAGATGGAATTTCTACCACCACCGTAGCGGATGTTATCAGATTTCCTTCGGTTGAGTTTGCCTCATCTTGCTGATGCATCGATTGGTTGTGGACTGGCAAATGAGAGTTTGAAACATTAGTTATTGTTCCGGCAGTATTCGTGGCGGTGTTTTGCAGTGAATAAGGTACGGTCTCCAGAATAGTCCAATAACCATCAGATGTACCTAAAATTGCCACAAAACACAACACACACATTCGTTAAAATCAAGTTAACAGTTGAAGCTGCGTTTTATTATGTATTATATATACATACATATATATCATCATACCTATATACGTATATATGTATGTACATATGTATGATGCACATACATAAGTCCATAAAGTGGTATAGTCATAGTGGCATAACAGCCCTTTACAACTGCTTACTACGCATGCTAATATCTTTCATCCGATTTTCAAATTGACCTCAAAAGTATTTGCTACATACATGTGATTACGGACCAAAAATGAGGTTTTCTAATGTGTCATATCTACAAAACAAAAATGAAAAATAAAAATTAAGTAAATACGTAAAAAAAAACTAGCAGCTGATATGAATTTCAACATTCTTCACTCTGAGGAAACGGTTTTATGTATCGAATTTTTGTATTCGAACTGCTGTGTGACCGCGCTCACGGAAGACGAGGGTAATCCCTTTATAATTGTTTGGTAATAAATAAAGCTAGTAATAAACCACCAATATTCGTATTATTTCATTTAGATAAGAGTGATAGCTGAAAACGATGTTTGTAAATGAGTTATTCTGAACTAGATAAAACCTTACGATGGCTTTTTTTTTTTAAATAAGTCTCTGCATGATTTCTCATGGACATAATTGTGATCTCAATACGAATTTTATTTTATTTAAAAACGTAATCTATATTAAATTGTGTGGTTTCATTAAACCAGATTTACTGTTGGCTTCCGAAAAGATAAAAAACAATGTATTTTAAATTATTTGAAGCTTTCATAAAAGTAAAGACGTATTTGTTTTAAATCAATCTCGAACAATTCCCTCACAATTTTTTAAGCAATTATATCGATATAAAATTTCTTCATGAAAAATATTTTTTATTACAATAAAACTCGTTACGACTAAAACATACACGTAATAACGTTTTTTCCCCACTCAGAAGTAAGGATTATTTTTACATTCTGAAATGTAAAAACTGAAAGCATCACAACGCGTTGTAGTAATCGGTGGTTAGTAAATCTCTTCTGTACAATGACTTCGTCGATAGAATGAAAAACTCATTAAATTCCGTCGATAAATATTTATTTGATATTATCCCACTCCAAAAAATCCCATTTATTTGACTACTCGAGAGATTTATTATTATATGATTTAATTAGATTTTGTTTTAGATATTAATGTTTACTAAGTAGCATTACGAAGTGTATCCGTTTCTTTAATTTATTCCAGACACCTGTTTAAGATTTTGAAATTGTTGGTGTGCGTAGGATATTTTTAGCAAAATATGTTGATATTTAGGATAATTTGAATAGCTTGCCGCTCGCACATTTATATTGTATGCGTAGGTTACTCTAAGGAAGTGGATTTATCACATAAAATATATACATATACAATATATATTTGTACATACTATTCGCAAATAAATGGCAAGAATTATTGACATTAAATTAAAATTATTGAATATATCAATCAATCAATTATTTATGTGTGTGTATACATATAAAATAAAATTACTAAAAAAAAATACAGAAATGTACATAACAGTGAACCAGTGTGGTAAAATGCAAAACCACAATATAAATATGTATGTATGTATGTGTATTTGTATTAGCACATAAAATATTTTGGTATTTTAACCATATCTAACAAATTACATACATAAATATGCAACAAAGTCAGCTTAAGCCTTGAATTCCCTGAGAAGTTAACTCCCAAACATACAATACATACGTACATATGTTTATATGAATGTGTATACATAAGAGTATGTTCAAATATATTAAGAAAATTTACGCTATACAGCTTTTTATAGATAAGGTCATTTTTTTCTTTCTAATTTCAAAGTGTGCATGTGTGCAGATCGTATGGTGGCGAAAATTACTTTTTATAATTTTTCCGAAAAACAGTTTGCAAAAAGTTACTTAAGGAACAATTATTCACCATGTCCCCTTTCCATCGTAGTTAGGGTAAATTCAAGCGTCGGTAACAATCTACCAATACTATACTTCCGCGTTTCATTTATCCTTCGCTTTACAAACACAGTAACTCGTAAAAAATTGTGTCCCCCGAAAGCTAACTTCGGAGGTTCTCAAAAATTTTGTATGCTGCGAATAAAGATGTGAAGAAAGATATATTCAAATACATTATGAGTTACGTTTATGTGCGTGTTTGTCCCATATTAGGGCGAAAAGGGGCAGAAAATATCTATGTATGTTGTTGTGTTGTGGATGGTAGGCTTTGAGCAATTGTCTTCATATATTTGTTGAGCTGTCGAAAATCGAAATGTATATAAATAATTCCTTCATTCGCATAAATATCACCTCTTCTAAAGTGCGCATCTACATAAATGTTCATGCCCACATACTTATCTACATGAATTTACAATTTACACATCTATTATACTACGCATATCTTATAAAAAAAAAGGCTGCAAGCAGCTGAAGCGCCGATATAGTATATCATGGAAAGTGAGACACAGGGAACGAAAATGTCCGTCGATAATGAACATTTGATAATTCTAACAATCTAAGCAGTGTATGTACATTTCATTTCATAATGCCGCTGATCATTTTGAGTAAAAACTTTATCGAGGATATTTGAGAGCTATTTTAGCTTCTTTCCCCGCATGAAACTTCAGTACATCGAAAATATGCTATACTCGCTTGAGTTCCGTTTCAACTGCACTAAACGTTAACTTTGATTAATACAAGCATCTCTCCTATCGTCCTTTCATTCATCTTCGTCTTCATAATTATCGTCATCGTCCTCATCTTCACTGTCTTGTAATATAGGTACAGCGGTAATTGTTAGTTCTCTGCTGCCGAAGCCGAAATTGAAATGATCTACATCGACTAGTGCACTAACTGGAACGACATCGACCCCTTCGCCACCATTAGCACCATCACCATCACCATAGATACCGTCGTGGTCGACTGTATTGTCTTCGTATCTAGATTGCTCATCTCCTTCTTCTTCGGTACGTATTTCGTAGAGACTTTCTTCGTTGTCGCGCAAAGCTGCATACAAGTCGCAGTGTTTGCGTTTAGCATGCCGGAGCACGTGATCCTTCCGGCGCGAACGATATTCGCACGAAATGCACTTGTACTTCTTCTCCTTAAGGCAATACTTGCGCACGTGTTCCTGCAATTTCTGATGAGATTTATAAAAGCGATTGCAATGCTTGCACTGCATAAAACTTTCGCGTTGAAGCAACGATGCCGCGCCGCTGCTGTTATTATTAAGATATGCATACAAATCATTTACAGGCGGCACGAGTCGGCGGGAAGGGGGCACATTGAAACCACCAGACCCTGATATCCCCGGTAGGTTAGCGCCCGAGCCAGTTACGGTTGTGTCAACGCCCAGTAGACTCCCAAGGATTGGATACATGTCTACGGTTTGTGTATGCACACAAATACATATGTAAATAAAGGAAAAAAGAAAACATAAAAAAACGAAAGGAAAGTTTATTAAAATACTGTAATAATAATAATTAGAGAAAGAAAAGTTAATTAAACTTAAGAAATACTACAGAAAAAAAAAACAATATTAATTTTGTTAAATTAGTTAAAAAAAAACACTTTAATTTTGCGAAAATGAATTATAGTTTTCAGATTTTGTATAATTTTAGTTTAATTAAGGTTTAATAAAAAAATATGCATAACTGTTATTTAGAGTAAACGTTGAAATTTTTTTTTAAATATTTACCTTCGGAATGATTTCGTAAAGTGATTATGAATTGTGTGTAATTATGTGTGTGACTATTGCAGAGGCATATGTACATATGCACATATATATACATATGTGCCGATGTTAATTATGAAGCGTGGCAATTAACTGCGCATGAACATATAATATTTACATATGTGACCGACGAATGGATATGTAAATATGGAGAGTGTGTATGTACATACATATTTTTAATGAATTGATGATGATGATTGTGACTGAATTGTTGTTGTTGCATACAATGGCAACCCAAAATAATAACGTGCGCTTAGCAAAACTCGTTTGTTCAGGCTCACATACATACATATAAAATATATTATATATATTATAGCAAGATCGGTAATATACAAAAGACCTGCGACGAAATTATAGAATTAAAAAAAGGTGTATGTATATAAAGATTATTTGTTTGAATAATTTTAATTATAATATATTGTTTGATGGTACGTTTTCCTTCATACAATCTGCCATAGGGTTTTACATTAAATGGAAGTTTTGTTAATATTTCTTTTTTTTTTTAATAAATTAACAATTTATTAGCATTTAAGTAACAATTCATAAAAATTGTAAGTAATTCATTAGTATGCTAGGGGTCTTCAGGCAACAAGATAATTATGAAATAACAAGTTTTCTTGCCTTGGATAATTTCTACAGTAGCATCCAATTTCAATATCCAGCCTATAAATGCAGCCTATAAGACCACAAGCCCATATAGAAGTGTGTTGAAAGCATTTCCAGAGAATAGCGACTCCGCACTTCCGTGCTAGAGTTTAGTTGTTCTAAAAGCGTATCCGGGAACCTAAAAGAAAAGAAACAACAATCAGATAAAATGTTTTCAACTTTGTTCAAAGTTTTATGGCAATTTACTCGTATGTATGTAATCAAATAAAAAGGTTGGCTGAAAATGAAAGGTTCACTACATATAATCATACATACGTAGTTCTAAGCATCCTTGCTCAATAATGACACTTCACCTTTTACATGTGCATATTTTCCTTTGAACTTCATTTTCTTTCGAGTAAATTCGATCAGTTTGAAATAAAACTCCTTATACATTTTGCATTTTCTATATTTATTCGTTTTTTAAGTATGCATACTTTTTAGATAGTTACTTTCGTTTCAGCGGCTACAACAATTAAATATAAATGTTTAATATATTTGAATAGTTTTGAATTAAGGTGAAGTTTGTGTTTTATGTTTGTAGGCATTTCGTTTTCTTAATACTCTAATTTTAATTTTGTTTAGTTAAATATTTTCAAATTAAGTAGTTCATAAGTGCAAGCAACATTACAACGGTTTGTTTCTTTGTTTCTTTGTTTTGTGTTTTTCCATTTTTCCATTTTTCCATTTATTCATTATCAACGAATAATTCGTACAATAGTTCGAACTAATATTTTTTTACGTCAAGTTCACATTAAACTATTTCATTTCATTTGAATAAAGCATGCCATATTTCCTATACAACATCGACATCGACATCATGTACGACAGACAAAATTTCTTAACGGTGAAACGTTTCTTAATTATCTATGTTTTTTGTATAAAATTATGCTCATTCGCATTTCACAGTTTTCAAAAGGCATTTTTTCACAAGGGTGGGGCATTTCAACTATGCAATTTTTTCATGTTGGTTTTTGCGCCGTACATATTCTTTAAAAAAGCCTAAATAAATAATTCATCTGGTGTGTATGAGCCACATTGCAAATTCATGTGCCAAAAATTAGTAATTGTGAATTCTTTTATGCTGGTAAATTGCCTAGGAAATTGCTTTGTTTCATAATAATTCTTGACTAAAATATAAAACGCTTTCATGACGAACATTTTCTCGTATTATTGTATGTATTTTATGTAAGTTTAACTAATTTAATTCATTTTCACGCAAATGCGAAATTCGCATTGTCAAGGCCGTCATTGTAAATCATTGAAAATTTTTTGGAAAATGTTAAGTTTTAATTACAATCACAAGTATGTAATCACATAAGATATTTTTATCGCTATTTCATCTTTCGCTTTCTTATTTAACTATTTTTGTATTCACAGCTCATTAGATAAATATGTTATTGCGAAATAAAAGTGGTAACGGCATATGTGTATGCACAATACATACATATTTATAGTTATATAACAGAAAATGCACATACAAATATATACATATATGTATATTGTACAATTAGTATGGTATTCACTGAATATAACAGTTATCCCTAATATGTACCGATTATACTTATATACCTGATGTTTCAATTTGTTTATATTCACATTTGTATTCAATTAGATATTTCCGCCTACCAATCTGATGTATGCATATTTTCATTTCTATTATACCTAATACACACAATGATTATTTTGACAAACACACATATGTATATATGTATGTATAGTTTTATTTATGCCATCGATTTAAGCGAAAATAATTATAAATAAAACTAATTTGCTATTTTACATTTATCAAGCTGGTGTGTGTGTGTGTGTGTGTGTTTGTGTGTTTTCGTACAAAAGCAATTTTGGTCATAAATATTTTGTTTAGTTTGTTAAATTTGTGCTGTTAAACTTTTTGCCACAATAAACTTTAACAACACTCGCTAAAGGGGAAAGATGAGTTTTGATCGTACAACTAACTTAAATGTATTCATACATATTATATATTCCGAATATATACATACATATAGTACATGTATATGCACTTACTACTTAAATACATATCTTTCATTGCCATAAAATAACATGGACTTCTTTGTTGTTTCAAAACAAAATGAAATTTTAATTTAATAAAATAAGAATAATAAACTACATACATATATTAGTTTCATATTATCACATATAATAGCTATTGCACATATTGAAGATATTACCTTCTTTCTTCAGCGACTAATTACATACATACAAAATATACATACATTATATACCTATGTATGTACATAGGCCTATATGATGCTCGAAATATGTACATCTAGTTATTATAAGAAAAACAAAAACACAAACATCAATAAAAAATATTTGTATCAATATATTGTAAGTATGTATTTACGAGAGGTCGAAAAAATCAATAATTCCTGCATAGAACAGAACTTGCATACATCTTGTTGCATGTACACATATGTATGATACAAATATATGTACATACACCCATGCTTATATCAATTTATTTTTAAATTTAGAAAATATTATCTTAAATTAATACATAAAAACCAACGAAAAGACCACAACCTTCAAGATCAACGATTGAATAAGAACTTAAGTTTAATGTTTATTAATTAAATATGTTAAAACTATAAAGAATATATGATTTATTGATTTTCAAGGCTGTTTTATTCATGTGATAAGGAATATTTTGGGTGGATGAAGGGACAAATTCAATATGAGATGAATTTCTTTTATATCAATATATTTATACATTTGACTAGTTATCTTCAAAATTATTACATATAAAAAATTATGGTTTATCCATGAAACGCTTCAAGCTACATTCAATTGCCTTCATATACTCTCATAAATACGTTCTTAAAAAATAACGAGAAAATATAGTAACCAAAAAAATCATAATAATTGAAATACTGACCAAATTATTTATAATTACATTTTATATCTTTTTACACACTTGTTAAGTAACTTTTTTAAAAGATGAGTAATTGAACTTTTTCCCAACAGGTAATTTTGTAAAAAAAAAAAAAATTTATTTTTCCCATCGACGAAGTAACGTTATTCGTTATTTATCACACATTTTTTGAATCAACTTAATCATGTACCCAAATTTGTATAACCTACTTAATTACTCCTAACCTTTTTGTGAGCGCTTTAATGGAATTGAAGGGTATTAGGGGGACGAGCGGTACGTCAGTAAAAAGTTAAATGTCAAATTATTACTCATATTTTAAGTAAGTAAATGTATCATTCCAATAAAAATTCATACTGTTCTAATAAACAATTTACGTGAGACATACGAGCTACCAGGAATTGTTTAGCGGTATTAACAATTTTAGGAGCTAGCAACAGATGTAAACAAGACTATATACATACATACAATTCCAAAACCGGCAAGTATATTCACACAAACTGATTTGCTCAATTGCCTGCTTGAACGTCAAATAAAAGCACCAACAAATATTTTTCATCTTTTCCTCGGATTAAGTACACAATTTAAATGTTCCTCAATTCTCCACGTTGTTATTGTTTTTCATTTTTATTTAATTTGTGTTGACTTTTCAGGGTCAAAACTTTGGGTTTCTTTGAAAAAATTATATGTTCATTTCGGTAAAAATAAAATTGATTCTGTTTTTATATCTGCAGTAAATTGTTAAGCTAATAGAATATAGAAATGCGCTATGCTCATAATTATTTGATTTTTGCGGAAGGACTATTTTCATCTACACGTATTATGGACCCATTCACTAAAAAGCTGCTTAAGGAGAACAAAGCATGTTCGCGCATGCTCATATACAATGTATGTATGCGATTATACAAAAGTGTGCACGTGAATATAGACTTACAAGTAAATAAATGTTATTTAAAAAAAAAAAAAAACACCGAAGCACAAATTGAATCCATTCAATGGACACTCCCTCTTCGCTCCGCTCTGATGACTAGTTTTCTTACATTTAGAAATTGAGACAATGATTTTGAAAGTCAATTAAAAAGTTGGCAAAATGATCTTCTCGATGACGTTTACTGGAAATTACATCAGCCAACAGTTCCACCAAATTACGTCACCCTGGTTGCTCGATGTATTCTCAATATTGCATGCATTAAATTCCACTGAATCGTTTGAAAATGGCCTAATCATGCTTCCGAATAGAGTTATCTGAATTTCGATAATTTTTTGTGTTAATAAATATCACATAAGATTTATACATTTTTCGAATTTCCTGTTAATCATTGTTATTTAAGAACAGTTATTTGCTACATATGTATTTATAAATGTATCACTAAGAGCTTTTTTTTTAATATGTATGTATATTTATAAAATTACGCTTATCTAAACGTTTTTCAAACGCAGATCACAATAGCCTTAACTCCTTAATGTCTGTGCATTTCCATATTCATTCCAAACATTTAAAAATGACTAAAAAATTGCAAATACACAAGTATGCTTATTTGAATAAAATCGTTTATCTATCTATTGCACATCGTTGACTACGCACACATGTATATACATATGTTCATATGTACATATTTACATATGTACATATGTATGTTTACTAAAACCTACCATACAGTATAATAAAAAGAGGAAAGATTCTGATTCACTCTTACCATCTTTCTGTTAGTTCATATGTTTATATGTTTATATTATATGTGTACATACGTAAATATGTATATTCATATTATGCTCGACTAACATTCATGTTATATATAATATTATACATATGTACATGTACATATGTGTATACTTTATGATTACATATTTGCTGATCGTTAGCGAGCTTGGCTTTCATACATATTGACATATTGTATGTAGTATGTGTTTGTGTCACATTTTTTTCACAATTTTACCTACAATTATTATCTATATATATACATATATATATATAAATAATATATTCTAAAATAACTAACAATAAATTATCGTTTAACAATTACAGCCAAGCATAAATTTAGTTGGTTAATATTCCAGCCCATAAAAGCGCTTACAATGCGATATTGTAAATATATGTATGTATGTAAGGGTATACATTAAACGATAAAAAGATAACGTGTCTCAGAGAGATGAGCTGGATACTATATTGAAGTTACATCTGTCCTCGCACATCATACATATTTAGTATATACAAATGTATGTACATACATACATTCATATACACAAATCTTTTGATGAAAAATATTGTTTTATTTATATACATACATATACATACATACGTACGTACATATAGTACATATGGTACATATTATCTATAATTCATAATTATTTCTTTTTAACTCATCAACTAAATTTTTGAAAATATTATTACAAGCGTTTGTATAAATATGCAACAGTGTGAATGCAGTTTGCGTCCTATTTCTGAAATGCGTCTAAGTTTCCTCTTTTGTATTGTAATTTTAAATAATTGAGATCATTATTATTTACTATTACTTTTGTATGCGTTCTGACTTTGCTTACGGAAATGTACATACATACATGCATATGTACATGATTAAAACTTAAACAAAAACTATCCTCAAGTCAAGTCCCTTAATTACCATAGCAACGCACACGATCTACTACTCATACACTGTTGTTCATATCACTTTGTGCTTCAAATATCACTTCATGTACAATATTTCTTTCAATCAGCTACCTTTAATGGCGGCCATAACTGTAACGGTTCAATTATATATACATAAATATGTATAAATTTTTATATATGTATATATGTTTATATGTATGTATGTAACAAGAAACAATTTTGACTCTTTAAATATAATATATAATATAACATACATATATATATATATAACTACAATTAAAATTGATCAATATTTTCACAATGTACAATACTAATATACTATGTACGTACATACATACATACATACACACAGACATATAACATACATGTGTGTGTATGTATGTATGTACATATGTAGGTGTTTATGGTTTTATGAGTGTACATATTGCTGTAGAAAATATTTACATACATACATAGTTCATAATATGCACATATGTATATCCGTATAAAAGTACTTTAAGCTACATATTATATATTTTTAAAATTGTAAAAATAAATGAATGTAAATAAAAAAACGACTAAGTTCTCAAGATCATTTGGAAAATTATAAGACTTCTTTATGTGTAAAAGAATTAAATCACATTCGTGCTAATTAGTTAATATGTTGGTTGGAGAACTCCTTTTCAAATGCACTCCTTTACATAACATACCTGTGCTTTTGTGTATGTGTGTTATTCATTGTGTCATTGATGTCATTGATGTCATCATCCGAACACAACGTGCTTACATTAATCATCATTAACTATCAATCATTATATTCATACATACGTATTTACCATTGTCCTGTGTCTTCGCTAAATAAAAAAAATCGAATGCGTTGGAATGTGCTTTGCGCTATTCGCTATTTAATTGCGATCAGCATAGGAAAGCGTTGGTCTCCATATGGCGAACTGTGAGATGATGATGATAACGGTGCGGAAAGAGTTTACAACATATACAAGTATATCGTCTATAAGATGGATGCTTATAGTTGTGGTGAATTTTTTTTTGTTGACGCAGCTCCTGTCGATATTGTTTATTATTCATAACATTCCATTTATGGACTTTTTGGCGGAGTATCGGTGGTCATTGCAGTAGTCCGGGCTGATTATATCATCGATGTTGATGTGTGCGCATGTGTAAAACGAGATTGTGTTTGTGCTTCGATTTCTTGTGACAAATCGGACACTCAAACTTGGGCTCAACGCCGCATTCGAAACGCATATGTCGATTTAAGCTATGAGGTCGGGCATATGAATTCCCACAGCGCTCACACGTGTAAGCGCCTCCGAATGTGCCTGCTGATCCTGATGCAATGGCAGCAATGTGGCTACCGCCACCACCAGCATTTCCACTATTGCTGATTCCTTGGGCTTCGTCGCTACAACTGCCGCCACCTGGTGTTATAAGTGCTGAGTTCGAAGCAGCTGCCGCCGCTGCTGCTGAGGTAGATGGTCCTGAGGCAGCAGAAGAACTGGAACAGGTCGTTATTGCCACAGTGTTTAGGTTTCCACTAAGTGGCGAGATCGGCCTATTTGAAGCCACACCTCCGCCGGCTCCGATTCCGGCTGCATTGCCGACTGTAGGGTTACTGGCGCTAATGCTATAACGTCGAGTTGGTGAAATCGAACGATGTGCCCCTGCCGGCTGGGTTGGTGTGTGCGGATGTGGAAAGTTCATCAACGACGAGAGATGAGTAGACGGTGTTGCTGCTATGGATTGCAATGCAGCTCGCTGTATCGCTATCGACACCAGGTTCATCGGAAAAGCACTTAAACGAAGATCACAAGGCTGTTCATCATCACCACATTCGCCCGGTAGAGTAGCGGAGTTGTCGCCAGTGGTACCAACTGAAATCGTACCTGCTTGTGCCACGACCCCAAGCGCAGTCACGCCAGCTAAATCGCTGTCATTACCGTCGACGGAAGTGGTCGGCTCATATTTTATTACAGGCGTACAAATAGGACTACTTGGCGGACTGGGCTTCACACACAAGTTGACCCGGTGATGCGAGCCGGTGTCTACAAATACGCCCGAAATGTCGGCATTATCTAGTTGTCAATGAACGGATTAAACGCATAGCCAAGTCACAGTTAACATGGAGATGTAATAAAAAAGAAAAAAAGAAAACTTATTAGTTGGAAATTCATTAATAATATTATATTATATATTATGCTGTTTCTATAAAAAGTTAACTAATGTTTTAGTGTATTTATAAAACTTCTTAAAATTGAAGACAAATTGCGAATTTTCATAAATGAATAATAAAGTAAAAACTTTAATAAGTTACATACTCGTACATATACGTACACGTATATATATGTAAGTATGAAATTAAACAAAAACGGCAATTTGCAACCCATAAGACTGAAGAATAAAAAAAAGTTACCATTCAATTTTCGCACATTCTTCAAATTCTTTTTAAACGACATATCTAGCTTATTGAAATGCATACATACATACATAAGTGACGAATGTATTGGTGGAGGTGGTGGTGAGCGTTGTAGTGGTGGTGGTTTTGTTGACAAAGTCTTGATGATATGCGTACACGTTTAGGCAAAATGATGATGGACTTCTTTTGAATTTTGGTTCTTTCTTTAAATAAAGTGTATCCAAATCAATTGGTAAAATGTTCTTTAATGAGTGCGTCCGAATGTACATATATTACATATATATAATATATATATATATATATATTAGTTTTGGATATCTGTTCTGTGAAAATTTGTTTTTGGATATTACATACAACTACTCTCTTTCTAGAACTATAATATATCAATTGCATAAGTTAAATCAAATTTCTCCAATCCCACATTTACAAATGTATGTATGTATGTAAGTACATATGTATATAAAAAGAGGTATGAATAGTTGAAATTTTCTTTAGAAATTTGTACATACCCATTTTGTGTTATTAAAATAGTATCATTGAATAGCGTTTAGACATACATTCATACATACATACATACATATATAGATAATGATAAATACAACATATTCGTCTATGATTTTTAACTCGCTCAATTGTATGATATACGAGCCTATGTATGCAATATAAAAGTTAGTGACGATTTGCAAAAATGTATATTAATCTTTGTTAAAATAACATAGAGCGTAATTTTATATTGGGGCAGGAATGATTACTCAGGTGCTTAGGAATAACGAAACGAGTACAGATTTTCTAACTATTATAAGTATAAGGTATTAATTTATTTATTTTTTATTTTTTTTTTTTGCTTTTCGTTCCTCATTTCTACATTTGCACATATAATATATACACGTATGTACATATTTATGAGAAACACATAGATTTACATTTCGATTGTCCTCTACGAAACTTTACAAAACAAAGGTGTAACACAAGTAACTACATCAAGATTACCCTAGCAATCTTGCGGTCATCTCGATATGATTTAACACTTCCTTTGTCGTAGATGCTGAAACACATATCTCTTTATTTCATAAATGATTGTACTCTAATGCGACAAATAAACTTGCACAAAAAGACCTTGGAGGTCACTTAGGAAATAATACAATTACGCATGCACTTGAAAGTACGTTACGGCTCCCATATGTTTTAACTAGTTAATTTCAATTTATTATACTCGTATATAAAATTATGTCTACACCTTTTTGAGCTGTGCTTCAGAAAATGTTATTGGGATATTCCAATTGTATTTCAGAAAAAAAAGGAAACATCTTTCATAAAATTCAAACAGCCAGACGTAGGAGTCCTGATGACCAGATATGACAGACATGTTTATTTACGAAACATTTGTCCTTGCACCATATTTTCCGATATATATTCTGCCAAACGGCATGATTTATATGTATTTCTGAAATACATTTCAGATATTCCATTGTCTGAGACGTATCAGAGTTTCTCGCAAACATTTTTCTGATACACAGTCAAAGGGTGCTGTTAAAAAAAGTATAATAATTATAAAACTACATAGATAATTATATATGAAAATATTATATTATGTACAGTGGAATAGTAAATATTTAAAAAGAAGATCAATATTTCAGGATTTACAAAACAATATACATAATTGTTAAATAAAAACAACTGAACGATACACTAAGGAATATGCAAAATATAATATGAATGTTTGTGTAAAGTCGCTGCTTTTCAAATTGCTGACTACGTTCGGGGCTTAAGTTATATGTCCACAACGCAGACGACGTTGGCGCTGGTAACTGAGCTGCGCTTCTATTTTATAAGAATATTTATTAAATATTAAGTTGAATAGTACAATCTTTCTCGTCAAAAGGAAATTATATAGAACTGAAGAACTGCAAACCAAGCACCGTGCATGCCAGAATGTACCTAAAAGAGAAAACTGGTTAGTGAAAGTTCCATATTAAGCAAACATAAAAAAATAAGCCGTTCAAAGTAAAAAGTTGTTCTATGATGTGGGGAATGATTATGATATAGACTCAAATGGAAACGTCGAATTTATTAGCTCATATGTAGGACGAGCAGCAAGGGAATCGCCGATTTGAAGAGGACCAATGCGAAACCGTTATTTAATAAAATTGCAAATTCTTTACATTTCGTCCGTTTGCTTCAAATGTGTTTTTATTAATAAATTTATTCTCATGTGTACAGATTTCTTTTGTTATTTATACCTTTGTCCAAGCAATTTATAGATAAATTATAAATAAATATTTATGCTGACTTTGTTGGAGATGACTTTATTGAATTGTAAACGTTTGAGTTGAAACGAATGCAACGTTAGTCTTTTAAAACTTTATTTATGTGACTAAGTGTGCATTTGTTGTTTCTATTATTTTTATTATTTTGTATTTTTTTTTTACAATATTGCAGCTTTACCGTATCGTATATGATATTTCAAAAACAGAGCAAGCGCTAATATATTATGTATATGTATAATAATATAGTATTTAACATACAGTATATATATATATATAAATATATATATATATATGTACTTTAGTGCATTTGTCTTCCGTTAACACTGAAGAGAATATTTATAAAAAGTTGTTCGAAAATATTTTGTTGTTAATAAATAATTAAATTAAAATAGAAGCAATCTATAAATTGCGTTTTCAAATACATACTCGTACGTATGATATAATAAATATCTAAATGTAGTTAAATTTTCTAAAATAATTGGAATCATCATTTGACTAGGTAATGTTGCTTTCATAAATAATTTGCTTTTGCACTTCAACTCCTACAATGAAATAGGTAATAACGAAATAAAAATGAATAAAAATCAAAAATATAATGCTTATAAAATCATATTATATATGTTTGGTTCACTTTGACTAGCGCCGATTCAATTATTAAACTAAATTCGAAATCCCAAAATCCGGAATATTCCATTTACATAGATAAATATATACTACAAATTATTTAAATTAATAATGCTTTGCTATGTGTAGAGGAAATGTACATGTACACGTATATAACATATATAACGACCGGCTTTGAACTTTTTTAGCCAAATTTTACAAAGCATCCGTATGGCTGGCTAACTGTAATAGTCGATCGGTTGCAGTTAATCATTAATTTAGTCTTCTTCTTCCCGACTATCATGGCATTCATTCATATACATTCCCAATGGGTGGACGTTTATTCATTTTGTTGAAATACAAGGGTATAGGTGCTGGTATTAGTTTTTTGATCTTCTTCCATGCGATCTCGGCATTTGGTATTCAAATGACGCTTCAAATTGCTGTGCACGTTCGTTGCATAGCCGCAAAGTTTGCTGCAGAAATAGCGTGGCGGTTGGCCGCATTCGTTTTTCAAATGACACTTGAGACTATTTTTCCATTTATAATTTCGGTTACAATTACGGCATACCCATGGCTTCTCGATATCTGCGTTATATATCATATCTTCCGAGTGTTCGAGCGATTCTTTTCTCATGCGTTGATTCTGCACGAGTATACGATATCTCTTGTCATCGGAAACGGACGATTTGAAATCGGTATTTTTATTGGTGTGGCCCATGGTCGAGTCTTGTTTGCTATTCGGCTCGGCTCCAACATCTGTACCGACAGTGACGTTGTCTTCATTCGCCCCACTGCTGTCATTGTTGCTTGCTGTTGCTGCTGCTGCTGTAGTTGTTGTTGTTGTAAACGATGTGATTGTTGCAGGAATAGAAGCAAGTTTGAATTGCAATGTCTGCTGAGTCGGTCTCAATTGCAAATGTTGTAGATGCTGCTGTTGCTCCAAAAGCAACAGTTGTTGCTGTACTGATGGCAACGATGTTTCTTGCTTGCTTTCTATATGTGTGCGCCTCTTACCGACACCACGTTGCTTGCATTTGAGCAGCGCACTATCGGAGCTATTCGAGGATGGGTTCTGTATAATAAGCGACTCAGTCGTCTCCTTTGGGGAAATGCTTAGCGATGCTGTAGGTTGTTGATCGGACGAATTTACGGCTGCTTGTTTCGTAGTTGCAGCTGCCGTTGTTAGCAGGTCGTCTTCATCTTCGGTGTTGGTTGTGTCATTTTCCCCGGAAAGAATGTCTTCGAATTCTTCTTCATTCTCTATTTTTACCGTATCAAACGCCCATGACATTGGACTAGATAATTTTAATTCATAATTGAAATCTGGTTCCTTTCCACTATCACCTGTTTGCTGCTCTTCTTCACCAATAAAATCGCCTTCGCCGTTTTCATCGCCCTCAGCTTCCATATCCATATCCATATCCTCATCTTGTGTCGAGGAAGATGAATTCTCAATTTTCACCAGCACCTCGGTCATACTCTCATCCACAGATTCGAGCTCCACACCTGCAGCAGCTAGAGCCGCCGCCGATATCACACCCATGTTGCCATTATTTAGCAAATTGATTTCAGTATCATTGCTTGCGACCCGGGGTGCTACGCATGTTATCGTGGTTCGACCAATACTACCGATCCGCATCAAAGTTGGCTGTTTGGTTGACGATGTTGTTGATGCGGTGACCACTGTGGTTGCACCCAATGGAACAATCGCTGCAGATACTGATGAAGGGATGTGTGTGCTGGCGTCTTCAATTGCCATTTCGGCAGCAGATGTAATGGTGTTAGTGGTCTCATTAGTGCTTGTGATTAGTGATTTGTCTGATGGTTAGTTTAAGACATTTTGAAATATATTTGTGTTTTATTATTTATTTTTTTTTTTTTTTTGTTATTATTTTTTTAATGCAATTCAATGCGCAGCGTGAAAGAGAAGGGGAGAGATAAGTTTTGTTAGCATGTAATATTAAATGAATTTCTTTCTTAAATGGTTACGATAGATGAGACAGAGTAGTTAAGAAGTTATGGATCACATAAAGGGATCGCTGCGACCAACAGAAAAGATCAGATCGATAAAATAAAAAAAATAATGAGGATCGTTGTAATAAAGGAAATAAAAACTGCAAAGAGAATAAAATATTAACGATAAAAACTAATACATAACAAAATATTATTTAAAAGCTACAAGTACGTAATAGATATACATAAATTTGTATTGGTATGTATGTATGTTCTCATAATACATATGTATATTAAATATATTGGAAAATGACAGACGAAAATATATCCGAATGTACGATAGAACACACATGTGCATGTACATAAGTATGTAAAAGCCGAAATACCTGGTTGTTGGTCTATGGTTTTTTGTAATATTGACTGGTCGGCAAGCATTAGCCAGTCACGCACGCGGATACGAGATTCACTTTGGGACTGCGATTGTGCTTCGGAATTGTACGCGGTGCAGCCTGCTGTAAGGTGATCACTAGACACACGTGCTGCAATCGCCGAACTGCCGGAGACCACCTTTAGCGCTTCATCTGGAAATACAACAACAGCTAATTTTATTAGAAATATTCCAATTGTTTGGTAAAGCAAATTTATATTTTATTTTATTTTCTTAGATGGAATCTTAAAAAAGTAAACATTCAAAAGTATGTAAAATAAAAGAAATTAGAAGTAAATGATTGTATGTAAATACTCACTTAAAAAAATCTACGACAAAACAACAACGCTACACTAAAAGTGCTGAAAAATAAAGGAAATTTAATCGCACTTGAACCAAAAAATCATAATAATAATAATGAAAGTAACAAAAAGACAAAAAGACAAATGCACGATTTTATCGTTGCTAAGGAAATACTCAAAGACATTCAATCTTGGTTTTTACAAAATATAATATTTATTTGCAATTTTATTGGCTGATTTCACCAGCTTAATTATACAGCAAACTTTGACCTATTTATGTAAGATAAACTATAAACAAAGACAAATTCAGCGATTTGTGCGTTCTCTGACTTATGAATGGTATCGCTTAAGCGAGCTCACTAAACTACTGAATTTCATTTTGTTTAATAAAATATTAAATTGTATATAATGAGTATTTTCACATTTTCAATAATAAAATTTCTCCCTAAAACTAATTTTTACCATTTTGGCTAAATATATTTTTCATATCATGTCTTTTTCACATCATTCTGGAAACTTTGCTTTGCAAATATTTGATACAATACAGAAAATAACAGAAAAGCTTTTGAGCTGTTTTAAGGATATATAAATTTAATTTGTTTTACTTTTTTCCATTTTTTTTTCTTTGAAAACTACCCCTACACCAATTTATCTTTGAAAAACAAAAAGAGCCAATCACTAAATATTTCCAATAAAATATCCACAATATTTTTGCTGAGGCTTCTTCACTAGCATTTATAGCAAATTAATGTGGAATTATCGATAACAATCAAAAATAATTTATGCGTATAATATGCTATTTGTAGGGTGGGGGTTCATTTATTTTAATTTTGTTTAGAGCGATCCTTTGTCTCGCTGATTGAAAATCTAATTTATGATGCTTATAATTATGATTTCGGGTAATTAACACAATTTTATTTTTTAAATTATTTTTTTTTTTTTGTTTTTTGTTTTTAATAAGTAAACATTATATATGTACTTACGTACGTATGTAAATATATGTATCATATATAATATATCAAAAGTGAAAGTATTTTCATCCACACATATGCACATAAGTATGTGTATGCTTATTGTACGAATTATATTCCGCCTTATTTGCTGAAACTGTGTGCATCTATCTTCACAGTGTCCCTAGTATTATTAAACTCAATGCCGAAACGGGAGTAGTTTCAAATGCAAATTGTACTGTAGCCAAATATTATTTTATACTAAATCGCTTCATTACAGTGTCAAGCATTAATGGCAGTGTCAAGCTCTGCTTGAAAGCACTATCGAGGATGATGGCCTAAACGACAATCCCTTAAATCTTTAATATCGGAGTTGACAAAAGAATACTTAAAAAAAACTTTATCAGTGTTGGAAGCACCACACCAAAAACAAAACGTCTCACTGGCACAAATTGTGTATCTATATGTATATGTGTATATAAAATTCCTTAATTGCTATATAATTCAACGACATTTTTTTTTTTAGTAATTAATTTCAAAATTGTTTCATCTAAGTACCTGAGTTTTATATTCGTTGCTTTCGTCATTTATTCTTCCTCCGCCTCTAACTTATTATGTTATAAGTATGTAGGTGTTGCAATATGTTCTAAACTAATATATTATCCGACCTATATCATTTTATACAACAGGAATGTCTGAATTTATAAATACCAAATAACGTTAGGCATAATTAAAATATTTATTTATATGACTTTACTCTATCGTGCAAATCTAAAAATAAATACTAAAGTTCCGATGACTCCTAATCTGATAGTCTGCAACTGAAGTGTATACCTTCTCAATGCATACTATTATATTATATAATAACGCATTACCTTTTCGACCCTTAACTGATAAAACACCCAGAGTAAGGTTAATTTTTTGTTTTATCCTCGAATATTTGCAAATAGCCTTCCGAAGCATACACTTCCTGATATAATTGAGGTAAAATGTTTTTATATTAAAACTACATAAATATGGGTATATATGTATGTTATGTATGAATACACGGGAACCCCTTTTATCAAATAGCAACAGGTCGGTCTAGGACTCCTTTCTCAATGTTCATCAAATCGGACCTTTATCTAACCAAAGATTGACTTTAACTCTTTGCCTATTTTTCTTTCGTTTGGCTATATCACAAATTGACTTTACTTTTGAAGTTCTCTTTGTCTCTTCATTCTGTCTTTAAATAAAAAAAAAAGCTATGTTAATTTGAGGCTTTTTCACTGAGTTTGTTGCTATATGAGCGTATATGTAAATGTCCTAATTACATCATATAAATATATTATTTCTATGTGTAAGTGTCTTAAATAATATACAAAATGCTGTGAAAATATTTAGATTAATGTTTAATAATTATGTTGTCTTTTTGTTTTAAAACTGATTGGGAATGTTTCAATATTGTAGATGTGTATACGTATGTACGAGTGTACACCACACTTAGATCTATTTGGAGCATTAATACCGCATTACTCGGTTTCTGTACTAACTTCATGTCTTTTAGCATTGTGCAATACATTTACTTTAATTATTTGCTAAAAAAAAATAAGCATTCATATAAAAATAATATCAAAATGCTATAATCCTCATGTGAAGAAACATTATAATAAACCTGATATTCAATTCACTTTGTACTAACGGCGGGTATATAGCACCTGAGTACACCTGAGCATTTATCTGCATCTTTTTGGGAAATTATTTTTTAATGTTTCGGAATTGTTTATATGTACACGTATGTACAATACATACATAGCAATCATTAGCAATGTATGTATGTATATATGCGCATATATACGTTAAAAATGGAAATGTCATCATAATTCTTGGAATATACATATGTATGTATATCAATGGCCGATGTATATTTACTTTAGTTTATAAATATATCTAACCGAATACTTATATATTTACAATATTTTTATGTACTTATGTATGTATACAATATCAAAGAAAAAAAAAAATAATAATAATGGCAATATTAAATTCCAAAGGTTAAACTGGGCTGGTATTTTTTAGTTTGATATCTAAGTATATATATACATACATATATGCACATATATGCGTTGACAGCTGTCTGGACACTAAGGACGAGCAATTGTTAAATATTCTGTAAAGGCATTATTTAAAACTACGAATAAAAATAAGAAATATCAAAAAATAAAGGTTAAATTAAAAAAATTTGGCACTCTGATTCCATTTTTACATTCACTTACGAACATCTCATGTTCAACATACATAAATAAACACATATACGAAAATACGAAGATATGTATATATATGTATTTTGAGATGTATAAATCGGACTATTTGTAAAGCCTAGCTTATTGTTATGTTCGATTGTTTCTTATGGCCCTGCCGTATCTCTTTTCCCGTTACTAAATACATTTGCAAGCTAAGAGAAATTCTGACGCAGCTCACTGGACGTTGTGGATGCTAAAGCAGCAGTAGTGGGGGCACTACCACTATCGTCTCCACTACTTCCGGTGAAGCTTTTCAAATCTTCAAGTTTTATAAACTTTTCCTTGTGCATTCGCTCCATGTGTCGACCAATATGCATTTTTTGTTTCGCACGATATACACAGAATGGACATTGAAATTGTGGCTCCTTTCCGCATTCCCACTTTTGGTGGTTACGTAAGGACGATTTCAGCTTATAAACACGACCACATTCCGGACAAGGATGACCGCTACCACTGCCGACACCTAAGCCACTGCTAGCATTGCTACCTGCAGTTCCACCAATCCCATTGCCACCCACACCAATTAAACTGTTTAATGCACTGATATTACTCAATATGTTGATATTGCAAAGCCCGCCAGCACTACCGACATCTGCAAAAGCAGCTGCTCCACTTAGTGCTGTGTGGTATTCGCCACTTGTGCTGATCACACTGCTACCGGGGTTTGCGGTGTCTTCGCTGAAGCTGTTATCACTAAGATTGCCGCTATTATTGGCGGTGGACTTTTCAACAGATGACTTTAACATCAATATGGCAGCTTCCTCTTCGGTAAGATGTTTCATTTTAGCACTTGTATTTACAACGCCATCAGCGCTGATTTTGTCTACGGCGCCCGCACCCGTAACTGATCCAGAACTGCAATTCAAAACTGCTTTTGGCGGCTGACTTTCATTAATAGCAACCCCACCAGAAGCGCTGCTCAACTCATTCGGTGCTTCAGTAGTCGGAGATTTACATTCCAAAGATGTCACTCCCATCGCAACACTACCTTTATCCATGGTATTCACAGAGAGGTCAGTGGGAAAAACTAACGGATTTACACCTTCACGCAACTGTGTGACCAGCGGCATGGCCAAACGAGCGTTCCACTCGTTCCAAGTGAGGCCCGCTATGCGAGTAATACTTAGATCTACACATGTCACAACACGTAGATAAGCAGCAAAGTAATGTTAGTTATTAAGTCAATGATCGCCAATTATGTTGTCATGTTTTCACAGTTGTTTTGCGTTTTGTTGGTGGTTTTAAGGTGGATGCGTTTCATTTGCCGTAATCATCAAAGAAAGTTAACGTGTTTTTGTCGTTAAAACATATGAAAATAAAAAAAGTAGAAAAAATAAAAAAGAAAAAAACAAACGTAAAGAAAAAATAACATTAAGATTGGACTGACACAAATAAAGAATCACTATGTAAATATAAAAAAAAAAAATTAAAAATAAATACATTGGACCTATCATCAGCAACCCCTAGTTCGATTGAAAGAGGTATATAATATATATGTTTCAAGCAACTAATCATATAATGAGGGGAGCATATAAATACGTACAGCAAATATTTTGACTTAAACTAAAAATGCCAATGCCAATGCGAATGCCAATGTCAATGAAATATTACGAATATGAA